TAAAAATTAATTCCCTTTAGTTTACTTAAATAAAAATGTTTTAAAAGTTTATAATATAATTTAAATATTTTCTTTTTTAATATATATTAATAAAGTAATTTTTAATTATATAAATTTCCTTAATATTTTTAAAAGTTTTTTTAGATTTAAAGTATATATTTTTTATAATTATTAAAGATTTTTTTAATTTTATTATTAATAGTTTTATTTTAATTATTTAAATAATTATTTAAAATAGGTTAAAACTACTATAATATATATCCTTTAAGTTAAAATATTATAAAATAAACTTTTTTTTTTAAAAATATTAAAAATATTCTTAAAATCTTTAAAATAAACTTTAAGTTAAATTAAATACTTTTTAAATTTTTTAATATTTTTATTATATATAAATAATAATTAATATTTAATAAAAATTTTAATATTTTTTTTAATTAATTACTTTTTATTTTTATTAACTTTATTAATAAAAGTTTTATTAAGTTAAAATATATTTTAAAAAACTATTATAATTTAATCTTTAGTTAAATTTCTTTAATTTAAAGTATTTTTTATAATAATATTTTCTTTTTTATTAAATTTAAATATACTAAAGTTAATAGTTAAAGTATTCCTAAATAAAAATCTAAGTATAATAGTTTTTTTATTTACAAAATAATTAATATTTTTTTAAATAAAAATTATTAATATATAATATTTTAATTTTTATTTTTAATATAAAGTAAAGGTTTTTAAAGTAATAAACTTAGGTTATAGGTTTATATTAATAAAAAAAATAAAAAATAGTTTTTAAGTAATTTATAATTATAAATAAATAAAAGTAAAATAAAAAATATAATTTATATTTAGTTTTAATATTTTATTAATAATTAACTATTTAAACTATTTAAATAAATATAATAAAATAAACTTATATATTTAATTATTTTTAATAATTTATATTATAATATTCCTTTATATTAAATAAACCTATAACCTTAATATTAAAGTTTACTTTTTAAATTATATATATTAAAATAAACTTAAAATCTTTAATTTTAATTAATTGTTCTTACTGTATTTTACTTAAAAGATATATAGCTTTAGTTAAATTATAATATATAGTTATTAATTTTTTATTAAATAAAATTATATAAAGAAAATAAAATTTAAACTTATAATTTATTAAAAACTTTTAATAATTATAATTAATTATATTATTTTTTTTTATAATAATTTTATAATTAATATTTTTATATAATTAAAATATTATTATTAATTAACTTAATAATAATTTATTTTTTAAATTATAATTAAATTTAAATAATATATTTAATAACTCTATTAAAAAAATTTATTTTATAAATTTAATATTTTAATATAATTATTTAAATTTTTAAAAATAATTTAAATAATAATATTTATTTTATTTTATTTATTTTATTAATTATAAAAAACTTTAAAAAAATAATAAAATATATTATTTATTTAATTATAATTATTTTAGATTTTATTATATATTTAATATATTTTTTTTAAATAATATTTTATTATTATAATTTAAAATTTTTTTATAATAATAAAGTTAAAATTTTTTAACTTTAACTTTATATTTAATTAAATTATAATATTTATTATAATTTTAACTTTATTAATAATAAGCCCCACAGCCACAGGTCCCCTGTCAGAGGGATACCTTTTAATCTAGGGGGTATACTTTTTAATACGTCCCTTTTTTATCTATATCAAAAACATTATACATCCCTATTAATTGCCATATATAAGACTGTAAATTACAAAGGTATTGATTGCCATTTGCATCTGGTCCAAGTTTGTAATTGTTCTGACCATATAAAAATCTCGAAGTATTTATCTGCAACTTGTAGAATGGTGTCGCGAATTGCCTGTATATCTGGGCGGCAGATATAGGGCGCAGATGAAAGACCTGAGAGATGTTTCTGAATTCTCAAGTGCATGCTGATCAGTTGAGTGTTGATCTCAAATGGGAAAAAATGGTTATACCCCACGTACGAGTGCCTCCCTTGTGAACATGTGCGGATCAAGTGGTATATGTTGAGCGCTTTGGTTTCCGTCAGTGTGGCCAGCTTTTGGATTAATCGTATCATTGGAGCCTTTGTGACCCAAGGGTTGGTGGGGAATTCTGAGGTGTTGACTAGGCCGTTCTCTGTTATGAGGCGATGGTGAATTGCCGACCACTCCCCATTTTCAAATAGTGCGAGTGCCTCCTCTTCAGTTTGATGTGTGCCCAAGGATAATGCATGAGTTGGAATGATTCGGACAGGAGACCGCTTCTGTGGGATATATGGATCATTCTTATACGAGGCCATGTAATCGGTATAACGCAGCTGAAAAACCATGATGTTTAGGTCCTCCAACCTGGCGAGAGCAAACACGTATTTCGCATCCTCTGTGAGCCGCTGGTTCATTTCGACAAGCCGTTTGTCAATCTCTTGTGCCCATCGAGCAGCAAAAACAGGGTTAGCAGTGGGTAGGATATCCTCCCACTGGTGCAAGAGGAACCTCGCTCTGGACTCGGTGGAAGGACTAATAGCGATGGGTGTTTTGTCCTTCATGGCGATTATATCCATGAGACGGGCTTTCGCCCCGTCAAACTGCTCGGTAACTTGTGAAGATGTAGTGAAAGCCCGCGGTAAATTTTCCAAGTCACTCTGTGGAAGACCGAGCTTTTGGGATGCCATATTGAGAGTTACCGTGGCTTAGTTGGATAATATAAAGGGGGTGATTGAATTATACCGTAGTAGGAGCGTACACTGGGGAAAATGTAACATTTGTTGTTTAGAAGTAAAAGTGTGGTAACTAGAGAGAAAAGAGAGATGTTTGTAAATAAATGGAGGGTGAAATATGTAAAAGAAGGCGACTAGGCCGTAGCTTTTACTTTTGGAACTGGCGTTTAATAACCTCATTCCGGAACTATCCAGACTTCTAGTGTACAGAGTAGTTGGACCTAGTTCATGCAATTAATCTCAGCCCCCTTGAAGATACGTTCTCTGCCTGTCGTCTCACTGGGTAGTCGTAAAGTTTGTAGCAAAGTATGGCTGGGTTCATGATATGGCCTATGGCGTTCGAGTCAAAAGACACTGAGTGAGAGAATTCTGTCTGTTGCAGAGTTTGGAGATTCAGAATGAGGCGTTAGAGGGAAAGTAAGCCCATTTATGTCTAATCGAACAATTTTAAGTCTACCCATACTGATAGCAGGGACCTTTGACTGTATTTGGGACTGAGCGTGATTGAGCTGGGCAAGATGACTCTTGCTAATAACCGTCCTTAATTTTACAACGGGATCGGGCCGGTTCTCTGCCGTATGTTTGCACAACGGCGCTGTAAGCCACGACGACTGGGGTTCGAATTCATCTTAAATCGACTGATCATTGTTAGTGTAGGTGTGTCCGTCATTGCAACAAGCAGCTGTTTCAAGCGGCTCAAGGGCACATGAGAGGCGATTGGGCTGCTTGGATCTTTTGGGTCAGTGGCCAGATGCTATTCGCTGATGAGTCGATCTTGTAGCTGACTGCTTGTCGGCATAGAAGTATCGAACGGTGCTTTACTTGACCTCCTTGGCGCGACACGAGCAGCTACACATGACGCTCTATATGGCTGCAGTGGTATTTTTCGAGGCTTCCGCATCTATAAAGCCGTGTAATCCTTACTATTTTGGCCAGAAGAGGTGTCGTCTAGTGGCGTTGCAGCTGTTGCGTTATGGCAGCAAAATTGGTTGGGGGAATTACTCCTGTGATAACGGTGTATAGATAATTTTCACACGTGTTGCGTTATCAATGGTATCGGCTGTTATTTTCTCTTCATTGGAATTGGCGTTGCGAAAGTTATTGTCTCAATTCCCAGGGAACTCAACTCTTCCGGCCCTGGCTGTATGTTGTCTGTTCCAACCTCCAAACCCAGCAGGCTTCTGAGAATGATGAGGCATCCTGCCTTGCTTATGACTTCGTTGGATTCTTTGCATATCTCGGACGCCACACATTCAATACAGCCTTGCTGGCAACAGCATTCCTCGACTCTTTTCAAAGCACGCTGTAGAAGATGATCGATGTGATCGAACGCCTTCGTGCTCACGCCGGATCCATTTGCACCCCCCTTGGCGTCATAAAACGTTAAACGAGCCGGTCGCTTCCTTTTTGTTTCTTTTTTGGCGAATTCTTTAAGAGCCACTTTACACTCTGTCCGTACATCTCCAGGCAAACTGATGACAAACGCCGGTAGTAGACTCATAATGACATGCTCTGCTGCATGTATGGCTGCCGCCGCATTAAGCTGTCGGTCTCGTAATAGCTCAAGTACTTGTCGCGGTATGTCTAGCCACATTCCCTTGCTATGGCGTATAACAGGTGGATTGTCTACCTGCACTGCGTCTATGATCCGCCCCCTTTTGTCGACTTTGAAGAATCCAAATACATTTTGTTGAATCTTGATACCTCCATAATAAGCGTGGCAAGACGATCCAGGTATTGTTCGAATGGCTTCGATTTCCACAGGGTCAATGTCAGTAAAGTCTCGCGACATGGTGGTCCACTCAACGTTGACTCTTTCGACTTTGGCAATGCTTTGGTCTGGTAAAAAATCCCGAATAAGATATGTATTGCCCTGGTGAAGGAATATAGCTCCGTCATAGATGGTAAAAGTCGCTCTCGATGCTTCTAGTTCTTCTAGGACCTCGTTCCTCCCGTTCGTAATATCAATGATAGCAAAGTGCTCGTCCTCTGCATCTCGAATGGCAATGTATTGGGCTGGGTTAGGGCGAAAACGGTCGTGGCAGTGAAAAAACCCTAATTCGTCTTTCACCAATCGCTCTTGACAGATCTGAGGCAGGTCAGGTCCAAAAAACTGCATATCCTCATCTTGCCGAATGGGCATCTCATATGCTGCACATTGAATGTGCCCCTCACGAACAAGGATATCGTCCAGGTCCACACGTAATTCACAGTTTGGCTTCGAGAAGAGTTCATCAGGGTTGTTCATGTAATGCTGGTCTGTCGGAAAACTGTCGCCTACTAGAATAGACAGCGAATCTTTGGTTCGCCTTCCGGCTCTGCCACTCTGCTGTCGTAAATTTGCAATTGTGTAAGGGAAACCCCAAGTAAGAACACAATCCAGAGTGCCGATATCGATGCCGAGTTCAAGTGCCGTAGTTGCCACTATGCCCAACAATTTTCCTTCGAACATTTCTGCCTCGATTCTTCGCCGGTCTCGAGCTGTATAGCCACCCCGGTAGCCCATTACCAGATTGCTGCATTCCGGACGACCAAGTTCGCGCAACTCTTGCTTTATTGCGTTGGTTAATGCCTCGCATTGTGCACGAACTCTGCAAAAAGCAATGATCCTGACGCCCCTCAATAAGAGAGCACAAAATAGACGAGCGCATTCAAACTTGGCGTTACCTCGTCCGCTCGTAGGATCTCCAGGTTCTTTGAAAGGGGTATTCCAGCAAAGAAACTCTTTTCTTCCGGATGGAGATCCATCGTAGTCGATTAAACAGACATTTGAGACTCCGAATATCAATTTGAAGTGTTCCTCAGGATTGGCTACTGTGGCAGAGCAGGAAATGAATTGGATACGCCGGTTTCCCACTGCCGCGCATATCCGGCGCAATCTTCGCATTATAAAGGCAACATGAGATCCAAGCTGGCCATTATAGTAATGGAGTTCATCAACTTGAATCGTTAGTCATTGAAGTCATTGAATCAGACTGACGGCAGACCCAGAGGAAACTAACCAACAACAAATTTGAGATTCTTCAGAAATGTTCTCCATCTTTGTTCTTGAGGGAGGATTGTGAGGTGAAGCATATCGGGATTCGTGAAGATGATTTTTGCCTCTTCTCGAATAGCATCTCGAAGGTTCATGGGAGTATCTCCGTCAAAGGTTTCTACTAAAACCTGATTAAGACTTGGCATATATGCCAAGATGTCCTTGAGGCTCCGTTTCTGATCCTGGGCCAGTGCTTTGGTGGGGAATATATACAAAGCTCTTGAATTTGTATCCCGCTCCAAAGCATGCAAGATTGGTAACTGGTAGATCAACGATTTTCCAGAGCTGGTGGAAGTCGATATGACAATATTTTGCCCTTCGTGTAGCTTGTTTATGGCCTCTGCTTGATGCGTGTAAAACTGCGTTATCTGTTTAGCATTATAGAGGGCATTTACCAGATCTTGAGACAAGAGAAACTTGAGACCTCCATAGTTGGGGCTTTGTGGTTCGAATACTCTGTGGCCATCGGGCACAATTTGGCCAGAATACCACGGACTCTCTCTGAGCTGGAGCAGAATTTCCGAAATACTTTGTCGTTCACGAGGGATGACATCAGGAATGGTACTCGCTGTGCGATGGATTGACAGAGCCTCTTTCGGCGTCAATTTGGGTATATAAGCTTCGGCTCTTTCATAAAGGGATTTTTCTGGATCCTCGCCGTTATCCACACATCTCTTGAGGAAGTCGTTGATAGCGTTAGCAAATTTCTGGTTACGTCGCTCGATCAGCTGCATCATCTGTTTTTGGCCGTATACTGGCATTTTCAACTTTTCTTTTCTAAGCTTTTGATTTGGTCGCGTCGCTTCGCCTGTTTCTCTATCCAACACTTGCCGCTTCAAATCACCGTCGATGAATTCTAGGTATAATACCTCGCGCCCATCCATAGCGGCCTGGTCGTAGGCATCATTACCCAGGCGCTCATCCCCAGTCAGTCCGCCAACCGACACATCGTGAGCTGGAATTTGTGACATAGAAGCCTGTGACGATTTGAAGACGTCGTCCCTCTGAGCACCTCTAGTGTTGAGTTGAAGCATAAGCTCATTGGCATACTCGAATTTCATAGCCTCAGGGCGAAGAGCGACCATTTGTGCGACATCCTGGACTGTTAATGTTCTTTTAATGTGCGATTCAACGGCTGGTCGAAGGGTATCGAGTGTCGTTATCACATGCTTGCGCGTGGAGCAGAACGTGTAAACCAGATTCAATGCTCGATGGGCTCTTTCAAGATCTTGAAGAGCCTCAATCCAAGGAATAGGCGATGCTACAGAACTGTCCGAACCATCTTTCTTACCCTGCTTTTTGTGATTAGTATTGCGTCTTTTGGTCCTGGCCCCATTCTTTGGAATGTCAACTGAAATGTTTTGGCGGCCATCTTCATCCACGGGAACATCTTCCTCGCGGATGCGCTTCCGTGGATCCATATTTCTTAGTTCGCTCTGAGCCAGTGGTGGCATTGGTCTATCTTCCGTAGCTGGAGTGAAATGGTGCTCCAGCTGACTGGTCCAGAACCCATCTCACTGAAATAAAGAGGCAAGAAGACAAACAACAAAAGCTGTGAGGCTGTGAACAACACAGGTACGGCCCATCGAGTTCTGTCGGTACACCACCCGAATATTTGTACTAAGATTTGAGAGAAGCATGAACAAGTTAGAGAAGCGGCTCGCGTTGAGATAACGGACTAGAAATCGCGAAACTAACGCAAAATCACGTGCCGATCTGTTGCATGAGCACATAGCGAATTCTCCCTGTAACTTATGTATCAATGTCTGACAAGTAGCCTGTTTTGTGGACATCTGCTGGTTAACAAATTTTCATATTCAGCATCTAGGATGGTATTACTATTGGGAATTTCGTCCCATGTGACAAGTCTAGAGTATCCCTGAAGTACTGTACACAGATGCCTGATCGCCGTTAAAAAAAAAATTAAAAAAAAAAAAAATCCATCCCTGGGTCTATGCAACAATGAGTCACATGGATTATAAGCCCGCATTGTGGTTGTGCTTTCATGTCTTCATGACACAGCGTCAATAGACAGCTTATTTCCGTGTGTTCTTTGCCTTTTTCTAAACGACACGGCTGTGGTCATGGCTGAGCGTGTCTAAATCACACACACACACGCACTTCGCCATTTGATTGCCCGTCGTTAATCCTTTTTAATGTCAAGGTGTCATGGAGGGCTGTTTAATTGCCTCGAAGTTCTTTCTGAATACTGCCAACTTCCTTTAGAAAGCTCTTGGCGCTTGCAGCTGACATCTAATGCAATAGGGTGTTAGTATGGGATATATGGCATTTTATCGATATGATGGGTAGATGTGGGCAAAACTCACTCTCATTGTAATGCTCACGGGCTTCGCCTGTTCACCCTCGAATGCCGTGAATAATATCCCAACAGACTTGAGGGATGCCTTTTCTTGGAAATTCATAGCCGGGAGGATGGCCGTGTTGAGAATTACACGATGCGTCTGATCCTGGCGCATGAGAAGACGAACAACTTTGTGAGCCTCCTTCTCATCACCTCCATCACCACTGTCAAGACCGGACGCATCGAAGGAGCCGAGGATGGGCGAGCCGTTCTCATCGAATTCGACACAGGCTTGGGGAACATTTATTTTCAGCATCCCAGCGCCTCGTTCCTTCCAGCCTGCCTCTTTGTCGTGGTAAAACATTTTTGCTCGGACTGAAAGTAGAGTTGCTTCACCTGCCTCGCCGTCATCAACTTCGACTGTGAGATGATGACAGGATTAGCAATTCGCACAGAAAAATAGTACAAAGAATAAAACACTAGTCTCTCACCCTTGTGCAGCTTGATCCTCTTCTTCTCTTCCAGTTCCTTTTCTGGTGATGGGGCTCGCTCTTGTTCATTCGGCTCGGACTCGTCATCTCGCTCAGCATCAGCATCATCCTCGTCGTCTACATCGCTCTCTGGAGCCCCAAAAGGCTTTGCTGGTTTTTCGCTTTGGAGAGGCTTGGCCAAAGGCGATGCAAAGCTTTCCAGTCCTTTGCCTGCCGAAAATGGAGAGCCGAGACTGGCTCCACCAAATCCTGAAGAAAGGTTGGCAAAAGGCGAAGCACTATTAACACTCCCAAATGTCAATTTAGGCATGGTGACAGATGGCGCAGGCTGTGATCCCGCGGTACCCAACCCGGTGGCTGATGGCAAAACCGAGGAGCCGATTGAGGGAGCAAAAATGCTGCTCTGAGATGTGCTCAAACTCGCAAATGGGGATGATCCAGTAGCAAGTTTGCCGAACCCTGAGGCGGAAAAGGCAGCGGACGATGTCTGTGGTAAAGCATTCGCAGAGGGAATCTTGGAACTGGCGGTCTCTTCGGTGGCAGGTTGCGGGCCAGCTGTCGATGAGGAATTCTGTCTGCACATTAGATAGGGTCGGGACATGGAGGCCGTGTAACATTGGGTAGGATATCACATACAGAAACCACCCTCTTTGAGTCTTCCTCACGATGTCTCTTCTTTTCTGGCTCCAATCGAGAAGCCCGATCTTTGTTGGATTCTGTAGAGGTAACGCTGTTGGCGTCGTTTTGCTCGACGTCTATGCTCCCATCTAACTGGTCGTGTGCGCGCTTCTTCTTTGGAGACGGCACATGTTCCTTGAATCTCTCGTCCTGGCTATCTGATACGGCGTCGGCTGGGGTCTCAGGGCGTGCCGCTCTCTCGTCGATAGAGTCAGATGCGAGGTCGCTGACGGCGGTAGGAGGATCTGATATAGACGACTGTTTCAGCTCACGGCGGGCGGCGCGCGTCTCTGCATCTTCGCCTGCTTCTGCGTAGCCTCGCTCGTTCTTGGGGCTAGCCGCTCCTTGAGAATCGTCGGCCATGGTGTGTATTAGGTTGTTTCGAAATGGTGTCGATCGCGCAAGACGAGGCTGGCAGATAGGGTAGACCTGAGGCTTGGATAAGACAGCGACGGCTGCTTGCGCATTACCGCGCGACCTAGATGGAGAACCAGATCAAATATAAACAAGTATCCCCGAGTACGAGCAGAAGAGCAGAGCAAAGACACCAAATTTGCACAATCACGACCTCTTATCTTTCCTTGGTCTTGCTGCTGGAGTCGCGCTGCAGCAATTTTGTGCCGTCAGTTGGAGGTGGTCAACTCAGCTGGTCAAGCGCCCAATCAAAGACGGGGGCGCCTGGTATCTTTTGGGTTCAGCGCATGAAAAAAGGGACTTGAGGTACCTTCAGGATACAATTCTCCACGGAGCACAGAGGGCTAAGGTGCGCAAAACCTGCGATTGCCAGGTACTGAAAGGTACCACAACTAGACTTTGCTAAGGCACTTGTCCCCACCTGCCCGCTGCAATAACGAAGAGGGGTAGCAATTAAAATGGCCTGGCAAACCGACTACGCATCCAGGTGCCTTGCAGATAGTAGTACTGCGAACCGATTGATAGCCGTTCGGCTTTGTTACTCCATGCTGCTGGTGTATTGCTGCAACCTCAATCCGGCACGTTTATGAATCGCAGCTGACAGGCATAGTGAGCATTCTAAGATAGTCCTTCATCTCCATACTTTTACTGGCCATGTAGAAGGGCCACTGTTCTAGATAGTGGTGTAGGTACCCATAGGAGAGTGCCTTCTGAAGTGCCTATCGGGGAAATTGGACATACGGCATCCAATTGATGTAATATATGATCTTAAAAAGGCATAGCAAGAGAGGCGCTATCATGCTTGCATGTACCGCCATAGGTAGGGGCCGCTCTATTTGAGACAATTGTTTTTCATTACACATAACCCTTGCATTACAGTAGCACAACTGAGCATCGCCCAAAGCCAACGCAAAACCCTTAGCTAATGAAGCAGAGGCATCCCAAGCCCAGGTAAAACACAAGGAGAGGATAAACAGCAATGGCCACACGGTTTTTGACCACTCCGCTACCACCCAGAATGCTGACGCCAGCAGCAAGGGACCACGCGATGAGACAAAGGTAGACTGGTATCCGTGCGATCCAGTGCAACTTGAGAGCCGACAGGAGAGCGGCAATAACTAACGGAAACAGTGTGTAACCAATGATGCAGATGCTCTGGGCAAAGGAGCTGTTGTAGTCTGTTAGTGATATAATTACTATTGGTCACTCTCGTGTTCACTTACATGTTGCCCCCTAAAAGCTTGATTTGAAGCGTGACAATCGCCTCACCAAGCCATATGGTGGCAAAAACACCGCTAAAGACAGCATCTTTCTGATCAGCTCGCGCTGTGAAGCTGAGCAACAGGCTTAGCAGTAGGCAGAAAATCAGAGGTCCCCATAGGTCCCAGTCTCTCAGTCCAGGGCTCATATTGCTCTGCAGCAGAGCCTCTGCATCTATGACCCGGCTGGCAAGCCCAGTGAGCTCCTCCCTCGTGCCTGTTAAGCCGGCGCCGCGGATGTTGGAGTATGCACCACGGAGGCCGCCCTCAGAGTCGAACATGGTGCCACCAAGAAGATATCGCGGGTACAAGACTTCCTTTAACTTGGCCCACACCGCTAAAAGGTCGCGGCGCAGAGTATCCCATACGCTTTCATCAATGGTGTTCTGGGGGGCCCTTCGATCATCTCCAGGGATGCGAGACGTAAGATAGCCTTCATCTAACGGTCCCGACGCCGACGCTCCGGAGGCAATGGTGTTTGTCAAAGGCTGCCGAGCTGCTTGAGGGGCGAGAGGGTCATCGAAGTCGTTGAGATCCGCTGGTCGATTGCATCAGCTTTGCGCTCAGAATAGCAAGATAAGGAAATGGTCCCTACCATCATCCGGGTCAATCAGATCGTCGTCATCAAGAGAGGCGCGGTTGTATTGACCCCTAGCACTCGACATTGTAATGACACAGACTCGAGATGAAGCTTAGGATGGTGCGTTTCCGTCGTCCAAATGTTTGCAAGGCTTGCAAGGTTCTGCGATAACAATTCTTGGTCTTCCACGGACGCTGTCTAGCTAACAAGAAGCTGCCGTCACGAAGTTGTAGTGGGGCCGAGAAGCTGTCGACGTGGAGCTTATTTAGGTAACCTTCCACAGTTGCGTAGCGATTGTACATGTACGGTCATGGTGCCACTCCCGCAGTGGACTTGGGAAGTAGATCTACTTGAACCAATATGGGGCCCCAGACCTTGAAACTTCTGACCCTAGGAATTTCTGAGACGATTCATATGCCAGAATGTGGTTCAAGCAGCATACATGGGTATTCAAAGCCATCCGATTCAAGTGATTGATAGTTGTATGTAAACTAATAAATCATTGCACTACATACCGTACTAGTACCGATACTGATACACCCGTCCAGGGAAAAGTTTAGAGGTTAATCCTCTTTCGCAGCATAATATCCCAAACTCCTCAGACCATACATTATCAAGTCAGCAAGTGCCTACCGATTTGCTTACTTTCCAATCTCTCCAACTCCAAGACTTCCCAAATACCAGCACGCGTGGTAGTTTGCGCGCCCCGATCAACCTAGCCCATGTAAGCCGTATAAGCCTTTTATGCTTCAAAGGTCTTAACCTGGCTGGTGCTGCTCGGCGGCAGCATCGATTGGCCCTCTAGTACGCTTTGGAACCCCAGTTTCTCGCCGTCCATGGAAATATCCTGAGCCATTCTAGATCCCTGCCCTCCACCCACTTCAGCAGCGGCATTCAAAGTGTCTTGGATGGTCTGCACTTGTCTTTTGAAGGCAAGTCTGTCCAGGAAAAGCTGCTGCCTGCCACGCTCCAACTCTCTGCGTTCTTCTCGCAAAAGCTCTTCCATCTCATCAAAGTATTTGAGCTTCAATTCAAGTTTTTGGAGCATGATGTTGGCGGCTGCCGAGACCAATCGGGTCATCTCTCGCTCTTCATGCGATGCGAATACTGCCCCACGTGCACCAATAGATGCCAAGGGGATTGATGCAAGAGATGTTTTTGTTGTCGACGTTGTCGTGGTAGTAGTCGTCACGACTGTCTGTCGGAAATCCACATCCATTGACTCTGTCTTGTCCACTTCGTTGTCCTTTTTGTCAGCTTCCGCGGCGCTGCTTGCTTGGTTTGCGCCATCGAGTTGCTTTCGCAGGTTACGCTTGAGCTCGTCTGCTGACCTATTTGCCGCCGCCGCAGTGCTTGCTGGGTCTGCCAGGCTTGCCAAGAAACCCACAACAGACATGACGGGATTATCCACTTGGTTGAAAGGGAGGTGGCCGTGCTGGCTTCCCAGCATGGATAAACCAGTGGGTGGGTTTGTAGGTGCCTCAGAATCGAGATACTTTTCTTCGATATCCAACTGAAGGAACTGCAGCACACATTCTTCCCTCGTTCGAGTACCAACATGGTCGGCGATCTCTCCCCAGTCGTCGTCAAATCGCTCGAGACCTTCTAGGAGGCGTAAGATTTCGGCATCGGTCCACGGCGCATCTCGGTCCAGAATCGATGTGTATGTAGGATTTTCAACTTTGGAATACATGCTGGAGGTGTGGCTCGCGGGCAACCGGCCTTCGGTAAAGCAGTTGGGGCAAAGATCGAACTTCGCCTTCGCTCTTGCATCTGACTGGGAACTGTGGTAGTATATCCTGGTGCAATCGTTACCACATTGGTGACAGTTGATCTTAGCCACGGGTGTCTTGGCAGTTTCCTCGATAGAAGTATCGTCGCCATTCTTTTGGCTTTCTGACTTTGTAATCGGAGTGCCCTTAGCACTGGCTTCATAAATATTTCGGCCAATTCCTAGGTTGAGGTCACCCTTGTTGGGGACCGAAGCGTTGGCCTTGTCATCAGTGTCACGATTCTTCTTGCCTTCCAATACGACAGGATCTGCAGCAGGCTGCCAGGGTTGAAGTCCTCGTGGTGTATCGCATATGATTTTAAAGTGTCCGGTGAACGGTGGACCAACGTGTGATGGTCGCTGGTCGGCATCAACCTATAGAAGAGCGTTAGCAGGGTACGTCCAACAGGAGACTGTGCCTCGAAAATTACCTGGTAGTTGATCAAGCCCCATTGTTCGAGGAAGGCATGAACACGCATGATGGCGCAAACATCGCCTGCCAGATTGCGACGACAGGCCGTCATCGTGAGATATTCAACTGGGTTGAGACGGTAGGTGTTGATCATGAAATCGCGATAGTCCTTGTAGACAGCCGGTGTCTTGCTACGATTGCGATTGTTGAAAAACTCGGCCATGGCTTTGCGCTCGATATCATGGATGCTGTTCATGTCAAACCAGGTGCTGTAGCTTGGTAGAACAATAGCATGCGTCTGAGAGATGAGATGGTCTCTGGCGGCGGATTCAAACGCTTCTTTCGACTTGGTTTCTACCCCACCATTTAGTGCTGCGGGAGTATCATTCGATCCAGCGGGTAGTCCTTTCGTATCCTCAGACACATCGCCCATGTCCTCATCAAGGCGGGCGGTAGTATTCGATGCGGCAGCATCACTTGGGATATCGCCTGAATTGTCTACCGCTGCGCCAGCTGAAGGGCTTCCGCCGCCCTGTGGGATATGCTCCGCGCTTGAAGATTCCTCAGACATTTGCACATCTATCGGCCTCATTAGATATGAGATACTTCATTGAAGGCCAATTGGAAGTTACTTACCTTGAGTATCTTGACTTTTGATATTGGCCTGCGACGGTGTCTGCGAGAGACCAGGGTTGGGGGCTGGCGACGTCTCGGTTCCTGGAGAGCCGAAGGCTGTAGAGTCATCCATTGCAACGCGTCTCGGCTAGAACGATTTGAAAAGAGAATGGAGTTCAGAGGCCCAGCTTGTCAGGATGACGCGCAGCAAGCGTTGGAGAGGGAAGCTGAGTTGGTAGGGCAGTGGATGTATTTTTAACGCGACGGGAACGCCATTAGCAATTCAGCACAGTACAGGCACAAGCAGGGATACAGTCCGCACTAGTAAGGTATTTTTTTATTAGCACCTACGGGATTCTTAATTCTTGATATAATCTACATATATTAATTTTTTTTTAAATATTTTATAAAAAAAAATTATATCATTTACTTGCATATAGTTACTTATACTATTAAATTATTATTAAATCTTGATATTTAAAATTTTCTAAATAAATTCAAATCCAATTTGTAGACATATTAACAAATTTATACTTATTTTAACTGTAAAGAAAAAATTTTACTTTTTTTTTTTTAAAAAAAAAAAAAATCAAGAAACAGAAAAAGAAATCGCCTAAGGAAGTATTATACGCATTATTTTAGGTCTTACAATCTTGCGATATTCTCAACTGTTTGTCCAAGATTAATGAGTACTGCATGGGTGGTTGTACCGTGCATATGCAGTGACTAAGCGTGGATGCTTCGTGCTTCACATGCGCCACCTCTAAGTGGATGTTAGTTGCTTTGGCTGTAATGACAGCATAGTTGTCTTGCTGTCCTTGGCTGGTGTCTGGTTTCTTGCCATATACTTGGTCGCCTGGTCTCCTTTGACCGATACCATCGACGCTACTTCTTACAAATTCTTTCTTTTTCTTCCGCGGATGGTCTAATCACAGGTGATACTTCAATTGGCGGATATCCAATGCATTGCGAATATGGCAACCCCCTCGCCCGTCCACAGCGTGCTGCCCGCATCGCCATCTTTGCACCATGATATCCCGAGGATGCAATATCGAAGCCGCCCCGTTTCCGTTGCTGTAGAACCTGTTTCACTGGTCATATCCGAATGTATAGCGATCACCTCAGCTATCCAAAAGCATGCGCGCTCTTCCCATTTCTCCGTCTCTGCCATTCTTGGCGGAAACCCTAATACTATACAATTCGGATCCCCTAAACAGCAACCCCAGTCGCGGGACCGAAGTGTTGGCGGCCCATTTAGAGACGGTGATCAGGATGGATCGGCCAGCAGTCGCTGGAGCTTTCAGGGCCAGAGGGCGAAGGGCTTGCAGGATAGCCCCATGATCGCAGGATTCGGCAAGCTTCGCCATGAGATCACGGGTGTTCAGAGTGTGTACTGGTTTCGTCTTGTCATTCGCTGTCGGCTAATAATAAATAGATATTCATTCATTTGATGCCCTGACGCTCCTGACCCCATTTCTCTTCGTAATTCAAGAGAAAGGAACTGCCGCACCAATCACGATACTTGCTCTTGGCGCATTGAGAAAATTCTTAGCGTATGGATTTATTTCTTCTGAGTCTCCTCGCTTTGCGCTGGCTATGCAATCGCTCTCGGCTGCTGTTACGCACTGTCAATTTGATATCAGCGATTCAGCCCAAGGCGAAGTTGTGCTGCTCATGATTCTCAACTTGATGGAGGACATGATGTCTGGACCTGGAGGATATATATTGAGCGACGAGAGTGTTTGTGATATGATGGGGCGTGGCTTGGCTATATGTTCCCAACCTCGGTTCTCGCCTGTCCTGAGGAGAACGGCCGAAGCTGTCCTGGTTAGAATGTGCCAGATCATCTTCGAAGATATTAAACATCTTGAGGTCGAGGCTGGAGACGATTCTTCTGTCATGGATCAGTTGGCCGATCAGCACATGGAAAATGTAAAGATGGACACCACGGCCGGCAGTACTGTTGCAGAACCCATTGTCCCCGCCTCTACCGAAGACGAGTCTCCTCCCGAAGCTTCAGATAATGTTGGCAGTGAGAAGGCGGAAGAAGGATCTGAAATCATCCCCCCTAACGAAGAAAACGAAAGCGACACAGAATCTCTAGACCTTCGGCCTTACTCGTTACCATCCGTCAGAGAGCTATTTCGAGTTTTGGTCAACTTCCTGGACCCTAATGATCGCCATCATACCGATACAATGAGAGTGGTGGCTTTGCGGATAATACATGTTGCCTTAGAGGTGTCTGGTTCTTTCATAGCGCGTCATCCTGCTTTGGCAACCATTGCCAAAGATCAGTTGTGCTGTTACCTCTTTCAACTTGTCCGATCCGATAACATGGCCATCCTGCAAGAATCGTTAACAGTTACCGGAACGCTGCTCGCGACCTGCAGAGGCGTCCTCAAACTTCAACAGGAACTCTACTTATCTTATTTGGTAGCATGCCTTCACCCGACTATTCACATCCCTCGAGAAGCTGGTATTGATCCATCGCTGTACGCCGGCATACCAGAGACACCAAAACTGGTCAAGCCGCCACCATCACAGTCTAACAGCGGACGCTCAACTCCTGTTCCTGTCAAGGATAGACAAAAACTTGGGTTGGAAGGGGGTGCTCGTAAACCCGATGCCAGGCAGGCAATGGTAGAAGCTATTGGTGTTCTATCTAGGATGCCAACCTTTGCTGCTGAGTTGTTTGTCAATTATGACTGTGATGAAGATAGGTCGGACTTATGTGAAGATGTGATTGGACTACTTTCGCGTAACGCCTTACCGGACTCAGCAACATGGAGCACTACAAGCGTTCCGCCTCTCTGCCTAGATGCTCTCCTGCGATTTATACAGTTCATGGCTGAAAGAGTGCATGATGACCCTGTATACGAAAACTTTCCGGATCCCGAGATGCTGAGGGAAAAAAGACGACGGAAGAAAACTATAATTATAGGGACGAGCAAGTTCAATGAGAAGCCAAAGTTGGGATTGAGCTATCTTGAAGCGAGCAACATCATTACTGATGTTGGAGATCCTATTTCGGTGGCTAAATTCCTCAAAGGAACATCACGAATATCGAAGGCAGTTCTCGGCGACTTTCTGTCGAAAAAAGGAAACGAAGCTATCCTGGGAGCCTTCTTGGATTTGTTCGATTTCTCCGGCAAACGAATTGACCAGGCATTGAGGGTGATGCTGGAGTCTTTCCGGCTGCCAGGTGAAGCACCCCTAATCGCATCAGTAGTCGAGTCTTTCTCTGAGAAATACTGCGACTGCAATACGCTGTCTGAGGTGGCAAACAAAGACGCCGTTTTCATTTTGACATATGCTATTATTATCTTAAACACCGACCAACACAATCCTAATGTGAAATCCATGAAGAGGATGACCCTCAACGATTTCTCTAGAAACTTACGAGGACAGAACAACGGACAAGATTTTTCGCCTGATTATCTGAAGGATATTTACGAATGCATCAAGTCGAACGAGATCATATTGCCTGATGAGCACGATAATCAGCACGCTTTCGATTATGCCTGGCGGGAGCTTCTTTTGAAATCGGAGACGGCGGGCCAACTATTCACTTGCGATACTAATATTTATGACGGCGATATGTTTGCGGCAACCTGGAAGCCAGTTGTCTCTACTCTATCATACGTCTTCATGTCCGCGACGGATGATGCCGTTTTTGCCAGGATTGTAACTGGGTTTGATGAATGTGCCCGCATCGCGACCAAGTATGGCAATGTTGAAGCACTTGATCAGATTGTTTACTGTCTTAGCCACATCACTACATTGGCTACTCGTGTGCCGTTTAATACAGCCTTGAACACCGAGGTCCAGGTTGGGGATGGCAGTGTCATGGTCAGTGAGCTGGCCGTAAAGCTAGGCAGAGACTTTCGTGCTCAGCTTGCAGTGCTCGTTTTATTCCGGGTTGTCATTGGCAGCGAGGCTCTCATTCACAATGGGTGGAAACATGTCAGTATTTGCCTGCAAAATCTGCACTACCACGTCAAGCTAACTGTCTATAGATTATTCGGATATGGACCCATCTCTTTTTGAACTCCCTAGCACCACCCCTATCTTCAACGGATCTTCCAACTCTACCAATTCCAGCTATTCCTTTACAGACCCCCTCGCAGGTCATAGATAGGGCTGCAAGATCTAACGATATTGGATTTTTCTCTGCATTCACATCATACATCTCCAGCTACGCTGCGGACGATCCCCCAGAGCCATCAGACGAGGAACTGGAGAGTACACTGTGTACTGTTGACTGCATTAATTCCTGTAATATTGACAAAGTTTTGAACAACATCTCGTGAGTTTCTGCCTTTATCTTCTCTTCTTGTAAAGAGTATATTGGACCTTGCTAATCGGATATCAGTAAACTGCCCCCAGCACGCATTGACATATTGGTCCAGGCATTGCTGGAACAGCTGCCACAGAGTGACCACTCATCTGTCATTGGTGTAAAGCAAGATAATGTGACAGTCGTACCTCCTAATGGGCCGATTTCGCCATCAGGGCTCCCGACTTACGACCCCTCTACGCCTTTTATTCTTGAGCTTTGTACTATCTTGACTATTCGGGACGGTGAATGTGTTACAAATACTGCAAAGCAAGTCTTCGACTCTGTCCATGGGATTTTGCGAGACCACAGCCAGTGGCACGGTATTACCGTCTCTCGTGCAGCATTTTATGGTCTTATGATTTTGAAGTCGGGCTATGTATGCTTTCCCGCGAATCCCCCAAAACTTTACGTTGGCTAACTTGCAGCCCAAAGGATCATGATTTTGTGAATGTACCAATTTTCCTTCATACTATCTCCAGCCTACCACAAGATCTACTGCTAAAGACGGCGGATATTATCCTCTCTGGACTCTCGATTTGCACGCGTGACCCAGGCCCTCTGAGAAGTGAGATGATGACCTCACCTGATTTTTGGGTTATTTTGCGTGTGGTGGCGGGAGACGCCAATGCTGCGGCTCAAATATTTGATATCTTGGAGAGAAGCACTACTGGAACACCCCCAGCAATCATGGCCGACAACTACGAGGCAGCAATCTCTCTCCTGAATCACTTTGCATCTGCAGCTGACCCTCTGTCCTCTCGCGATTCTAAGGCGCATGAGTCGACGAAGAAAGATGCGTAAGTCTACGATGATATCCTCCAAAGGACCGGATACTAACATTATATGTAGTGAGGCCCAAGTAATAGCAAGAGGCTGCCAAGCTATCAATACCTTGCATGGCATGACGTCTCGAATCCCACAGCTGATGCAACAGTCTCATCTAGAGAGTAGCGAGGGTACGTTCCATGACATGTTATTTATCCAACTGCTACTGAACTTGAATGGTTTGATGTGTTAACATTTTCAACTAGCGTGGTCGGCCTATTGGTTACCCATCCTTCAAGCACTTACGACGCAGTGTACCAATTCCTGTCGTGATGTTCGCCAGCTTGCGTTCTCTGCTCTGCAAAGGTCACTACTTTCACCTGAGCTCACCTGCAGCGATCCAAAGGAATGGACTGCAATATTCAGCAAAGTCCTGTTCCCTCTAATCTTCCGGCTTTTGAAACCGGAAGTCTATTCCTCTGATCGGGACGGGATGAGTGAAATGCGTGTTCAAGTGGCATCCCTCCTCTGCAAGGTGTTTTTGCAGTACATGGTTCTATTATCCGAGTGGGACGGCATGCTGGATCTCTGGATTAAGATCATTGAGATTATGGATCGCCTCATGAACAGTGGACAAGGCGACAGCTTAGTACGTTCCCTCCGTTGTTCCACTCTTTTTTTACTACTGGGACGTACAGACTAACTTCTATTTGCAGGCGGAAGCAGTACGAGAAAATCTGAAAAATGTTGTCTTGTTTATGGCGACCAGCGGCTATTTAGTTTCTCCCGACAAAGATCCATCAAGGAAAAAACTCTGGGATGAAACATGGGAGAGGGTAAACAGGTTTTTACCAGACTTGCGGAATGATATTCTCAATGAAGAGAGTCCTGAGCCTACTGAGGCTAAAGTCAGCGAAGAGAAATGATAGATGAATTTTCTTTTTTCTTTTTTGACTAGAATACAACTATATTTATGTTCACTCTACATAATATTAATAATATTTGTGGTACAAAATGGTTAAACAATTGCAGTAAATGACTTGGCAACTTTGGTTATTCGATCATGGTGTATATACCAGATAATTAACCGCCGAGGCGGAATATTAATTGACCCTATCTACGCCCATGCATATATATTCCTCTATAATCTTATCATACCGTTACGCCCTCCCTCTTCCGGCTCATGTGGCTTAATTATCGAAAAGGACATTATTTTTCGTCTTGCCACGTTTTTCATTAACGCAATGGTTGCCCCTCGTTTATACAATGTATTTTGTCGTAACAGCGATTTAGTTCATTAATTAGTTTCTAGTCTTCCGAGACCGAATCGAAGAGCCGTTAGTGCCAGCGTAGTCCTCGCCGTGAGCGGGCACTCCGGATGCTGAAGCCAATGGCTTGGAAGCTTGGCGTGATGACTTTTGCGCAGTGGACTTTTTCCCCTTGTTTGCATAAGTTGCAAAATAAAATGAAATGAAGAGGACAAGATATGAGCTGAGAACAATGATGCCGGAATATGCAGCGAATTCCTTGCCAGCGCAGCTTCCCCAATTGGGCATCCAAGGCCAGTAGGTGGATGTAAAGTATGTGTATGATGCAAAGTAGACAAAGCCCAGGTCGATGACAAACTGAATGATTTGCAGGCGAGTCACCCACTCCTTCCACCAGATACGTACTCCACGGGCACTCTGGAAGTAATACCAGTACATGACGACGTGGACGAGGAGGTTCAAAGAAATAGGAACCCATTGGACTGATGTGCTGCCGATCAGCTGTGTATAGCAAAGCACTGCGGTGGCGCCGTGGTGGTAGCAGTGAAGGAAAGTCAGAGGCTTCTTCTTGAGGAAGAGGAAAACTGTATCCAAGAGTTCGAGATATTTGGTGAGATAGGTCATCTGCCAGCATGGTTAGCATCTAGGCAACGTGGGAGTCTCTTGAACGACTAGCATACATAGTACAGAACAATGAGAGGCTTTGTCCAGCCGCCATCAGCATCGCAGACGGCGAAGAGAATTCCGCGTCGAACAATAGTGGGGAGCAATTGCTCGATGAAGAGCGCCAGCAGAAGTGCGCTGACAGCCGTGAGGACGAAGTTGTGTATCAAAAAGAGCGTCTTCAGTTTGAAGGGCTCCCGGTTCCGCATCAGCTCGCGGCCACCGAAAATAATGAGATAGTAAATAGCGACAAAGATGGACGTGTCCCTCAGCGTGGACATTGGCGTCTCGCCAACAACGAAATCGAACTTTTCGGCCGGATATCCTGCCACATATTCGAACGCTTGGCTAAAGAGCGGCCATAGGTGGATGCCAAAAGGCCTCTCGACGCTGGGAAGGGGCAGTGAGTCTGCCATGGCTGCGGCAATGAACAATGAAACCCAATTGGGCTATGGAATGGCAAAAAACGGCACAATTCAACGAGAGAAATGGGACGGGGGAAAAGAAAGAAAAAAAAATAAGAGGCCCAGGTATAAGACAAGGCCAGGAAGGAACTTGGCGCCGAGTGGCTGAGAGCAGGGCGACTCGGGTGGAGTAAAGGTGGCTTTCCAGACCCGACAGTACCGAGTACTAGAGAAGGGCGATGGGATACAGCCAAGAGCGTGTCGAGAATACTCGTACACAAATACAAACAAAACAGCTGGCTTCTCTTGATCGGAGCTTTCGGATCTCGTCTCCCGCTAAAATTGCGGAGCGCGCCGGCCAGCCTACTCAAACTACTTTGTGCTACTATACCGTAACCACGATAGGTGGTGGATTATCAGCATTGATCCAATCAGCCTACGAGGTACGGAGCGGGTATATGGAATACAGTATGGCAACCTACATCAGGTATGTATGAATATATCCAAAAAAAAAAAAAGAAGGGCTTGCTTGCATTATCATTAACATTGTACGTACTGTCTGCGGCCTGTCCACCGGCTTGGAACCGCCTTGCCTACCAACTAAAACATTGCTTCACCCAATATCTATCTCACCTAACCTTTGTCCCCAACAAAGCCCTGCCTCCTTCGGCTCTGCCCTCTTCCGCTATCTTGCCGCTGACCCTTCGTCGCTCGTAAGCGGCTGAGGGGTTCGCCCAATAGTCGTTTCCGGATGAAACTTTGCGGCCACTGCCGAGTGCGGTTGGAGCCGCTGTAGCTTCATCTCCGCTGGAGTGCCTTGTGTCAAAGTGGCTGTCCAGCTGGATAGAGCTGTCCCGATACCTCTGGGACCGCATGTTTGACTCCTCCTGGCTGTGGTCAACATCCTGACTTAACCAGCTAGTGGGCTCTCCGTCAGAAGCTTCATATTGTGCGTCATAATCTATCTGGCCACGGCGAGTATTCCGAGTATTCAGCGGCCTAGGAAGAATTGGGTTCGACGTCAGGGGCTTGGAGTGTGCGACGCCAAGTCGGCCCTTCTGTCGGAGAATGTCGCCTAGGGTGCTCTCCTCTTCGCCTTCTGAATCGGAGGATATTCCGCCCATGCTGTATGGGTTTTCTAGAGCGGCATAGGACTTTGAACCTGAGGAACGATGGGATCGCACCGCGCGTTGACCAGGCATAATTGCCCGCGAAGCCACAGGTGGTCTCCGGGTTTCTGTATCCTTAGTCGCAGGAGCATTGCTGATCCTATGTGGCGATGTTTCGATTTCACGAGACGAGACCTCGGCGTAGGAGATTGGATTCGACGCGCGTGGCTGATATCTTAGCGGAGCCTTCTTGCGTTCAGGTGAAGCGCTGATCCTAGATCCCATGCTGATGGCAGAATCACGCGACTCGGTCCTTGTGTGCATGAAAGAAACTGAGACGCGTTCTGGGACAGTCTCAAAGACGCTTGCCGAATTACGACGACTCTCCAGCCATGGCTTTTCAGCTTCAGGTCCAGCGCTCGTAGTGGTGGATACAGACGATTTGTTTCTCTTGTGCGCGGGCCGGGCCGTCAAGTTATCCTCGAGTGGGTTCATGTCCGGTGGCATGAGGCTAATCTTGCGGAACAGCCATCCCAACCAGGCACTTGATGAGAGAGTGAGCAAATGCGAGCTGCCCGCGCCAATAGCGGTATAGAGCACAGCGGAGGTATAAGTGGGCATTATGTCCTGATTGCTGAAGACGATTCCCCAGGATGTCGCATTCTTATGCAAGGTGAGGGCTCCGAGAACATAACCTGCTACCGCTCCCGAGTCCAATAAAACACAGCAGAAGTGGTAGGCCGCTGAGGATGCAGGTGCTCTGGCCACCGCATCTCGAGCGAGGTGATATATGGCGTAAGCTGAGTGGGCGATTGTGATCGCTTGCTATGAAACTGTTAGACCTCCCAGTACTCGTGTGTGATATTAACAAGACCAAAGGCGGTTTGAGGCAAAGCCACATACCAGAATCCTCATTGCCCAAGCGGTTGTGTCGTCCACATTCTTGAAGAGAGAAAAGAGAACCAGCACGCCGATGGCTGCGATCAGCTGCAACAGGCGCAGCCCAAGCTGGATTCGCCGCAGCCATGTGACGTAGGCTTTGATCCTGAGATCCAAAGGGGTATAATTGCCCGATCGATGTGGTAGAATAACATGGTAGCTGAACGGAATGTCAATCGATGCTTCGTAAATCTCACTTGGAGCAGACGTACTCGGGATGGAGATCAAACGACACCAAAGGCCCTTTTGGAACAGCTTTTTTTTGTTTAGGCTCCCAGCTCGCGCGGGTAACGGCCTTTGGATCGAAAGTAGCAGTTGGGAATCTCGAATCCTGGCGCGGTGCACTATACATGAAAGGCTGCTGGCCCATTGTGTCGGAGTCGGGGCACTTCCGCCCTCGCAAGCGGTGCGCGTGGAGTTTCGCTTGCTGCGGAATGCTGCTGCTCGCCCAACAATGGAAGAAGAGAATGAAAAGGTTTGGAAATGCCAGTCGCGCAAAGGGATGGATGGCTTTTCTCCAATACGATTGTCATGCACAACACCGTACCTGTATTAGTTAGCGCATGCACGCACGAGGCGCTCAGCTGCTCCCTGCCGCTTCCCGTCTCTGGAGCTGAGCTCTGATTGGGAGCTGATGAGGCCGTCATGGGCGCCGGGGTTGCCACAGCAACGCACTTTTCGGAGCTCCGATGACCGATGCGGTCCGGCCCGATCTGCCAGTGAGAAGAATCTTAAGCCGTTCGCATTCACTCCGCCGTCCGATGGGCATCATGAGGGAACGTTTCTTTTCCACCGGAATGGCCTATCGCGAAAGCCCGTTTTCATAATGGTTCTCACCCTTGCCAGGCGTGCGGCGTGGACGCATCGAAGTCTTTCTCTGAGAGGCTCCGTGAGAAATTACAGAGTCTCACCATGTCTCTCACGGCAGGCAGATGCCCCCTTTCGCATGGCCGTAGTTGGATCTGGCCCAGCTGGGTTTTACACGGCATATCGGGTCATGTCGAAGCTTCCACAGGCTCGTGTTGACATGTACGAGGCTTTGCCAGTCCCGTTCGGCCTTGTGCGTCACGGAGTTGCGCCAGACCACCCGGAAGTCAAGGTGAAGAAGCTGTTGCCCCTCCCTCTTGGGAATATAATGATCTAACCAAGTCTCACTTTTAGAACTGCAAAGACAAATTTGATGAAGTTGCTTCCTCTCCCAATTTCACTTTTGTGGGAAATGTCTCCATTGGTCATCCGGGGCATTTGGCCGAGCATTGCACCATACCTCTTAAGGTGCTCATGGGCCATTATGACTCTGTTCTATTTGCATATGGGGCATCGGAGGACAAGAAGCTGCACATTCCAGGCGAAGCATCTCTCAAGGGCATCTACTCAGCCCGTCAATTTGTCGGTTGGTACAATGGCCATCCAGATTGCGGCCAGATTGAGCCAGATCTGTCACGGGCAGAGGAAGCCGTCATCATCGGCCAAGGCAATGTTGCCTTGGACGTAGCCAGAATCTTGCTAGAGGATATAGACGTGCTGAGGAAGACTGATATTTCAGATCGAGCCCTCGCACAGTTGGCTGAAAGCCGAGTCAAGAGGGTTCATGTTGTAGGGCGGAGAGGGCCAATGCAGGTAAGCGCAACCACTTGGACAAAACTGTTTTTTATCGTCAGTTGCGTGGCTAATTTTAATACTTTTAGGCGGCGTTTACAATCAAAGAAGTGCGAGAGCTAATGAAACTTTCTGGAGTGGCTTTTCATGGAGTGGACGACTTGCTAATCCCAGCAGCTCTTGATACTCTTCCGAGAGCCACCAAGAGACTCATGGAGGTCCTTCGAAAGGGAACGACAGCGAGCGTTTCTGAATCTCCAAAATCTTGGTCACTAGACAACTGTTTGGCGCCAAAAGCCTTTGTTGGGGACAAACAGAATCCTTCTGTTGTGGGTAGCACTGAGTTTTATGTGACGAAGTTGGAAGACCCATTCAACCCTCGATCGTCGGTTGCTCGTACGGATGAAACCATCACCCTTCCATCGGACATAGCTTTTCGCTCCGTCGGTTACAAGTCAGTGGCTCTACCGGGATTTGCCGAGGTCGGTATCCAGTTCGACGAGAAGCGAGGAATCGTCACCAACGACGGGCTGGGTCGAGCGACGCAATCGTCAGCCAACCTTGCCGAGCCTGTCGAGACTCATCCACCAGCTTTGCCTGGTGTCTACTGCGCTGGCTGGGTTAAGAGAGGACCCACCGGCGTTATTGCCTCTACCATGAGCGACGCATTCACAACAGGCGACGCTGTGGTGCAGGACTGGTTGTCAGGGGCTCCCTTTCTAGATCGCTCAGCGAACGGCACAGCTAAGGGATGGGAGGCGGTCAAGGCTGATGTTAACGCTCAAGCCGATCAGATAGTCACATGGGATCAATGGCGCCAGATAGATCAAGCTGAAACAGCACAAGGGCTAACAAGAGGTAAACCTAGAGAGAAGTTCACCAGCATTAGAGACATGCTCAGCTCCATCAAATGAAGGGCTAGGGTGTATGGTATGTATTGTATTGTATTGTATTTGTACTATATTGTTGTAGTTTAGGAGCTCTTGATCTTCTCTGTTAATTCCGGGACCTTTTCAAAGAGGTCGCCGACCAGTCCGACATCGGCGATCTGGAAGATGGGCGCATCAGGATCTTTGTTGATGGCTGCAATGACCTTGCTATCCTTCATGCCTGCCAAGTGCTGGATAGCGCCTGAGATTCCGACGGCCATGTAAAGCTGAGGGGCAACAACCTTTCCGGTCTGACCAACCTGGAGGCTGTTGTCTGCGTATCCGCTGTCGACGGCGGCTCGTGATGCGCCAACGGCGGCCCCCAGAGCGTCAGCCAGAGGCAGCATGACCTTGTCAAACTCCTCCTTTGACTTGAGCCCACGACCTCCTGACACCACCTTGCTCGCAGTAGAGAGATCTGGGCGATCCGACTTCGCCAAGTCCTCAGACACCCACTCTGAAGTAGCCTCTGATTTGGCGTCCACTCCGCTCTCTATGGGAGTGGATGCCTGCTCGGGGATCGCAGCAGGGAAGGCAGTGCCGCGGATGGTGAGAACCTTGATGGCATCGGTGGACTCGACGGTAGCTATGGCGTTTCCGGCATAGATGGGGCGAACAAATGTCTTCTCGTCTTCGATAGCTGTGACATCCGAAATCTGCTGCGAGTCAAGCAGGGCCGCGACTCTGGGCAGGACGCTTTTGCCGAAAGCAGTGTGGCCGGCAATGACGTGGGTGTAGCCGCCCTTCTTGATGTTCTCAACCAACAATGGCGCATAGTTCTCTGGTAGACCCTAGTAGTTGTATTTGTGTTAGCACCGGCTATGATATTCTCAATTGAGGGCTATGGCATCCAGACTTTGTCATATGCACCGTTCTCTACGGTGATGATCTTTTCCACTCCGTTTACTTTGGCAGCCTGCTCTGCAGCCGTTGACACGCTGCTTCCGGCCAGAAACCCGTGGACAGGGCCTCCGAGCTTGATACCCGCAGTAACAGCACTGAGCGAGCCTTGGACCAGCTGGCCGTCTCGCTGCTCTAGAATAGCCAGCGTAGAGAGGGCATTGCTTCGGCTGTACTTGGATGCCTGTCGCAGGGCTCTGCCAAAGACTGCATCTCCACGCTTGGAGAGCAGTTGTCTAGTTAGGAACAACATGATGAATCAATTGAGAAGATGCAGATGTCTAAGAGCATCGCCTCTGGTCCAGAGCAGTTGGAAATAGGTCACAACGAGCGGCTGGACACGGCCCTCGGTTGTAGATTCGGCTGCCGTTGCTCGCTCCAAAAGATGAGTCACGTGGACTCGGCCTTTCAAGGAAGAAAACGGACCTGTTCTGCCAGGTACCTAGGTACCTAGGGTGCCAAGGTGCTTAGCAGTTCCCAGTACAGAGTAACGCTGCCGCTGCAGGGCGTGGTCTTAAGTACCGAGTACTACTTGAGACCGGTGCTTGAGGATGGTCGGGGTATTCGGCAGTGAGGCCCTCAAGGTTGCGATGGATTAAGACAACGTGCTTATCTTTCAAATAGGTATGGATGAAACATCATCGTGTTAGAAGGTACCTATCTATGACATTTTTACATGGATGTTGCCAAGTAGATTGAAATCACTGCTTGTACTCCATAGATGTATCTTCCTTTGCTGTATTATTTCATCAGATGTCTAACGTAGAGAGTACTTATTGCGTTGCTCCAATTTTAATTTTTTTTTTTTTTTTTTAATTAAAATTAAAGACAAAAGGAAAAGGAAATAACACGGTTGCTTATGGATTTGAGTGGCTGAGTTGAGTCGTCACTGCTAAACTCAATTGACCTATCAAACGCCAGAATGGAACATGACCCTTTCGCGACGCCTGTCGAATCTCTCTGAAATGCGCCAAGGGATCACCTGCAGAATCCCCCATACATCAACACGCTTTGCCTTGTAGAAGCCACGCATGATCGCAGCTCAAAGGCGCCTGGTAAGTTACGCTATGGAAGCTCTTTAACTGTTCTGCCATTCGACTTCATTCTTGCTGCATTCTTGGTCTCGCATATCCACGTCCACTATCATGGCCGCCATGGGCCGGTTGGGCTTCCTGGCCGTTGCAGTGGTCTTCCACTTGGTTTACATTTATTCCATCTTCGATATCTATTTTGTTAGCCCAATTGTATCTGGCATGCAACTGGTTTCTGTGGACCGTCCCGCAAACACAAAGAGTCCTGCGGATCGATTGGTCCTTTTTGTCGGTACGGTTGTCACTGTGGCTTTCCAAGCTTGAATGCTCCATTCCCCATGGACTTGGGCTGACTTCTTCTAAATAGGTGACGGATTACGTGCCGACAAAGCGTTCCAAGCCTTTCCTGAACCATATCCCGAGTCGGACGAAGACCTTATCCCCAGGCACTTGGCTCCCTTTATTCGCTCCCGAGCCCTCCAGCATGGAACCTTTGGTGTTTCGCACACGCGTGTTCCTACCGAGTCCCGGCCCGGCCATGTGGCCATGATTGCTGGCCTTTACGAGGATGTTTCTGCAGTGGCAACAGGATGGAAACTCAACCCTGTCAACTTTGACAGTGTCTTCAACAGGAGTCGCCATACTTGGAGCTGGGGTAGTCCTGATATTTTGCCAATGTTTGAGCGCGGAGCTGTTCCCGGCCGTGTAGATGCCTACATGTACGCCGCCGATTTTGAAGATTTCTCCAAGGACGCCACACATCTCGACATTTGGGTTTTTGATCATGTCAAGGATTTGTTCACCCAGGCTGCGACCAACAAGACCCTTGACCGAGCCCTTCGGCAGGACAAGGTTGTCTTCTTCCTTCACCTGCTCGGTCTGGATACAACTGGCCATGGTTTCAGACCTTTCTCCAAAGAATATCTGCACAATATCCAAATCGTTGATAAAGGTGTCCAAGAGGTGACAGACCTCATCCAGAAATTCTACGCAGACGACCGAACCGCATTCGTCTTCACCGCGGATCATGGCATGAGTGACTGGGGTAGCCACGGTGATGGCCATCCAGACAATACTAGAACTCCTTTGGTCTGTTGGGGCTCGGGTGTGGCTTCCCCTGTTCTCCATCCGGGAACAATTGCCCCGGGCCATGATGATTTGTCGGCCGATTGGGGGCTGGATCATGTTCAGAGGCATGACGTTGCGCAAGCTGATATTGCTGCGCTCATGTCCTATCTCATCGGCACAGAATTTCCTGTAAACTCCGTGGGCAAGCTGCCTCTCCCATACTTGTCCGCAAACACCCGGCAAAAGGCAGAAGCGCTATTAGCCAATGCCCGCGAGATATTAGAGATGTACAGGGTGAAAGAACAGAAGAAGCAAGCAAACGAAATGAGATATAAGCCGTATGGTGCCTTTGGCGATGCAGGACTTACTCCGGCACAGCGTGTAGCCCACATCGATCAGCTTATCTCCCTCGGAAAATATGAAGAAGCTATTGAAGAGTCCGATGCCCTCATTAACATTACGTTGGAAGGATTGCGCTATCTTCAAACCTACGATTGGCTGTTTCTGCGAGCCTTGATCACTGTTGGATACCTCGGTTGGATAGCATATGCTATTACAACGGTGATTAACTTGTATGTGGTTCCGACATCCACCGCGCCCAAACGCAGTACCTCAACCGTTCTTGGCTTTCTGTCCATCCTGGCCGCACTATATGCGTCCTTCATTGCTTCCAAGTCTCCTTCGACATACTACGCATATGCCCTCTTTCCTGTTGTATTCTGGGAAGAGGTCTACGCTCAGAGGCACAACCTGCAAGAAGGAGGCCGGGTGCTCTTTGGGCACATTGAATCAGCTAGCCATATTGCAGCCTTTACTGTAAACGCAGTTGTTTACTGTACTATTGTAGTATCTTTGGTAAATCAATGTGAATATGGTATTGTGAATGTTACTGACCTGGCATAGGCCCTCGGCTACGTTCATCGTGAGATTCTGACTGGTCTGTTTATCTTGGGAACAATATGGCCTTTCATGTGTGGCACTTCCTTTATCCGCTCAAATGCGCTGCTCAGCACGACCTGGGCGATATCTTGTTTGGCCATGAGCACTTTCACGCTCTTACCAGCGATGAAAGTCGAGAACGTTGACCTGATGTATGTTGCAAAGATCTATACAAATCCCCTCTCTTGTCTGCATTGATGCTAACATATTCAAATAGTGTGGTCAGCGGTGTGGTCATGAGCCTGGTCGGAGTGTTGTATATGGCTTTTGAGCCATATGTACTCTCTGACTTTTCCTCTGAGAGTGCCAACTCCAGCAACCACACAAGTTCCCTGGTTGCTCGGGTGGCAACGGGTATTCAGGTATGTTAGCTATAAGCCCCTTTAACATCATGAATACACGGGAAAGATGCTAAATGTTCATCACAGGTTGGCCTCATTATCCTTGCCACATTAGTGACTCGCTCCAGCTCCCTGTCACTTCAAGCCAAGCAGGGCTTGCCTTTGGGTAACCAGATCATGGGATGGATTGTTCTTGGTATGTCTTCTAATACAAAATACTAGCCCAGCAACAGGTCAGCCAGGGAATTCTAACACGGGAAAATAGTATCATCTTTTTTGGCCCCCATGCTACATCGGTTGTCGCCAAACAGCAATTTCATGCACCGCCTTGCCATGATTTTCTTCACCTGCGCTCCGACTTTTATTATCCTCACGATTTCTTATGAGGGTTTGTTTTACGTCGCTTTCTCACTCCTGTTGATCATTTGGGTACGTCTAGAGTATCGCATCGAGACGTTTGGCAAAAGCCAAACTGCCAGTGCGAATGGGTCTGCGAAGACCGACAAAGCCGCATTGTCGCATCGACCGTTGCGGCTATCGGACGCGCGCGTGTCCCTGTTTTTTATGGTCTTCCTTCAGTCAGCTTTCTTCAGCACTGGAAACGTTGCGTCTGTCTCATCCTTCAGCTTGGACAGCGTTAATCGACTGATTCCCGTGTTTGATCCATTTTCACAAGGAGCACTGCTGATCCTCAAGCTGATGATCCCATTTGTTCTCATCTCCGCAAATCTCGGTGTTTTAAACAAGCGACTTCAAGTGGCGCCGTCAGCATTCTTCATGGTGGTCATGGCAGCCAGCGATATCCTGACTCTTTACTTCTTCTGGGTTGTCAAGGATGAGGGTTCTTGGTTGGAGATAGGATCTACTATCAGCCATTTTGTGATTGCCAGTCTTCTGTGCGTATTTGTCGCCGCACTCGAAGGAGTCAGTGCTATGTTCATCAATGGAATTGATGTTAGCGACGGCTCACCTCACAGCCAAAAGATCCAGGCCAACGGCAACAAGAATAAGAAGGAGACATAGAATTAAAGGATAGATGTTTAAGCATGGAAGGGGACCCACTCGGCCATTTTCCCTTGCGATTAGGGAAGCTGCGGGTGCCTTGATTATGATTATACGATTATATCTTGCATTAGATTTAGAAATTAGTAGAGATATATTGTTTGCGTATATAATTTTCTTTGGATGGAGCAAAATACTGGCTGATCTTTTTTTTTTTTTTTTCCATTCCCAACTTTCTCTGATCTACTTTGCCAGAGTTATGCCAAGTTCCTGCGATTTATCTCTGACCTCCTGTATGGCTCCATCCGGATTCGTTTCATCAGGATTTCGTAGCTGCCAAGCCATGCATATGTCCAAAGCTTTGCCCATCCAAATGCCTGGCGGGATGCCCAGTGCTTTAGCCAGAGCGCGGCCATCTATGATACGCTTCAGATTTGGAGCGTCGTAGACGTCAAGCTCAGCGAGATGTTTGAGGAATTTGTCCCATCCATGAATAAATTCGTCACGGTCTATGATGAATCAAGGTCAGCAGGTCGTTTTAAACTCAGTGCTGATGTATTTCCATGCAAATGCTTACCTTTATTATCTCCTACAGGAAAGTCCTTAAGCTGCTCCATGGCATCAACCAGTATCACTCCCAGGACCTGGAGCTTCCAGTTCCCGCCCACTGATTCCCACTTTCTGATGGCCATGCCGACCGAGTCTCGCTCATGTATTGTCGGTGCAACTTCGCACACTGCCTTTTTCAGTTCAAGAATCTCGACACGATGTTTGTGACAGGCCGCCATGATGGTCGTAAGTTTATTCGAAGCTTTAAATCCTTCGCGAGCAATGATACCAACAGGGGGTAGGGCATTCGCTTTCTGCTTGCGGCCCGAACGATCTTCTACAGGAATCCAGGGGCTAACAGCGGCGAGATTCCATGCCAAGTATGTGCCCTCACCATGATCAACAAGTACCTGGCATATTGATCCGGGATCATGATTCCGCAACAATTCGTCGAGGCAACTATACGCAACGTGCCATCGGGATATGGCGGGCATCGATGTGTTTTCTTGTAGCGGGTCGCTGAAGATGGCCTGATAGAGGCCAAGGCGATCAATCAGCTCCAAGGCCACTCGGGGGGTTTTATCTTTATTGATTCATGTCAGTTTGCCATTTCTGTAATGAGGAGATGAGTTTAGAGGCTTGCCTTTCAACATCTTTTCCAGCTCGACGCCAACCCTTTCGCGGCTGATTTTTTTCCGGAGAGCCTCAAGTACCCTATCATCGCTCATGAACTTTTCTGACTCTACGTCTATGGTAAAACCCAACCGAGCAGCGAACCGAATTAGGCGCAGGACTCTTAGAGGGTCGTCCATGAATGTCTGGAAAGGCTCCAGGGGAGTTCGGATTGTCTTTGCCTCCATGTCGCGGATACCGCCAGTGAAATCTTCAATCTGCTCTGTGTGCAAATTATAGAACAGGGCGTTTATGGTGGCGTCACGCCGAAGTGCATCTTCCTCCGCAGTGCCAAACTCCATCTGAGGGTTGCGACTGTCTTCGGCGTACGTCTCTTTGCGAAGGTTGACAAAATCCAGGTCCATGCCAAACAACTTGACCATGGCGGTCTCAAGATGCTTGGACTTGTCCGGGTTGCTTGCGATGTGATGAAGCCTGCCGATGTCTCCAGGGGCAAATCCATGAGTCTGAGCGGCATCGGGTTGTTTGCAATACTCTGAGAGGTGCTGTGCGAATTGCTGTCCGGTCATGGCATTGATTGCGACGTCAATATCATGGCTCTCTCTTCCCAACAGCCTATCCCGCACCCAACCTCCCGCCCAACGCAGCACCAGCGGCTGGTCGAGCTTGGCCGTTGTATCGATGAATTTGGCAACATTTATTAACAGAAGCCGAAGCTGCTGCTCACGCTGCGTGAGCTGGACTGATTTGTTTGTCGACATGGTGGTCAAAGTTGTATCTCCCAGGAACGCACTGAGTTTCCTCTTCATCATGAGGCGAGGGCCATACAATCGCGACAACATAAAAAGCTCAGCTGCATTATCTTCTGATTGATTGATGGTTAGTCATGTCACCGGCTGGCTGTGAGTAATGGGGGTTTGAGTCATACGAGGCGTGTGTAAACAATGACCTTTTAGAGGTCTGCGATAAAGCTGTGCTGATAACTTACCCTAGAGAGTATGGGGTAGCTCTTGGGCTGCTTGATGGGGGAAGCATTGAGTCACTATTAGCAAGCTAAAACTCAGAGCCAGATGCTAGGAATTGCAGGTGCCTTATGTGCGCCTCGGCGCCACAGAGCATGGATGCATGTTAATTTAATAAAATCAATTATCTATTCGACAATGGCATGAGAATTTACTTTGACAAAGAGCCACACAGAATGTGCATGGCCAAAGAGTGACGTCATCGCCATAATATGTCTGCTACAAGTAAGTAGACTTGAGGTACCTATTCTTGCCCATTATCTCTATTTTATTTTGTCTTGCGAACATCATCTGCCCAGGATGGCATAATTTCCCTACACACTGCCTCATAGTCCTTCAGGTTCTGTCCCTTGGCGCTCAGCTCCAGCGTCGTCCAAAACATTGCCCAATTGCAACCGGCCAGCTTACTGGTGCCTACCGACCGCTCAAAATACCACTTATTGACGGGGTTATCTTTCCTGCTCCTCCAAAGCACCCCATCAGGAAAACAGTCTCGGACCATGGCGTTGAATATGATGTCGGCAACACCCCCGCTGCCTTGACGGCTCTTGAGAACGGCGAATTTATCAAGGTATGGCACAAAACGCCCCTGCTCATAGGCCGTCCGAGGGTCGATGGCCTTGGGCCTCTCCCAGGTTAAAATGGCACATCCTTCGTACTCTCCTGCAATAATGACACCGGCCAGGTTTTCATTCGTCCGCCGCAAGTAGTCATCCACGTCTAGCTTGCGGCCGAAGGAATCCTCCATGAGGGTGACAAGTCGCTTCAAATCGATCGATTCGTCCGTCAGCTGCAGACGACGCTCTCCAGGCGCTGGAGGTTTCCATGGCGCTGTTCTTGGATCGGGGAAGATAGCCAATGGCATTCCTCGCTTGACAAGAGTTGCATCAATTGACTCTTCAGTATCCGGGTATGCTGAATCCGGAGAATGAATGCGCTGGAGCGGCAACGACGGAGAGAATACCGGCTTATCGGTCAGTAGATTGTGAAGCAGAGGATTCTGTTTTCTGCGAGTCGTAACCATGCCATCAAATCCAAATTGATGCTCGCCGTTTCGAACGGGAGAGAGCCCCGAGTTTGAGGAAGTGAACGATCTGTTGGCCGCGGCGAATGGTGTAGTTATGAGCACAGAGGCTGTTTCTGGTAGGAGAGATAGAGTATCCCTAGCCAACTTGATGTTTTTGGCATGGGCTCTATTCGCCTCATCAGATCGACTGTTTTCTGTTTTCGATGAGCTCTCATAGCCCTTTAGATGACCCAAGAGCGTGTCGTATTCTTGCTCAAGGTTAACAAATCGCTGGCGGGCCCCGGGACGACCGGGTACGGGGGTACCGCCGAATGGATCAAGGATAATGACTCTTTCGACAGAAGCAAGGGGTCCGGCGCCTTGTCCAAAGCTACCATTCTGACCTCGACCAGGATCTTGCTCAAACTGGATTCCAGTAAAATATCTCGTTAGTGCAAGAGAAGTTCTTTGAGCATCAACAGGCACGGGTGTAGTAGTTTCATCGTCCCGCGCAAGAGATGGAATGACTGTGATCATGTTGTGTTGAAGTGCCCGATTGAGGATGCCATAGTCTTGAACAGATATGTCATGCCAAAAAGGAGAAGGCGAGGTCCCTTGGTAGTGAGAAGTGCTGGCAAGCACATTTTCAACCAGCCTAGCTCCTGGTTTGCCAAACGAGTCGATAGCGTCACAGAGCCTCCAAGCCTCGTGCTGAAACGTGGAACGGCTCTCTCCCACGTCGCAATCCACAACAACGACGCTCATGAGTCCAAGAACCCGAAGCTGATTTAGGGTCTTAGCTATTCCGTTCATCGTGTCTGGCCGCAGCTTTTGGGGGTTCCGCAGGATCACAATGGCTACATCGAAGGGAAGTTGAGCTTGAAGCTGCGTCGTGGGGGACTTGTGCTGATGTTCAACTTGTTTCGATGCTCCAGCTGGGGGGGTGGGATTTGGTTGAGCATATTTTTGAAGATAGCCTTTGGCATCTCGCCGTGTGGCGGATGACTCTAGAACAGATACAATGACGTCCTGTTATCAAGTTAGTCCCGGCTTCTACAGGGCCATTGATATGTTAAAGCAGAGTTGCCGCGGGTCAAAAGCGATTAAGTAGCTGATACGCACCCGATCAGGCTTTTGCCGCTTCGCTCGGGCCGTTGTGGGCGAAGAGAAGCTGCGAGCAACTGCTGGCTGGGGTGAAGAGCCATTCGACACATTGGAGGCCCCAAGCTTTCCAATTGCCGCCCTAGTTTTGATTATGGACCAATTAAAAGACGATGAACATGGCGAGGCCAGTCTTTTCCTCAAAGCGAGTATGCCGTAGTTAGGATGGGAGGAGTTGAGGTTGGCACGGTTCCAGCATATGTGAGAGGCCATGCCGCATCTCGGACCCCCGGGAGGGAGCCTTGATGAGGGTGTGAATCCAGAAACGCCCTGTTTTAAGTCGAATTGATAGTGCTAACGATCCAGTAGCTCAGGCTCACTTCAAGAAATACATCCTGAGATATCTTGGCGGGGGATAGTTGAGAGAGCTTGTGAGACGGATGAAAACAATTCAAGCAGCAGTCATGAGCGATGAGCAAGCAAACAAAAGCAAACAATGATGACTTGTTCAACCCAATGGCCGATTATGGACGCTGATTAGTTACTGATGCATTAGACGGGGGAACAAGTATTGACACCCTGTCGTGCGCTTTGCAATTGATCTTGATAGGAAATTCTTCTAGTGTGGAGTTGCATGTGCTTGCTCGGTACCTGCACAGCAAATTACCGGTGCTAAGGGACCCAACGCAGCAGCTACGAGTTATGACTCTTTGCCGTTACCGGCCATTTCCACCGAGGTTGGTCATACTTTAAATGGACCTGGATTGCTACTTGGATAAGTTCGAGTCGTTCAATTCTGCTCAGCCCAAACATACCACAATTTTATCTGGCGATGTTATTTTAGTGTATGAATGCTGCACTCTTAGAGCTTCAGCTCCATTTTCTTTTTCCAACACTCTTCTCGATTTCCCCTTCCCCAATCAAGCTCTCGCCCTCCCTGTAAGATGACACACCGATTCTCTCCCCCACACGAGGTGAAACTACAGGCAACCTGCCAATTACATACAAGGATGTCCTTCGTATGCGGTAACTCATCTCCAAACTCGCTCCTCAGCCACGCTTCCAGGCTGTCTTTGGCGTCGCAAAAACGCCTAGCCCATCAAACGTGACTCACGCCGAATGATGGTTTCCCAGTCTTGTCACCACTGCGCGTCCCGCATCCTGAGGCTCGAGCTTCACAGTTGACCAAATCCGCGAATTAGTACATGTATTTATTATTCTGTGTGTTGGAGGGAAGACAACGCGGTTCTCACCCATCGCCTCGCCCTTCACCAATCACTCCGTAATTCTTCAATATACAGCTGTCAATCTCCAAGATTTATGAATAACACCTCACTCTCTCCAAATCAATCTGTTCAAGCACCCGCGTTTCCAATGGAGCAATTACCAGGTGATGCGACCGCTGAGCGGTGCTTTGAAGAATCTCACGATACTGCGCTCTGTTTGATACCTCCTCCCCAGCTTTGGGGTCCTGTTAATGCGTTGCGATCCCTCAATGATGAAAAATTCACGAAATGGCCACCGCACATCACCCTCGTTTATCCGTTTGTTACGCCAGAAGCCCTCCCCGACGTGGCTGAGGCATTGTGCCGGAATAAGATTGGATCATTGGACGACGACATCTCCATCAACCTGGAAGAGGCTGGATTTTTTTCACATCGTCGACGAGGTACCGTCTTTATCCGACCCAAACCTGGACAGCAAGTCAAACATCTCTCAGAGCTGAGAGACCAAATCCACCGCTTTCTCGGCCGGCCCAGAGGCAGAGAGTACCGGCCTCACTTGACGCTCGCTCAGAGCGAGGATACCCAAGCATCATGGCACCAGTTTCTCCTGGAAAAGGCACGGCTTTTGACGCCGTTGGTATGGCACACCCGTCAGCTTGCAGTCATGATACGTGACCCTGTATCGCCGAACAGTGCGGGAGCCTCGCGACCGATGAGGCTTTGGGGGTATATCGACCTGGCATCTCACTCCCTCGTTCGCGATGCTACAACCTTGGCCGCAATCCCTAGTCTGCCAGTGGGTGCTTCTCTGCCACGTCCTCAAGCCACATTTCACCATAATGGAGTGAACATGTCATGGGAGCCTCTCTCAGATTCCATCACCAACGCAGATATTGAACCGACTCCGCTCAATCGTCTTGTTATCGCCTCTTATAATGTCCTGGCCGAATTTGATTGGCCGGCGAGCTCATCTCGGTATCCAGCACTTGTTGGCAACATTCTATCGGAACGCGCTTCGGCCGATATTCTTGTTCTTCAAGAAGTCACTGATCAGTTCCTCAGCTTTCTACTAGCAGATTCCAACATCCGCTCGCAATATCCTTACACTACTCATGGACCGCCTGATCAGCATGGCATTGCTCCTCTACCTAGCCATTTAAATACTGTTGTTCTGAGCAAACTTCCATTCCAGTGGGAATATCTTCGGAGCTTTAAACACAAGGGATTTGGGATTCTCGAATTCCCAACGGTCCAAACTGGAGGGCCTTCAGAGTCACCCCTGAAGCCCTTAGTATTGGCAGCCTGCCATCTCAGCAGGGGACTAACCGACGCTGCGCTAGCTACCAAAAGAGATGAGATAAAGAAACTTGTCGAGTATTTGAACTCTTCGTTTCCACAGCATCCATGGGTACTTGCTGGCGATTTCAACTTGGCCTCATCCTCGCATACAATCGATCAAGCGCTGAAAAAGGGCGAAATTTCTGAAAAGGGGCTCGAGTGTCTTGAAGAAATCGAGGCTATTGTGTCTAAAGCTGGGTTGCAAGACACATGGCTGGTTTCCAGAGTTGGTCCTGGAGAATCTTCGAGTACAACTGGAAGCCACGAGTCAAACCTGGGGCTTTATGAGGGAGAACAAGGAGCAACCTTTGACCCAATCTCGAATAGCCTTGCCGCAGCCTCAATTGGCGCTGGCGGCAGTCGCCCACAAAGATATGACAGGATTTTGGTCACCAAGTCTGCTCAATTACAGCCCTATGGTTTCAACATGTTCGGCCAGGTCATGGACGCAAATGAAATCACCTCTCAGGACCCAGCTAGTGACCACTGGGGTATTCGCTGTCTTCTTGTGCCGTCACCACCCAATGCAGGTGTTGAGTCGTCATCCAATTCCAAGTTTCAGGGAATTAGTCTGCGCAAAGCCGCCCTCACATTGGGTAGCTTTGACGAGTTAAAAGACAGTTTGGTATCTAATGGCCAGTTTCCTACTGCTTCTGACGCAGAGCTGAGACAAGAGGCAATAGCTCTCCTGCAAAGGACTTTGCTAGAGAATGATACTACTGCTGCTGAGGCCGAAAAGCGCTCACATGTTCAGCTTGTCCTCATCCCTGTAGGATCATTTGGCCTCGGCGTGTGGACCAGCTTGTCAGATATAGACTGTCTCTGTGTAGGCAACATAAGTTCCAAGACATTCTTCTCTTTGGCAGTGCAGAAGTTGAAGAAGGCTTCCACGAGCGGCATAAAAATTCTACGCCGTGTCATGGCAAATACTGGAACAATGCTTGAGCTAGAGATCCATGGCATCAGATTTGACCTTCAGTATTGTGCTGCCGCAGCAATTGCTCAAGGGTAGGACTTATATCTCCCCCTTCTCTGACCCATTTCACTCTACTGGAATTTACTAACACCTCAAGCAGATATCCTGATGTTCTGAAAAGACCTGCATCAGATCCTGTCTTCTCCTTGCCGGTACAATCCATCGCAAAACTGAAACCTGCACGGGATCTCGTCTACCTAAGAAGGTCCATTCCTGATATGACTAAATACCGTGTGGCACATCTTTTCATTAAGGCTTGGGCACAATCGAGAGGTCTGTATTCCGCAAAATTTGGATTATTAGGAGGGATTCACATCACCTCTTTGCTGGTGCCTGTCTGCAAGGCTTTAGCGAATGAACCCGAAGCAGCGTCCACAGCTGATATCCTAACCTCCTTTTTCTACCACTACTCAACATTCGACTGGGAAACAGGGGTGGTGTTCGACCCTTTTTACCATCGTGACTTGAAATACCATCGCACATTCAGGGAGCCACTTTGCCTACTTGGCTGGCATGGACCATCTCTTAATACAGCATCTAGCGCCTCCATCTCCACTGTCAATGCTCTGGCTTCCGAGCTGACCAGAGCTGCGGCTCTCCTTTCTCAAGATGGGATGACATGGAGCAAATTCCTCGGCTTGGAGCTATCTGGGACGCCGTCGAGCCTGATAGAGAAAGGCGCTGCTGATTTCCTTGACTCATATCAAACTTACATCAAAATAAGTGCACGCTACTGGGGATCCTCTCAGCAGAAGGGAAGAAAGTACCTGGGCTGGCTGGAATCGAGATTTATATCTATACTTGTTGGTAAGTGGTATAATGAACGAGGCCGTGAAAAACACAGGAAGTACTCACATCCAAAATAGACATAAGCCGAAAGACTCTGGGACTTGTACCGCGTATCTGGCCAGCCAGATTTATAGACGAGGATCAAACTAGCGGTACCAGCGACGAGAACTCGGAGCTTTCGGCCTGTTATTTGATAGGGCTCAAATGGGTTGACAGTATTGCGGACAAATCTGCGACGAGTCAAGCCGCCGCAGAAGGCAATATCCGTGTCATCCTCCAGGAATTCGAATCTCGTGTCCAGAAGAGCGACAAGTATTATGACTCTGAAAACTGTTGGATGAGTGCATCCATTATGCGTCGATCTAGCCTCGGCCCTGTGCGACTTGCACCCGGACAGCTGTACGAGTACGACGGCACCGATACGGATCTGGACGACGACGGCGAAAGCGATTTGGAGGAGGGAAACGAACCAGAAAGCGCAGCCTACGTCTCCAAGAAAGACTCTCGATCGCTGAAGACGGGCGCCTCCAAGTCTACATCCGAATCTAGCAAACCGGCCGGAGCAGGCAAACTCCGCAGCGCAGTCGACGCCATGAATCGCATCCGCTGGGATTCTGGCATGGACTCCAGTGATTATCTAGTCGGATATGAAGATCGTTTCCTCGGAGCGCAGGAGAAGGCATTGGACAACTGGAGAACCGAGCAAACGGATGAGGAGTTTATTCCGCAGCATCGAATCTTGTACTTTAGGCGCAAGAGTGACGGAGCAATTGTGTGGGATAGGAGGACACGAGTAGATACGATATTCGGTAGCGGATAAAGAGAGACTGAAGTCGATGGGTTAAGCATTATGCGCTAGATATCTTGGTATACTAGAGTAAAAAAAATATTATATATAGATAGACTTGGCTGTCACATTGTGCTGTCGCGCGTAGCATACAGTTGAATCTAGTTTGAATAGCCATGCATGTAGATGACATCCAGTCAGGGTTTAGGTAGATTACCCAGAAGCCACCCTCCTTTCTTTACTTCTCTGTTGAAGTGATTTATCCCATTGTCGACACCTTATCCGTGCTGTTGACAGGGGAGCTCGTTCATCTAGGAAGAGGCCTATCATCACTCTGTAGTTCGTTGCCAGCAAGTCCCTCAGAATGTATGGTTGAAAGAAATCCAGAGGTCACAGCAATCACTCGATGGACACTCATTCAGCCCCCTGTGGTCTTCCGTGAGAATGAATCAAATATTTGGCGTTATCATATGCGTCTGCCACAGACCCTCAAGGCGCCTAAGTGGCGAGGCTCATGAACACACCCGCAATCGATTGCTTGTCATACTTGACATATTTGCCCTTTCCTTTGTCAATCTCATGGTAACGATCCCAAAATCGTTCATATAGGGGCTGCAGCTTTTGACGAATGTCCTGACCGAACATTGCTCGCACTTCGCGATCCATGCTGTAAGATTTGTGCTTGGTCACCATGTCATCAAATGCGTTGTTGAACTGCGTGAACTTCTCCTTGATCTTGTCCTTGTCCTTGCTGTTTAGGCCCTTTACTACCGACGCCGAGTCGGCAGAATCCGCATGGCCAGAAGTCGGGCGCTTGGTTCGGTTTGTGTGGATGGTATCGAATAGATAGACAGATATGTCCCTACAGATATCGGTGTACATAACAGTGGCCTTCTTCCTCCACTGATCAAGCAAATCAAGACGAGAATCAAGCAGTGGACCAAGCTCTGAACTGCGAATGACATGATCTATAACGACAACACTGTTGGCCAAGAAGACGCCTAACAGAGACTTGCTTCTGAGCAGCACGCGGCCCTTTTGGTCCAAAGAGGAGAGCAAAACCTCGATAGTGTCAAGACAATATTTGGCGAAGAGGTCTTTACCGTCGGCGCCGACATCAAACGAAGCGAGACTCGGTATTCCCTCTGTTGTGCGACCACTGGCAGCTGCTCCAGGCTTCCAGCCGCCGTCGCCGAGAGATATCATGATGCTTGAAATGGGTCTTAAGAACTCCACCATGGAGTTTAATCGTTGCATCGTCTCCGCTACGATGGGACTTGCAGCTCCGTCCGTTGGAAGAGTCTGTAAATTACCTATTTTCCGCTTGGTTTCGTCTAACAACTCGGCAAGGGAAGATTTGGCTGTCTCACGGACGGGTTTCAAAGCGGCAGATAACGACCCCTTCAGTTCACCCGTGCGCTTGTCTAGGTTATTGGATAGGCCAGAGATGATTTCAGTGACCTCGTAGGCCATATAGCAGTCGGTAGTAAGGTGAGATTTGATGTGCGTATTGAGCTCTCGCAAAGTTCGGGCCAATTCAGTGACAGCAGCCTGACATGTCGCCTGCAGGATGGGGCCCCAGTCCTCACGGGTGAAAATACTGCAGATATTGTCATATTCTGCAATGAAGATGCCCTCCATAGCCTGAGTGTATGTTCCAATACCATTTGCGCCTGCTTGGTATATATCGCCTGGGTTCTTCTTCTTGGCGGTATTGACACTCGCTGCGGCCAAATTGGCAAGGGAGGCCGATAAATAAGGCCCTCGTATATCGGCGTATATCTTGGCGACAGAAGAGTCGAAGCCGTTCGCGTAGTTTCCCGCGACATGAGAATAAATGAGACCTAACCGAGCAATCTTGTCTTGAGATAGCACGGGAAAGGGCTTGTCTTTGGTTATGTAGTGGAGCGGTTCGAGTGATCGGGGGGTTTCGCCACGAAGAATCTTGTCGAAATGGTTCTCTAGCTGGGTATTTCCCAGCTTGATGAGGCGGGTCAGGTCATTCATGGTGCCCTGATTTGCGCGTAGGTTAGAAGTCTGCATTTCTTTGTATGATATGCTAAGACGTTTGATGGAAGCCAGGTAGTTGGACAGGCCAGCCTTTTCAGGCCCGGATCGAATGATTTGCTCCTCATCGTCTTTACTATCTGACGGTTGACGTAGGCGATCGATGGCCGCAAGCACAGACTCGACATCTAGCTTCCCTACTTAGCAGTGGCTCGAACTTCGACAAGAGAGTGTGGCTGACTTTTGGAGAGTGTCTGCAGGCGCCTCGTCTCTCCGTTTAGAGGACCGGCGACATCTCGTACGCTTTGGCCGGTAGCTTCGAGTCGGCCGAGGGAGGCTTGGATCTTCTTGGTCAATTGGGTTGTTCTATCGAGTCTGGAATTCAACACGTCAACTTCCGCTCTAGCTTCCTCATCTATAGCATGGTATGTGCTATTGGACAAAGCACCAATAGCCATGACGCGTGCAACAGAGATTCGGCTACTGGAAAACGAAGAGAGTTGAAGAGCAGTGTCATCTACGATCCGAGGTGCAGGGGCAGTCGCATCTGGGGGTTAGCGGGAGATTAGATTCGCCAGCTGATAAGAGCTGGGATGATGCATTCTAAAGTTAAGCTGTATTAGGTAAGCAGCCTTCAATGTAGAAATGTATATTGAAACGAAGCGGCATACATACCTTACCTACTATAGGTAGTAATAGTCAGAAAATACCATGGTAAACTGTTTGCATACTAATGTATTAGGTGTATTTGCTATATCAAATTAAGATAAAAATACCATTGCGACAAGCTTATGCATTAGGTTATGCACTTAGGTCGAGGTTTAAAAACTCTTCGACTTCTTGATATACATGATTGAAATCAGTTTCTCTGTCATTTACCTTTGACCAAATATAAGTCAAATCCTCATTTTGACTCAGTAATTTCCCTATTGCCTCTGCTCGATTAGTGACCTCTTCTGGCACACCGCTTATTAAAGCACATTGGCTGCCAAGGCTTGTAGAGCTGTATCCTTCAACCAGCTTGAATAAGTAAGTGACTTTATCTTCAGCATCGACAGCGTCCAAGTCGATTCGCACATCCATGTGTGCCAATGCAAGTTGGTCATAGCGTTCTAAGTATCCATTGGCAAATACTTCGGAAAAATGTGTAGCAGCCAATACTTTTGGTGACTGCTCTGCTGAAGAAAGGAAATAGTCCAGCATTGCTGTAAACATCCCAGCACCATCATCGGCTGTAGTTCCATTTCCAAACTCGTCCAGTATGACCAAGCTTCGTGATGTAGAATATTTCATGGCGTGTGAGACTTGTTTGAGATCCAGAGCGAAGGTGCTTCCAGTACCGGACACGCTCTCTTGTGACGAGATTCGAGTCAAGATTTTATCCACAGTGCCTATCACGGCTTCATCAGCCGGCACAAAGCTCCCTATATGTGCCAAGTACACAATAACTGCAACTTGTTTGATGTATATACTTTTTCCAGACTGATTTGGTCCAGTTAATACTAGCGCTTGGACCGGGTGTCCTGGTGTAGTGCTGTCATCGCCGATGTAGCAATCATTTGGGATAAACGAAGGAGTCAGCAACTCTTGCAGCGGATGCCTTCCACCTGTGATGTGAATGGTATTTGCAGTTGTCATCTGAGGTGCGTTCCAGCCATACTTTGCAGCGCCAATAGCAAGGGCAAGGAGGGCATCGAACTCCCCGCAAATAGTTGCAGCTGCCAGAAGTGTATTCTCGTGGGCTATGATATCCACGGCCAACTTCTGCATCACCTCAACTTCCCTGTCTTCTAGTAATTAGTAAACCTGTTGGCTCAGTCGGGCGATACGAATCATACCGCTTATTTGAGAATATATATCTCCATACTGGTCGTCGAGGTCCATCATATGGCGATTTTTGTAGTATGCCGATTCATTATTAGTGAATGATTTCTTCCACAGACCGTCGCCTGTACATTCCACATCAAACCTTCTGCCGGATTGTTGAGAATCTTGCTCAACTACAGTCAAAAACCCAAGCTGAGGGAGGAAGATGCAAGATCGGATATGCCGACGTGCCCATATTGGCAAATCTTGGGCGACGTGGTTGGCAACTTCTGTTAAGAGACTATTCATGCCATCATATTGCCGCTTTAATTCATCTAGTTCAACGTCAATGCCGGGTTTGACTGAATAGCGCTGCTGGGACTTGGTCTCCTCAAAGTTGACGACTCTATCAATCATGTCGCCTACTCGAGTCAGGGCTTGGGGCGTAATTCCATCGATAATCTAAATGACTGTTAGGGCTAGTGTAAGAGAACTTTTAGGTTACTTACCTTGCGGATGATACTACCCTGATTCGTGTCGGAGAAAGCGATTGCAACCTCTCTCAGTTTAAGGGACTGAGATGCGAATCTTCTTAGAGTACCCTATACACTAATATTGAAGGATCTGTGGGAAGACGGAGAGTTGATGCCTTTGTGAAGATGTGAGATTGTATGCTCTATATTTCCCACTTTCCGTAGGATAGAGCTAGCGCGTCTTGTCTTTTCCTCGTTCTTGGGTTCGAGAAGCATGGAAATGGTACGCTGCCTATCTGTGATGATGCGTAGATTTGATGTGGGATTAAGAAACATGTGTCGGAGGTGGGCTCGACCCTGAGGGGTGGAAGCTAATGGATGAAGAAGACCGTATACCGATAGATTCTCCTTTTCAGCTGAGCTTTTAGAGTCGACATTCCATGCTTGGCTATTTGGGTGTGACTCATGATTGATAATCTGGAGGGATAGAAGAGACTCCTCGCCGATGAAAACGTGATCCGATAAGTTGAACATTGTGATGGATCTCACATCAAACAGAGATTCTGCGCTAGAGCTGCCAGAGCAGGATGCGAGTGACCGACGTCGGTGTAACTCTGTAAAAATGGCGCCTGCGCAGCTCAGCTGTTCTTATGAGTACTCACCCAGGTAATAATTGTGATGATACGGTTGTCTACTCACAGATGCAACACTATCCAAATCAATTAAAGAGCCGCAGCGGATTAGTTTCATGCATTGTGGCTCTTGGTGATCGGGATTTTTTAGATTTTGGGTAGTGTTTCCAACATATTGCCTCTCAGTGTTCGATGGCGATGCACTCGGAAATGAGGAAACTCCACGAGGATATAGCGATGACAATTCCTCGCAAGCAAACATGTGCGAGAAATCAGAAGGCGACATTAGGTGAAAAGTGGGTTCTGATAACGACAGAAGGAGGAAATTAATACATTTAGCTATGTAAAATGTAGAATGCATAGGGAAATGCTTACCTTTGGCATTCCTCTCAACATGCTTCTCAACAAAGGTCAGGATTGTTTCGGGAACTCGCCGTGACATCAGAATCGTCGTCGCCTGCGCGAAGTTGAGAAACTGTTCTGCTACATTTTCGTTTGCCATGGGTATGTCGTTCGCTATCTTAAGCAGGCCGTCGGCTGTGGAGAAGATGCTGCATCCCATTATCTTTTTGTCTTTCACGTCGATGGCGATGATGGACTCCCAGGGGTCGCGGACCTCGGTATCTTGATCGCGCGCGGCATCTTCTGCAACTTCCATCTTGGAGTATCTCACTACCTAGGTAGTAGTAACGATTGTAAGAGGGATGGAGGTTGTTGGATGGAAGAAGCTGTTAGCATATACGGAGTAGCTGACGCAATATGGGAAGGCAGCTGTGGTGCGATTTCCCCTGTATGTCACTTATCGATAGGACCAGATTGTTGAGCAAGAGCCATGGAAAATGCGTCATCACAGCATCATGGAGAGGAAGGAAAGAAAAACAGGTGATTGTATTATAAATAAATAAGCGCCATACGCCTCGACAAGACTGTAGTAATATTATCCCTCGCTGTTGAACGTAAATAGGCACGAGTGCCTAGAACTCTGTGACAGCATCACCCGTATTTATAGGGATGATACGATCTCGTCTTCCTCCACACGAATCGAGTGCTCCACGCCCCATGCTTGCACAGAGGCGAGTGCCTTCTCCGGCGCAATCACAGCAAACCCCCTATCACAGGATTAGTAACCGCTTTGGACTCTCCGAGTTGAAGAAACGCACTTGATAATGGTGTAGACATGTGTGATTTTGCCACCGGCTTTAAGAATGTTGTCCTTGACTTGGTTGACGACCGAGTCTGGAGTGCCAGCGTTATCAAACCAAATGATGGCTGACTTCTTCTGATCAACAGCAGAGCCGAGTTGAAAAAGGCTTAAAGCCGCGACAAAAAACAGGCTGTACTTCATATTGGCGCAGAGGAGTAGTGCTGATGACAATACCGGAGTTGGAGATGTTGCGATTGTCCACGCCAGGATGGAGAACTACCTCCTTGGCACCATACTTATTCTAGTTAGTGGTATGCTGCTTAGTACGTGGCTGCTGGTATATGAAATTTTTAATCTAAAAAAAGAATCTAAAAATTATTAATTAATATTTAATGTAATTTTATACTGATAATTATTATAAGTGTATTCTTTAATAATAATAATAATATTATTATTGTTGTTGTTGCTATTGTTATTATACTACTCCGTATTACTAATACTCATTAAAATTAGAATAAGTTAAATAAATGTTAATCAACAAGGTATAAATAGATACTTATATATTAAATTTATATTGTCTTCTTAGTTTTCAGAATCTCTTAATTTTTACATAAGCAGCTATGTAGCAACTTTTTAGAATCAAGTTCTAAAAATAGATATCTCCTAACTAGTACTACCTGGTAACATTGCCGAGTGTGGCGCAAGTGAAACGCGCAGCTGTCGCCAAATCCCCCCCTGTTGTTGAGCGCCGATGGAGGGTTGGCTTGTGATTTCAATATGAATTTATGCTAGATGTCGGTATTCAGTTTCTTTCTCTTATAGAGACTATTTGTATACTTATTCAAAATCCGCACACAGGGGCTACTGTCGGTCGATGCTTATTTCAGCAAAGGGATCAGCTGTCAGGGCTTGTCCGTAATGTCGAGTCCGTGCTACGATTACGACGTATATCGCTTTGAAAGCTTGTGACAATGTCCTCCGAGCTGCCAGACGACCGAACGGGACGCCCGCCGCCTCTGGTTTTACATGGCGCCAATTCGTCCGATGACCACCGCGAGCCCACGAGGACGAATAATAACGAACCCGGATTCTCGACCTACTGGCATCCTTCATATAGCTCGTCTTCTCATGATAGTATAAACTTCGATTCGCATATAGATCCTACGGCGCTGCAGGCAGCGCTTCCTCCTGATATTCCACCACCTCTCTCGCAATCTCCACACTTCGCCCCAGATTCCTATCACCCATTCGATGGAGGCTCGCAGTATATCGAAGAATCAGCAAATCCATACTACTCGGATTCTGATAGAGTTCCTCTTACAGCGGGAGTACAACCAATATCTGGCGCCCATACAGGAGACGATCACGGAATCCATGCTAGAGACAGTTTCCAGACTGTTCGCGATGATGATAATGCTCCAATCCGAGACCAGGAGGGAAAGGGCCTTGGACATGGTTCGAACTCGGGTTATTTATCCGCTGGTCATCAAAGTTATGGGTTATCACTGGATCCTGGGGATTTTCGCTTATCGCGGTCACCCTCTACTTCTGGAGCCTTTCATCGTGCCGGATCAATTGTGAGGGCTATGTCCCAGAGAGTTGTGAATCTTAGCGGAGAATCAGACATCGCCGACCAGAGATCTTCACGTTATCGCTCCCGTTCTCGCGACTCGCTAAGTGAAAGACCAGCCAATCCAGTAACATCGACGTATGGCACCGAATCGTATTATGGCAGGCCAGCTTCTTCTCGAGAGGAAAAGGCTGGTCAGAATCTTTTCTTGACTGCCGATATCCCAAGCCGTCCCATCCGTTCAAAACCTCCTAATCCTCTCAAAGGCAAAACACTGGGCATATTTTCGCCAGAGAGCCGATTTAGATTATGGATGTGTGATATCCTAGTCAATCCATATACTGAGCCCTTCATTTTAATCCTTATCATTGCTCAAACGATTCTACTTGCTATAGAATCCTGGCCAGACGTCTTTAGTCCTGGCAACGAGCGTTCAGAGCGATGGGGTAAGAAGCCAATAGATTGGACTATGCTTGGGCTCTTTATTATATTCACACTAGAGATTGGTGCCAGGATTGTGGTTTCTGGGTTCATATTGAATGCGGAGGAATACAGTACTATTGATCGCAAAAAGGGTATCAGGGCAGCAATTGCGGATCGATACAAAACCATTTTCCAGCCTCAGCGACAGAAATCCGTGAAACGGGTTCGATCAACCCAACCTCAGGCCCCTGCGTTCGCCCGATCGTTTACAACCTTGATGCAGGGTCCCCAGACTGGCCCAAAGACGATTGAGGACCAGCAACGCCTCCAACTGGCACGCCGAGCCTTTTTGCGTCATTCATTCAACCGTATGGATTTTGTTGCTGTTGTTTCTTTCTGGATTACCTTCGGATTGAGTATCACTGGAACCGAGAACCGACACCACTTTTTCCTCTTCAAAATGCTTAGCTGCCTTCGCATCTTGAGACTACTAGCTCTGACTCACGGTACCGCTGTAAGTAATAGTGTGGATGCTCTGACTTGTGATGATGCCATACTTATGCGACATAGATTATTCTGAGGAGTTTAAAGAAAGCAGCCCCTCTACTTGTGCGTGTAGCGTTTCTTATCAGCTTCTTCTGGCTCCTCTTTGCCATCATCGGCATACAGAGCTTTAAATCAAGTCTCAGTCGACAATGTGTCTGGTTGGATCCGCTAGATCCAACCAATCTAACGGCCTCATTCACCAATAGCATGCAGTTCTGCGGCGGCTACTTGGATAATGCGACAGGGGCCACGCGACCTTGGGTAAAATTCAGTGCCCCTGGATCGCTAGAAAACCTGGCCAGAGGAACTGCTGAAGGGAAAGGTTATCTGTGCCCCAGAGGATCGATATGTCTGCAGCAGGATAATCCTTACAATGGAACAGTCAACTTTGACAATATCCTCCATTCTCTTGAGTTGGTATTCGTCCTCATGAGTGCCAATACCTTCTCTGACCTAATGTACTACACCATGGGCTCAGATTACCCCCAAGCAGCCCTCTTTTTTGGTGCCGCAATTATGATTATGATGCTGTGGTTGACCAACTTGCTGATAGCTGTCATTACTTCATCCTTCCAGGTCATTCGTGAAGAAAGCAAGTCAAGTGCTTTTACTGTTGAAGCCGAACCATCTTCACAGTCGCACGCAGACGAGCGGAAACGGAAAACCTCGCCTGCACAGAATATATACAGGAAAACTTCATTTTTCTGGTTGGTTGTGGTTGCCTTCGCGTTGCTCAGTGAAGCTTGCCGTAGTGCATCTATGTCGCATTCTCGAGGGAGATTTATCGATGCAGCCGAGATTGTTGCCACCATACTTCTTGATGTTGAAATCATTATTCGAATTGTGGCCTTCTGGCCCAGGTTCCATCGAAGTTGGCAAAACTTATTTGATTTAGCTTTGGCAATAATCACTTCCGCGATTCTCATTCCGCCTATTCACAATACTCGGGTATATGCGTGGCTCACAGTCTTTCAAGTTATTCGGGCGTATCGAGTTGTCTTGGCAATCCCTGTAACACGAAAGCTCATCTTGCTAGTGCTGGGAAGCGCAGCGGGTATTGGGAACCTTATGCTGTTTGTGTTTCTGATGACCTTCCTGGTAGCAATCTTAGCTGCACAGCTCTTCAGGGGACAAATACCCGTTTATGACGACGACGGAAACCTGATTCGCATTTCATTCAACACCATATTTAACTCCTTTCTCGGCATGTATCAAATCCTCTCCAGTGAAAACTGGACGGCCATTCTGTACTCCGTCACTGCTTATACCACAGCATCGAAAACGGCTTGGATCGGCGCAGTATTCTTAATAGGCTGGTTCATCTTATCATTCTTCATCCTGATCAACATGTTTATTGCTGTTATCCAGGAAAATTTTGACGTGTCGGAAGATGAGAAGCGTCTAGAGCAAGTCAAGGCCTTTCTTCAGAGGAAGGAACTTGGGCGTACAGCCAATAATCTTACGCTGTCGACCATCTTCAGCTTTGGAAAATCTCGCCGCCGCAAGGATCCCCTGGACTATGGCCCAGGCATGATGGAGATGCTTCTTAAGGATACCGTGGTACAGGAATTCTTAGATGATGAAGTGGCCGACCCTCTCCGTCTTAACCCAGAGCACAGAGGCCCACCGCAACGGAGCACGACAAGGCTGATGGGAGATGGCAAGCCAGGGTTTATAAAGAAAATATGGTCCCGGATTCATAAGAGTGAACCCAACCCCTTTTACTCGAATATCCGCTTTGACGGTCCAAATGGCACTTTGGACCCTCGACAGATGGCTCGGCAGGCAGTAACAGCAACGTCTGCTCGCCGGAAAGCCCAGCGAGATTATCTTGCTCAGTACCCGCGATACAATACCTCATTATACATTTTCCCTCCTACCAGTCGCATCCGGCGATTTTGCCAAAGCCTTGTTGGCCCAGCAAGAGGCCTCGAACGTTTTGACGGCGTCGAACCTAATAAGATAGCCTGGTACACGATATCAACTTTCATCTACGCGTCAGTTTTTGCAATGGTTGTTATCGCGTGTGTTACAACACCGCTTTATCAGAAGGAGTATCGAGACCACCATCCTGCGACTATGACTCAATGGTATATTTGGACAGATATGGCCTTTGCTGTCATATTTACAATCGAAGCTGTGATCAAGATAATTGCTGACGGCCTGTTATGGACACCCAATGCATTCCTACGTAGCTCGTGGGGCATCATTGACGCAGTTGTGTTGATTACCTTGTGGATCAATGTTGTAACGTTACTTATTGATGATGGTGCAATCTCGAGAGCATTGGGTGCGTTCAAAGCGCTTCGTGCCCTTCGACTATTAAACGTGAGCGACAGCGCGCGAGATACGTTCCACTCACTAATCATCGTCGGGTGGTGGAAACTCTTAGGTGTATGTGAAAACATTGTATTCAATTGTCTTTTGCTATAGATTGCTAACACCGTCATAGGCCGCATTCGTGTCCATCTCCCTTTTAATTCCATTTGCTATTTACGGATTAAATCTCTTCAATGGGGAGCTAGTGTCTTGCAATGACTCTGGCGACATCTCTCTCCTTTCTCAATGTTTCGGCGAATTCAATAGCACCCCTTATTCTAGCGATTGGCCAATATTGGCACCGAGAGTGGCAGCAAATCCATATTTCAGCTTTGATGATTTTGGCTCGTCGCTCTTCACCTTGTTTCAGATTGTCAGTCAAGAAGGATGGGTGGATGTCTCTTTTGCTGCTCAAGCAATTGTTGGTCGCGGTATGCAGCCACAAGATGCAGCGAACCAGGGTAACGCCATGTTTTTCGTTGTGTTCAACCTCTTGGCAACTGTCTTCATTCTCACTCTGTTCATTTCTGTCTTTATGAGGAATTATACAGAGCAGACTGGCGTTGCATATCTTACAGCAGAGCAACGATCATGGCTTGAGTTGCGAAAGCTTCTGCGGCACATCTCACCGTCCAAAAGCTCATATGACGAGTCGGAGAATAAATGGAAAAAATGGTGTCACAAGAGAGCCATTGAAAAAAGAGGCAAATGGTACCAGGCGGTTACCGTGGTACTGGTCTTGCATCTGGCTCTACTGGTTGCGGAATTCAGCGACGAGCCATCCTGGTGGACTACGACTCGTGAATACGTATTTTTACTCTTTAATCTGATATACATCAGCAACATCACCATTCGAATTCTAGGCCTGGGTTGGACGCGTTTCCGACGAAGTTCTTGGGATCTTTACTCTCTAGTGGCTGTATCAGGTGCCTTTATTGCTACACTGGCACTGCTGATTGCAGACGCAAGAGCTGATACATATGTGCAGCTGCAAAAGATATTTTTAGTGGCCATCGTTCTCCTGGTGATACCGCGGAATGATGCGCTGGATCAACTGTTCAAGACGGCCGCGGCAAGTCTACCAGTGATTGGCAACCTCCTGGCCACCTGGTTCGTGTTTTTCCTCGTCTTTGCCATTGCAATGACGCAGACCTTCAGCCTGACTCGCTTCGGCGACAATGAGGGAAGCGACATCAACTTTAGAACAGTTCCGATGGCTTTGATATTCTTGTTTAGAATGAGCTTGGGAGAGGGATGGAATCAAATCATGGAAGACTACGCGGGCATCGAACCACCCCTCTGCGTCGAAGCTGACAGCTTTTTCGACAGCGACTGCGGCAGCAAGCCGTGGGCTAGGTTCTTATTTATAGCCTGGAACATCGTCAGCATGTACATCTTTGTGAATCTGTTTGTTTCGTTGATTTTCGAGAGTTTCAGTTACGTCTACCAGCGTTCGTCTGGTATGTCTGCAGTGGATCGAGATGAGATTCGAAGATTCAAGGAGGCCTGGCGGAGTGTAGATCCGGCTGGAACTGGCTATATCACCAAGGAAGCCTTCCCACGTCTGCTTGGTGAATTATCTGGCGTATTTCAAATGCGGATTTACGAAGCAGAGGATTCTGTACGCCAAATCCTAGAAGATGTGCGCGAAGATATCAAAATGTCTCGCCACACCTCGATTGTTTCAGTGGCTGCGCTGAATGACATTGATATCAACAAGCTAAATGAGAGGCTTAGCCATTTGGATGTCAAGAAGATTCGCAAACGCCGTCATCGATTTAACATTTTCTACGAGGAGGTTCTCGTAAGCGCCGATCCCGATAAGGGAATCGCTTTCACTGATGTTTTGATGATTCTTGCTCATTACAATATCATAAATGATAGCAAGAGCTTAAGGCGAGTCTATACTGATGTGTTATGATCAAGCTCAAATTTGCTAACAAATGAACAGACTTGAGGAATTTTTGCGGCGGCGAGCACGGCTACAACGTGTCGACGAAGGTATACGACGACGGATTGTACAGGGCTTCTTCGATACACTGTAAGTAGCAAATATCCTGGGCACCTAAGGAAACGAAATTAGACAGCGAGCTAACCAGACGGGCTCAGATATTGGTCGCGCAAATTTAAAGCACACATGGAACGAAAACGAGCTTCCCGCATGACAACAATCCCGCAGCTCAGAATCCCGGATATACTAGTTGAAGATGACGAAGATGACTCTCTCTCTGCACAGGCAGAAGCGAAGATGTCCCATCTCAGCCTAGGCGCTGACGAAGATGGACACAGAAAGTCGGCCTGGCCTCCAGAGTCGATTGCAGATGGCGCCATGCAAAGCCACCCCCTCGGCTTCCCTCGCTCATCGCTCTCGGCAAACGAGGAGGCCGGAGGCATTTCAGCATTCAGCTTTGAGCTTGAGACGCCAGATATTCGGGAATCGACAGTTGCGGAACTGGAACGCCCGGTAGACAATAGCAATCTGGACTCGGTCCAGGATATGCTGGACGGCTCGGTATGGATAGACAGTATCCGACGGAGCGCGACTCTACGAACCACGGATAGAAACTCATACCGATATGATGACTTGCCCTGATCTAGACTGGGCGACATGAATGAGGAATTACTAGGCAATGCCTTTTAGAGTTAAACGTATTTACAAGCGAGTTAATTTTGTTTAGCCGTAATCTATCTAATGCATGACGTCTTTGTTGTGAATTTCTTTCTTCATTTTGCCACTTTTGCCCTTGTCTCCTTTTTTCTTTATTTCGAATTAGACATTATCGTGTGTTGTGAATGTCTAGGACCAGGATGTCGTGGGCCCCCACTCGGGTCAATTCATCCATAACTAGAGCAATCTTCTTCTTCTCAACCATTGAGCTCACAGCAACCCAGCCGTCATCCAGCGTCGTGATGGTGGGAGCACGCTTTCCTGGGGTGATCCTGGTAGCCGCTTCGATGCCTGATCGCTCAATGTTGTACTGGCAGAGGACATATCGCTGGGCGGTGATGACACCACGTATCCGTGAGGCAATCAGATCGACCAATTCGGGGTTGGACGGTGAGCGGGACTTGATGAGGACGGCCACTGACTCGACGACTGTGTCGATGGCTTTTAGCCCTGCAGCCCTCATGGTCTCTCCTGACTCTGCGACGAGTTAGTTGCGATGCCAAGGCTGGACAGTGAAGCAAAAGAGAGCAGGTCAACTTACCAACAAGGTCGACGATGCCATCGGCGACTCCCAGTGCGCATGCTGCCTCAACACTGCCGCTGAGCTCGATAATTGTAGTCTGAAGCTTTCCTGAAGGCGAAGAGCCTCCTGCCTGAGCCTCCAGCTGGGCAAAGTACTCGGCAGTCAGGTTAACGAAGCTTGTGCCAACGGTACGGCCGATAAGGTCTGCGCTGCTAGTGTAAACGCCCTTCTCGGGAACCTGGACCTGGAGCTTGCAAGCGCCAAACTCCAGCTCCATGATGCTCTCAGTGCCCGAAGACGAGGAGGGAGCACCGGCACTGGCGGCGGCGGCATTGACACCAGCATCGTGTTCCTTGACCTGATCCCATCCGGTGATACCCAAGTCAACGCGGCCCTGGCCAACAAACGTCGGGATGTCGGCGGCGGGCAGGAAGATGAGGGCAATCGGGAGGTTCTTGACGAGGGCAATGTCGAGGCGGTTCTCTCTCCGGAACTGGATATCGGCGCCTTCTAGGAGATTCAAGGTAGCCTGGTTCAATCGGCCCTCTGTGAGACAGAAAAGGAAAATACCGAGCACCGGTCAGCCGCAATTGCAATTACTTGGATCGACTAACAACCGTCTGGCGGATGGGGGAAAGGAAATGCTGCGATCAGGAACTAACTTTTTGGCACCGCAAAGAGCAGGCGTCCGTTGAGACTGGAAGACGAAAGAGAAAAAGAGTTAGCCATCTTCGTTTTCCAGCTGGGCTAACAACCTCTCAGACTCACCTGTTGACGAGATCCATTTTTGTTGCGACGACGACGGCAATGACAGAGTGCCAAAAGAAACAGCGTCGCCAATTGCCTTGACGATGGAGGGGTTGGAAGAAAAGTACTGCAGTTGGCAGCAAGTGGGACTCTTTTTGCGACGAGTCATACAATGCAATGGAAATGACGGAACGGATCCGATCTCTGGTAGAGAGAAGCCACTCGAGCAGACATGCCAAAGGCGCTAACAACGGAATTCATGTTGAATCTTTCGGGGTCCTCCGAAACCGGTTGCGGCGCCCAATTTTGATGGCCAGCCAGGAAATGTAACAGCACGCACATGCAAGTCATTCCAGGCTTGGCCTGTTTCTGCTACTATGTACATCTTGATGACTTAATAGTAACTCCACCTATCAGGCATGAGGCATGTAACAGCATACCGCTGTAAGGCTGCTGGCGGTATGGAAACTGCGATAGATTAGTACCTTGACTATAATAAGCCCAAGCCTGGCACATGTCAGCGATGGTAGGCTATGAAGCTACTGCACAGTTGAATCTAGCGCTACCAACGAGCCCGCCTCCTGTTTGTTAGTCCGGTTTTCATGAAATGATGATCTGAAGCGCATCATCACTGCTGCCGTACTGTATAGGTAGGTAGTTATAGATAGGTAGATAGGTAGAGAATCGAATGTCAATTATTATGTAACCCATATTAATTATTAATACCAAGTTGTCAATCATCTTATTGTGCAACGTTTATTACTTGTATATCAATCAGTACTAAACCTATATACCAGCCAAACATACCTCCCATGTATCGGCGCGCTTTATAGCAGTATTTATATCGTGCCCAAGGAACTTTTGCGCCGTCTACTATACCAGGTCTACATCCCTAAAGACAAGACTCCATACAGACGAAACGGCGGCCCCCGGGCTCCTTGTCTTGGCCTGGGGGGGAAATGGCCCCTCGAGTTCCCTTCTTTTGACGACAAAATGCCGGTACACCAGCCATCATCTTCTTTCTGCTGCTGTTGCTGCTGCCGCTGCCGCGCAGTGGGCTCTTCGCCCAGAACCATTCTACCATCCAATGCTAGAGAGAGAGAAAACAATAAGAAAGACATGTGCGCTGCGACTAGTCTCGCTCTAGAAGACGAAAATCAACAAGTCAATGATGCGCCGCGCTCTTCATGTTGCCATTGTACTCAATGTGATAAAAAAACACCCTGTCAAGTAAAATGTCTGAAGTCAACTCATTTGCTAAGACGTGGGACAATTCCTCCACTTCGATTAGCTTCCCAACATCAATTTGCGTTTGGGTTTAGAATGCAGGCCCTAGACCATTGCGTGATTGTCTCTTGCTGAAGCGGTTTCTTTTTGATGGAGTGGGATCTTCCAAGCTGGCCTGGCCTTTGGTCAAATGACCACGCGCAGATCGGTCGCTGGCTGCAAAGCCATCTGAGGTATTCCCTCTGCCAACTAGAGTGCTGGATGGTGTTGATACTGTTGACGACATCTCGCCAAATGAGGCATCAGACGCCAACGTCTGTTGTGACAATGCCATATCTCTGGCCCTCTCTAGACTCTCCACCCACTCTTCAGCAAACGCATGGTCGCTCCCTGAGCCAGATGCAGTCTTTGTTTCTTCAAAGGTAAAGTGTTGGCCGCCCTACGCAATTTATGAGATTAATGACTACCAAGAATAAGAAAAGTGGCGGATGGTCTTACCGTATCGAGGCACCATACGTGCTGGCCCTTAGCATCCTGATGCGTTTTCCATGTTGTGTCGGGTGCCAGAAGCGACAGCTCCTGCTTTGCTCTCTTTTCTTCACCCCCCGCTGGAGCCAACAAGATGCGGCCACTTGATGTGACCATGACGAGCCGCTGACGTTTTTTGGTTGTGCTTCCGCCAAAGAATCGAGCTAATTTCCTATGGCCCTCATCACCCCCTTTCCCGTTGGATCCATTGGGTATTGGCGTAGAGAGGACCATCATATCGCCCAGTTTCAAAATGCGTTCGTTGTTCCTGGTAAGCACCGGAGACCACTCGATGTCTAATTGTGTCGGGGGTGGCAATTCGGTAATGATACGAGCAGGTCGGTTATTGCCGTTCGCTGGATTGCCTTGCGAGCTATTTGGCGGCTGAGTTCGGGAGTTCGCGCTAGGGCTTGTTGAGAAGTTGTTAAGCTGGATGATATTTGGTTCCTGGGCTGGAGGGACATAAGGACGCAGTCGTGGGGCTTTGGACCTCCACAAATGTCTTCCGAAAGGCTGGCCGCTGAAGAACTCATGGTTCTTGATATGCTCTATGGTGAGTCTCCTAGCTGGATCAAGAACAAGGCATCGCTCCACCAAATCCCGTGCCAGAGGAGGAAATCCTTGAGGAAACTCGTATTCCAGGTTGACAATCTTCTGAAAAGTCAGGTATTCGCTCCCGGCCTTGAATGGTGGCCGTCCAGCCAGCAACTGGTAGATGATACACCCAAAGGCCCAAAGGTCGCTAGCCTTGCAAGCATTCTTGTGTGTAAGTAGCTCGGGGCTTACATATTCGGCTGTACCGACGAACGACGCCGCGCGGCCGTCGTCGTTCCGAGTATCCGCGTCGAGCCCATCGCCCCCTTCGGCATTGGCATCCTGCGTGGTTCGAGGGTCGTTAAGGAGTCTGGCAGTGCCGAAATCTGTAATCTTGACGTGCATCTGGTCGTCAAGCAGTACGTTTTCTGGTTTCAAGTCACGGTGTATAACTCCTCGAGAGTGCATGTAGTCAATGGCGTCGAGAATCTGGGCCCCGTAGTATCTTGTACATTCAACATCAAACGTGCCAGTCCTCTTGAGCACGCCTAAAAGCTCGCCGCCATTGCATAGATCAAGCACGTAGTACAGGGACGTCTCATCTTGGAACGTGTAGTAAAGACGAACGATGCCAGGGTGCTCGGTTAAGCGGTTTAATGTGTTCTTTTCGATATTGACGTATTTGATCTTCTTCTCCTTGATGATGTGTCTCTTTTCTAAAACTTTGATGGCGTACTCCTTGAGCGTTTGGCGGTCGGTCGCCAGGTATACGGTACTGTATGAGCCCTCTCCGAGCACTCGCCCAAAGGAGAAGTCTCGGACTCCTTTTTTGATCTGGCGAACGACCGGACGACCGCTTTTGTCGAGCTCCCGACGCACTCCAACGGCAGCGCCGCGATCTTTCCATTCTTCACTGGTCGTCGGGACGGGAGCATCGCCAGCAAATGCCTGGGATTTGGCAGGGTTGCCGTCGCGCTGGGAAGGCTGTCGTGAAATCGCGGCCTGGGGTGGGTGATGGTAGCGTGAAGGCGCCCTTTGGCTGGGTTCGCGGCCAAGGTATTGTGTTGGCGGAGCGGACACGGCGTCGGATCCCGCTGCTGCATCGGAGAGCGTTACCCGCAAACCGTCCGAGGAATGTAGCGTGCGATGAGGCTGAGATTGGGATTGGGATTGGGGTTGGAATTGGAGTTGAGGTTGAGGCGGATGTTGAGATTGCGAGGCTTCCCGGTGAGCTTCGACATCGTCGGGGGGTGCCGACGGCTTCGGGTCGTCGTGGACAGCATCAGTAGCATCGTCGGGATTGGCGATTCGAAGTCCTCCGAGAGCCTGAGAGAGACTCAGGTCCCCATTCATCTTGACGGTCAAGGAGCACAGGATGCTCCTTGGGGATGGCGGACTCCCTATGAAACAGGGTGACGATAAACAAGTACAGTAGCCGCAGCACAGCACCAGCACGGGCAACCGTGTGCTAAGTCGCCTCTAGCTGCTGAGTCCTTAATGCAGTGGATTCGGCCCTCCCTTCATCTAGTGCATAATCCCAGGTACGTAGCCAATGCCTTACGAAATCTCCTAAAGGAGTAAGAGATGCTCCATATTCAATCTAACAAGTGTATAAAATAATATTACCTTGTACTACTGTACCCAGTACCTGGCAGCACAGGTCTAGTAGTACGAGCTCGTACTTGGTACTATCGTAGTACGCATCAGTAGGTATGCAGAAATATACATGCAAGAGAGAGGGAGAGAGAGAGGAAAAAAGGAAAAATAACAAAGCTAAATAACGTTACCTCAGGAGGCTGCCTTTCATAAAGGCAATTTAATATTTTGTATTCCCCAATGCACCAGAGTCAATGCTCCACATACATACGTAACGTAGGTACGCACTTGATCTACAAAGTACGGAGGACGCAGTACTTGCCATATTTACACGTCCAGTAGCGGTTACGTGGTAGAGATTCTCTGCAAGGATGTACTCGTGTTATCGCTTATCTTCATACATAAGGTAAGGCACATACCTTAATACAGGTACATACTACTAACAGTACCTACCTAATATACTACTAACAACAAAGAGTAGGGGCCCTCATGTGAGCCAGCCCCTCCTTAGGCTAGGTCCCTAGCTGCCTTTGTTCCACCCCTAATAAAGTTTCCCTGCCTGCCTGCCTACTAGGTATTACTTGCCAACACTTTCGACATGCGACTCGAGGAAACTCAACATCTACCTTTACATATATCCCCGCCATAGACGAAACCCCCTCCTCTGCGATCGACCCCACGAGATTCTACAATGAAGGATCCCTTCTTCATCCCGCCAATACCATGGCTGTCCGAGCTGGTGCAGCCGTGGAGTGACCGTCTCAATCTCCCTTCGCTGCCACTTCACATCCACGAAGTGCTTCTGTCTGCCGTCTTCTATTCGCTCATTTTCTGGCCCATTTCGCCGATTCTGTCCAGAATAATAGCACCTCAACACTATTCAAAGCTATCTCGCAAACGACGACTGAACTGGGATGCTCACGTGGTGTCTTTCATCCAAAGCACCTTGATCAACGTCATTGCCATCTGGATCATGTTTGTAGATCAAGAGAGAAAGAACATGGACCAAGAAGAGAGGATATGGGGTTATACCGGTGCTTCAGGTATGGTCCAGGCCTTGGCGGCTGGTTATTTTGTATGGGATCTGTTCGTCACCAGCTTGAACCTGGATGTGTTTGGCCTCGGAACTCTTGCGCACGCGATCGCAGCTCTACTGGTCTACACTCTTGGATTTGTAGGTTGTTTTCCCAGAGACGTATTGATACTTGTTACTGACTCATCGCCAGCGCCCCTTTGTCAACTACTACGGATGCGTCTTCATCCTATGGGAGCTTTCCACGCCCTTCCTCAACATTCATTGGTTTTTCGACAAGGTCAACATGACTGGAACCCGCGCCCAGCTTTACAACGGCATTCTTCTCCTCTTCAGCTTCTTCTCTTGCCGACTCATCTATGGCACTTACCAGTCATATTGCGTATTTAGAGACATGTGGCCTGCTATCAATGCTCACCCGATAAAGACGTTCTCTGAGTCGCCGGTTATGGACTTTGCGACGTCGGAGACTACCGTTCCAACCTGGCTTGCGGCATCATACCTCATGTCAAATCTTACACTCAACACCTTAAACTTTTACTGGTTTATTATGATGATACGAGCTGTCCTTAAACGATTCCAGCCGAACGAGAAGCACGAGAACGTTACAGAAGTTGAAGTGGACTTGTCCTCGGTTGCCTCTGGCGTGTCTATGGGCTCAGAGCCGCAGCGCCGGAAGCAGAAGTCTTGAGACCTGGGGCATTTTTTTCGGCCTTGATTTCCGTATGGCCCTTATGATTTTTGTCGATTGGCAAGAAATGAAGCTTTCATGTGTCCGTGTCATGGGGCTGTGTGATGCGGTCAGGCGACCTAGACGGTTACAGGTATGAGGCATGGTGCCAGTGCTATATGCGGGGGATCTCTTGCTAGTATTGGGTTTTACTTTTTATGGGAACGCTGTATGGTAATTGGTTAGACTTTTTTCTACCTGTTTGTTTTATTTTATTATACTGTCTTGAAGAATAAATCAGAATTCCATATAATAATGCTTAATATTGAATATTTAACTATTTAACTGCCATATTTTATATAGTTATTAGTTATTTAATTAAATGGATAATATATCAAATTTTAAAATTATTATCAAGTTAAAGGCTTCTATAAATCACTATCCAGTTACACCATGAAAACGCATAAAAAAGAGTAATATGCTATGGGCTATATTAGCCTGCCTATTAGTCATATCCTTCGCCTTAGTCTTCATCTGTAATACCCGAACGCGTTGATACGACTAAGCCGGTCAGAGCATGGGTAATGTATAAAAATCCATCCCAAGCACGCGCCAGGTTCCCACTAAACACTTCCATCTCTATAATCCATACAGCCTCGAGTGGGATACTGCTATCCCGCTTCAGGGCTAGGCAGGCCGCTAGAGTACTGCATCCTTACCTGACTTGTATGCTCCGTTCTGTCACTTCCTCTGGGAATATCCACAGGTTATGCTGGAGCTGGTCAACCATCCGACCTCGAAACCATGAACTCGGCCTATGGCTCTTCTGATGCGCCCCGGCAGGTGCCTATCGGAGGCCATGGCTCTATGCCGCCACTCCCTCCAGTTGTAAGTCCCAGCTCGGCGTCCAACTCGGCCTCTCTGGACCATCTGTACCATCACCAACCACGCCATCCACTTGGTGCTGGTCCCCATTCTCCGATCCAGAGTCAAGCTCCTCCACACCTGCAGCCTCACTTTCAGCTTCACCAGGGCCAGGGCCAGGGCCATCACCACCAGGATCGAGAGCACCAGCTGCCGCCGCCCATTAACGCCTATAACACACATCCACAGCAGCTCCAGCATGAGCCTTTGCCACCGCGGTTGCTGGATCCTCCGTCCAACGAGCAGAGAGATCAGCCTCAGCATGCCCTCGAACACCAATCCAGATCTCGCGAATCATTCAGTGCTTTGATCCATGCCGAGGGACAGCAGGTTGGGTCGGCAAGTATGCTCGTTCCATTCTCAAAGAGCGACGAGCTTACGGGTCGGAAGTACCAGTTAGTTGCCTCGACGCGTTGCCATTCTTTTGACCCGACGCAGCTAATGTAGCCTCCAAGCCTTGATGTTGTCCAGCAGCCTCGACGAGCCCGTATGTGCGGCTTCGGTGACAAGGTTGGTTGCCTTGGACCTCTCGCAACGACTTGCAGCAGATTGCTCACATCTCCATAGGATCGACGGCCAATAACACCACCACCCTGCGTGCGGCTCGTCATCACCGATCTCGCTACAGGAAAGGAGATAGACTGCAAGTATGTACAGTTTAGTGCGGTTGGATATGTCCGGTTGGATATGTCCAAGACCTCAGTCCCGTTCTAACATATTCGATCCCAGTGATATTGACCATTCCATGTTTGTACTCAACGTTGACCTGTGGAACGAAGACGGCACACGCGAAGTCAACCTCGTCCGCTCGTCCACAAGCAGCCAATCAGTCTCCTCCGCAGCTCCATATCCGTATGCATCCATCACCCTTGGAGAGAGCTCGCACTCGACGTACGGGCAAAATGTCCCTCCCCCGAGTCGTGAAGCTGCTTATGGTTTATCACAAACTGCAAACTACACCCCAGAATACCAGACTCAGCCTCCTCAACCTCCCCAATCTACTTATACTCAAGGTACTCCCTCGCAAAGACAGTCCATTGTGTATTGATAATAAATTGCCATCCATCTAATCCAAATTAGCAGTCTCTGCAGCGTATCCACCCACCACATACGGCCCGCCGCAGCAGTATTTCCCACGGCATCAGGCCTTTGGTTCGGATACGGGGGTCCCTGGAGCAGCTTTCGGAGGGTATATGCAGGACCCAAACTCGCTGACGAAAATGGCCGTGGTCGGTGGCCAGCCTCAGGGCATGTTTACACGGAATCTCATAGGGAGCTTGGCTGCAAGCGCATTTCGCCTAACCGATACGACGGACCATCTCGGCATTTGGTTTGTCCTGCAAGATCTCAGTGTCCGAACAGAAGGACCATTTCGGTAAGGCTGTTCCTTGGCAGCTCGTACAAGTGGAGATGCTAATCGCTTTGCATAGCTTACGATTCTCTTTTGTCAACGTTGGCGCTCATGGGGGGGCTGGCAAGGTCAATACAGGAAGGGCTCCGATATTGGCATCATGTTTTAGCGAGGTTTTTAATGTTTATTCTGCAAAGAAGTTCCCCGGAGTTTGCGAAAGCACGCCTTTGAGCAAGACGTTTGCAGCGCAAGGCATCAAGATTCCCATCCGCAAGGATGCGAACCTCAAGGGTGGAGATGGAGAGGATGATTACGTTGACTAAAGACTTGCATTCCCTAGTATGGCCAACGAATTTGTTGATTAATTTTGCTATCGACTTGGACGACAATGTTGACATAAATGTGCAACGCTCGGAGAGAAAAGGGGTCATAGCCAAAACAGAAACAGTCATCTGGGAATCGTGAGCAGAGCCCCAGCCCCGGATGCCATGACGAAGGATATAAGAAAACACGCATGTTGAGACAAGATCAATGATATTTATTTCAACCCCCACCATGCCAAATTTCCTCCGCTGTACCTTCGTGTATATACGATTACTTGTTCTACAAGCCAAAACTATCAAGCAGTGACGCAGCGTCTGGCTCGTGAAAGGTTGAGGGCGGCGCTGCAGAACGCTTGACCTGTTCGTGGTCGGTCAATATCTTCGCGTGTAGCTCGGATGTGTGGAGATCATTGACAACGAGCGAGCTTCTTCGTCTCAAGAGGGCTAATGGGTTCATGCCGCCTCCAAGCCCAGTCGTTGTTTGCTGTTGGAACTCCCAAGTTCGAACTAGTCCACATGTCAGCTATCCTGCCAAACATCGAGCAAAGAGGAAGACGAAGCATACCTAGGCTGAGACCAAGCAGATCGCAACCCATACGATCGTAAAGCTTTGCGCTGTGAAGAACAAATTCCCACTCCACCTTTGGCGATACCTTGGACGCTCCTCGTAATGTTTGCAGTGTTTGCTGTCGCAACTGGGAATAGAGAACGACTAAAGCGGGATCATCAGTTAAGAAAGACCGAGATTTCAAATCCGGCGAAGCAGGCGTCTCGAGGAGGGTATATATAGGAGTCTAGCATTCATCCATTAGCATTGGTGCTTCTCTGTAAGCTTTAGGCCAACAGGACTTACGACAAGAGCTCTCACTGCCATGTCTTTTCTGCCCAGCATCCAGAATGCCCAAGATGCGAGCCAGCGATTGCCCTCACGCGCTGCAACTGTGAGGACTTCCTCACGCAGCAGTTTTCGCAGTACGGGACCTTCGTTGCCCTCGTATACGCGAGTGATTGCAATGGCCAGCTGTAGGTCTTTCAATTGACGGAGGCAGACTTCAACAGCATTCTCCAGCTTGTCAGCTAATAAAAAGAAAGCAGCCGCATATTCTGTTGCTTGTTAGAAACTATGCCATAGGAGGCCTGTTGATTCAACTTACTAAATCGTCGCTTGCTCAATAGCGCATATGCATTTTTCAACGCAGCAGTGCGCCATCTTGGTTCCTCAAAGTCGTGAGTCAAGAACTTCTGAGTTGTAGCTTGTTCTTTGTCTCCTCCTGCCATTCGCCAAAGTCCTTGCAGTATCCCCTTCTTGCGAAGCGCGATGTAGAACAGGCTGCACTCCACCGGGTTTCTGTCCCCGTTCTTCGTATACTCATTTCTTGCGATAGCCTCGAATTTTTGTTGCTACCCAAAGTTAGTCCTTCTGCTACAACTTGTCTCGCGAATTCACAAACCAATTGATGCGTGTCGGTAAGCCACATAAATATACCGCTTTCTCGAGCGTGCTCCCATAGCAAGACGTTGTGGTTCTGTCGAGAGACAAACTCTGACAGAATGTCCTGGCTGCCAGAATGATATGCCCAGTTGATCTCTCTCCAAGAAAGCTGTATCTCGTTGGTGCGCCCTTTTCGAAGTGCGTGTTGTCGGAAAAATAGCATAAAACGAGCTGCATTCTCGTCTATAGAGCGACGCTCTCGCTCCACCAATGCCACACATTCAATCATGTCTACTAATTGGATCTGCTCATGGCCTGAGAGCTGGGGAATACCTAGCCGAGTAAGCCTTTCGCTGATTGCAGTAGCAATTTCCTCGGTGAATATTTCATCATCCTCTCCCTTTGGGGCTGAATCCAGGTAACTGAACCCTGTATTGAATGCTTGGCTGCTACTATCCTGTACACAAAGTTAGCTAAATACCTCTCTCTATATATATAACCCAGAATGGATGTATCATACAGAATCTGGTAGATAAAACTCTTGCAAGTCAATACCAAGGTAGTCATCCACAGACTCTCCTGGAACGAGGAATTTTAACGTCTTATGGAGCTCCACAAGAATTCGTCGCACGAGCTTGTTTCTTCCTGCAAGGATGCATTGACTGAGAAACTGAGGGTGGAAAACGGGGAGAGGTCCGTTAAATCTCTGCACTGCCTCGAAGAGATCCCATGTTCCATCCTGACGATGAGGCAGCCTAAGGTCCGCAGTAACAAGTGACTCGTCGACGCTGACTCGTCGATCGTAGACGAATAACTGGTTACCGGCTCCGATAAGTAGATGACCATTACCAAGCCATGTTGAATCTCCGATCGGATGGGGTGTTAGTTCACGGATGCTAATCTCGCGGATTGGCGCCCATGCTGCGCCCTTATTCAAGTAATCAAATCGCATCTGAGACAGGAGAAGAACACGATATTGGAACCCAACAGCCAGTATCGATTGAGCATCGGGGGTTGAAGTCCAATCAAGATCTTGGATAGCATCTTGCGAATGATAGTCCTCATCGAACTCGAGACGAGATCCACCAACATCCCATATGGCAAGCGTCGACCTATTTGATTTTACTATTGCAACCTTTTTAAGCATACTGCCGCTGGTCAATGCTGGCTCGTGAAATCCCGTTTCAGCATTACATGTCGATAGCCAACCGACGGTCTTGCGTTCCAGATCGACACGAGCTGTCCAAAGGTCGATTCGGCCAGTGTGGGTACAGGACATGGCGATATCTCGGGCAAAAACGTCCAGAAATCCAGATGATATAGGACCAGAGCCAGCAGGGTCAACAGGAAGAACATACTTCAGATCTTCACTGGATTCGATGTTAAACTGGCAAAATTGCTCAATACCCGCACCCAGAGTACTTGTTGAGTCCTTGGCATAGTTTGGAAGACTGAGCTGCCAGACAATTCCATGCCCTTTGGATGTTATCATGGCCATATGTGCAGTCCTATAATTTGCATCTTGCGGTTTGGGCAAAACGATGAGGCAAAGAGGGTTGCCCGGCGCCTCATAGGTACTCTCCGCAAGTTTGGCGCCCTTTCCACTTCGGCAATCCCAAAGTGATAGGACATTTTTCCTGTGCAAAACGACAAATCGGCCTTTACGAAGAACACAAATGCGATGGATATGGCCGGCCTCGGGGATAATGCTGCGGCGACTGAAATCAAGGAACCCGTGCGAGGATCCGACCGGATTGGTGGGTGAGTGATCCCACACGACGGTTTCGCCATCCCTTGTTCTCGACACAGCTGCTCGGCCGCTGAAATTGCGCACTATTTTCCCGATCGAGGCAGAGTGACCGGACCATATCGAATGAAGCATCAATCGTTTATCATTGGTCGTGGGATCAAATAAATCCGCAGCGCTACATTCAAATATGGCTATCCTGCCATCGAACACGTGCAGTAGTATCCGCAACTGTCCAGTTTTTCGATTGCAGTACGTTTGGATTTCCACATGCGATAAATCGTTCGATGGTAGAAGACTGGAAAGGTTTTCCAATCCCGGTGATATTGTCTGCGCAATGTTGAAAATTTGGCGATCGTCGGCCAAGGGACTACCAACGTTTTCCAGAGCCCAAGCAGTCAAAAACCCCGATCGGTTCATAGCGAGGCATATCTCCGGGCTCCTGTTTGCAATGGCTACCAGATGATCCAATGCTACATCATCAGTGCTGCTGTCATCTGCCATTCGTTGCTCTATGGCCCTCTCCACGGAAGCTGTAAAATCTCTCCCATCGATAATGCAAGCCAGCCATGGCTCCTGGGGGAGGGCGCCACTTGGCATTGACTCTGTGATGTTGATTTTGCCCCAGAGCTGCCATTGCCAGCCATTTGCCGTATCGACTGGAATCCACACACGTACATGGCCATCTAAGCAGCTGGTGTACAAAACATTGCCTGACGTTTGTTCAACATGGAACGGTTTGCGCCATCTGATGTTTGTAACGACATCTGGGTGAGATAGGTAGGCCAAATCGAATCGAACATCATTAGAGCCATAGGTCAAGCGGCGCCAAACTTTGGTGAAGTAGTCGTGGTGAGCGATGGAAGCAATATACCCCGAGTCATACGACAGCGTTGCCATTTTCACAGGACTAGGGAGCCATTGCTCCCACGAGCGTCCTGGGTGCTCTCCTGTGTAGAATAGAGACAGGTAGTTGCCTGCAACTAAAAGCTCCTCTGAGCTACCCCAAGACAATGCGCATGTTGTTCCAGAGCCATCCTGGGGTATGTCGAAGGTGACTTGGAGCGCCCACTATTGACATGTAAGCTCATACATCGGATGTCGCAAACGATCGGGATGGTGTGACCTTTAATGCATCTTCCTGCAGCCCTCCCAATGGATTATAGATTCGAACTTGCGTCGCCGTGCTCGTCGCGATTTTGCCCGTCAGCTCGTCAATGGCTATGGCCTGCAGCGGTTCGTCATTTTCGTCGTATATCGTCTGGATGATTGTTTGCAATCCATCGAGGATGGTAAATGCATTTCCGGTGATATATGCCTAGGTAGTTGGAGGGCCATATGGTAAGCTGATGTTCGATCGAGGCTGCGAGCTTCAAGCTCTGAGCTTCAGGGATAAGCCAATCTTACATTCAGGTGTAAGTTATTCCAATAACCAATAGCCAGACCTTGAAGTCTTGACTGCGGCTTACCCGGCAGGACGATGCTCATGCTACTGGGAGACGAGGGTCCAGTAAGCTAGCGAGATGTTGTCCAGATGTAAGCTCGAGGATTGCGATGACAAGCATGATAAATGCGCAGGTTCATGGGTGAATCCAGATGACGTTGCGACAGACCAACCAAATCATAGCGCCTGTAGCTTAGTTGGTAGGCGCTGTAGAGCACCAAGGTACCTTATGATCCGTGCCCCACATATGTAGGTACACATCTGTAGGAATTCTGCACTCCAGGTTACCTATATGTACAGTACAGGCAGATATAAATTCTATATTTCTAGCTTTCTTTAAGAAAGTTAAAATATTTGCCCTATGTTTGAATGAATCTTTTGACATGGAAATGTTCCTAAAAACATTACAGATAGGCACCTACCTAAGTCGTAGGTAAGTAGGTAGCTTATAACTTACAAATACTATGATACTTAACAAATACTTGACTTGACAAATGCAAACCTTTACCATGAGATGCTAAACAAAGCACTGATTATGATTTCTCCTAGTCTATGCGTAGAATGCTAGCAAAAACCTTCCTGTAGACCGTCCTCTCATCTTTCTCAACGTGGTACTTGAAAACACTCCCAATCTCACAGCATGTTACAGGTACCGAGGTAGCCTGGGCTTAGCGCCTCGTCCGCCGTAACTTTACCTGCATCTCAAAAGCGGACACACTGGACGAGAAAGTACCTTGTACCTCCCGGCGATGCCCTCTTGCAAAGCACCGCCCCTCAAGCTTCTGCTTCATGCTTCGAACAATCCAACATTCGCAACATGTCCAACCCATCGCAGCTCTTTTTGCTTGCTGACCACATCAAGCTTTCATTGCTTGAGTGGCAGCGCGCTCATGGCTTGAATCCCGACGACACCTCGCTCAGCGGTGACATCTCCCGATCGTTTGACCAGCTTCGTAATGGCATTGCTTCGTTGGAACAGGAGAGCGCTCGCCTCCAACAGGCTGGCGACCAAGCGTTTGTCTCTCGTTTCCTGTATACCTGTCGCTATTACTGACCCTTACCCAGGGGCGCCCAGGCCATCACTGAATCACTTCCGGCGCTGCACAAGCAGTTTGACGAGTTAATATCTCAGTACCAATCGCTCTCCAACCCATCCTCCAACCCGCCGTCCGATCAAGACGCCAGCGACGAGACAGACTCGGCCAATAGATCCGGTCGTAAATCAAAGACGGTGCGATTCAGCGAAGCGCCCCGATCACCAACACAGGAGCTCTTTGGGCGTTACACCGATGATCCGAATGCCTCCTCGGAATCGATGGGATATAGCGACCATGCTTCCGGACTGTCAAATCAGCAAATCCATGACTATCATTCGCAAATCTTACAGGAGCAAGACGACCATCTTGATCGCTTAGGAGAATCCATTGGCCGACAACGGGAGCTCAGCATGCAAATTGGAGACGAACTAGAGAGCCACATGGCAATTCTGGATGAAGTTGATCATGTTACTAATCGCCATCAGAGCCGATTAGATCGGGCGAAGAGAGCTCTGGGAAGAGTTGCAAAGAGCGCATCGGACAACAAGCAGATGGCAATCATCTTCATTCTCATCGTTATTCTTGTGCTATTGATTGCTATTTTGAAATGAGTTTACAAGACTTTAGTTACTGTTGGGTTATCATAAAAGGCTGGCGTTGGTGTTGAGGAATCCTGCGTTCTTCTGGCTGTGGTTTCTGGGATACTTCTCTTATGGCGCACGACTAATTTCCTAGATCTTTGGCGCTGATAATCAACAATCTTTGTTTATATAGGGCTTTACTTTATTTATTTTGTCAACCTGATTTTGCCTCATCCCAGAGAGTGTGTGCTACTCATAGTGCTATATAATATAGGTATGATTTGTGGCCTTGCAATCTTTCCCACGAATGCCGCTGTCTTTTATTTACTTGTGCTGCGACTTGAAGAGCCATTACCGAATCACATCGCCCTCCTTGTCAATACCCTCGAGACTTTCGAGAATATCACTGCCCCCCAGCATCCCCGTTCCTCCTCCAGGCATCTTTCCTTCGTTACACCAGATTTCGTGGAACTTGACACTCTTGTCGCTCGACGCAACAACAATGCACCCCTCGCGAGGCTTTTGATCGTGATTCATGGCCTTCGTCTTTGACGGCCATCGAGGATAAGAGATGGCATACAATGCCCGAAGCTCTCCTTCCCATGGGATCGCCGCAACTTGCCTGCATTCTGGCCAGCTAAACACGGCTATCCGATACGGATGTTCGGGTTCTGTATAGCCAAACGTGGCAGCAATCTCGCGTCTAGTCGATGACCAAATGAGAGCCGTCACCTGAGCTGAAACTGCTATTGTAGCCAAAGCTGAGCCTGAAGTTGTATGGAAGAAGTGGATGCATTTATTATTAGACCCACCACCCGTTGCAACCAGTCCTTCGCGCCATGGGCAGAATGCAATGGCCTTGACTGCAGCTTTGTGTATCCAACGATGCCTCTCCGCCCCAGACCCTAACCTTCGAATCGCCGTGGACGATGGCCTCGTAGGTCGAACGTTGGCTGTATCCTCCTAGTCAATAGCATGATCTTGCTTGAGCAGGCGCCCTGGGGGTAAGGAGCCTCTCGTTTGGTCAATCAAGCCTTTCTTGGTGCAGGCAGTGGCCAAATGCCATCCCGACCATTGTGCGCTGTTTTGAACAGACTCATGTTTCTCTACAAGCACGCTGTCGGTGTCAAAGAGACAGCACAAGTTATCATTTCCACCAGAGGCGAAGAATTTCCCGTTGGGTGACCAAGACAGACCGCATATTTGTTGGCTGTGAAGCGAGACTTTGGCGATAAGATATATGGTTCCCGGCCAAGTGTCCCGTGTGACCTCCCAACCCATTGGCCACTCTACTACATAGTAGTATATCACTCCAGTGTCGTCACCAATGACCAAATCCTCAGTCTGTACGGCGATTCCAGGATTGAACGGGTTTCTAGAAGGTCTCAGGGTAGTTATCGGGCGCCAACTCACGCAAGATACCGGAAAGGGCTGTTGCACCTGGAAGCGAGGAAGAGCGTCATAGATGGACTTGAGCACCAAGGTTCCATCCGAGCGTCCTATAGCTAAGATGCATTTCCCTCCTTGGACTGACGAGAAGGAAACAGATGTTAGCCATACATGGGACGCAGCAGATCCATGGATAGCCCGAGGTCCTGACCCCTTAGACCAGATGTATAGGATATTTCCTAGACCAACTGCAAGCTTTTGGCAATTTGGTGAGTACGCCAGAACAGAACAGTAGAAATCATCGCGCAGATCCGGTGCATCAAGGACTCTTGCATACGTTAGCTTGACTGGATGGGGTTGTAAACCAGAGGGTTCGAATACCTGAAAGGGGCTGCAGGAAGAGATCGCCTTGGCAGTGGATTAGAGTTGCCTACCAGAGGTTAACGAATCGTTACTTGTTTGGACTAAACAGTGTAACCTTGGTCTCATACCAAGGAATTCATCTATACCACCGTCCTCGTCAGCACGTGCCCAAGAAGCATGCTCCTAGTCTGCCAACAACGGCATCGTTCGAGTTGAGAAATCAGGGATCATCGACCCCCCACGAGTAAACTCCAGTACGCGGCGGATGCGGTCAATTCTTAGCGCAGAGGCAATTCGACCGTGGTAAAAGCGAGAGTCGTCGCGGCGACTAGGTTTCATCGTAGCCACAGACATGGTGAAGAGACGAGCAGATGTGCCGTTTGGGAGTGGGCGGCGGCGGCTACGGTCCATCTCAGGCGTTGCAGGAGCCAGGCCGCCTACTCTCCATACATTGCCCTGGCTGGGTTGTCTGGTTACCGAGCGGATGCTTGAGGATGCGCCCCCACCTATGAATATCTAATCAGCAAGTCAATTCTCTCAATCATGCCCTCCCTTTTGAGTTGGAATAACCTTGACTGAGTGGATGGCCAACCAGTGCCATGCCGGCTTCATCTAACAGACGCATTGGAGAACGCCGAGGTGCTGAGAATTGAGTCGAGGAGGCCCCTTTTCTTCTCAATAATTTCTCGACTGGCGAGAGATCCTGAAGAGGCTTTGTGGTCTGATACACCTGCCTGCTAGACTCGTCACTATCCCGTCGGGGGACAAATCTATCTGGAGTGCGTGGACCTCCAGTGACACATTTCTGCTGAGAGAGCACCATCTTGGCGCCATCTTTGCGATCAGGCAACAGGCCCAGCTGCTGTGGGTTCCAGGCAAGGAATGGGTGGTAAAGCGCCGGAATTGAGCATGGGCTCTGGTTCGATGTGACAAGGCGTGGTGATGGCTCTTTCTGCGGTCTCCCAGCTGACAGCCCTAAGCCATGGCAAGATCCAGACCCGTCAAGATGCGAAACATCATCGGCTCCAGGGTGGTGTGGCGAGTCGTCTATTGAGCCATATCCAGAGTCGGTCCTAGGAAATAGGCAGGTGACATTTGGCGCACTCCCGTCCTCATGCCGATCATAGCCCGCATTGTCCGTCGTCTTAAACTCAAGGACCGTAGAAGAAGTCATGGCACGAACCAGCCGCTGCTAGCAGGCCCACTTGCTGCGACCCCCAGTCTTGTCCAGTTAGGTGAGGCCGAAACTGTATAGATGATACTGCCCAATAGTCGACGCATGGAACAGAGTATCTCGGGTTCATTGAATGATTAGTTTTGTAACAATACAAGGGCTGTGAAGTACCGATCGCCCAACCTACCACCGGTTAGTTCATCATAGTCGACCCCCCAAGAAATCTCTGGTGGAGATGGTTATAGGAGAGAGAAGAGGCTTGCGGCCAATAACAGACAAATATGCTGGCGCCAGGAGGATAGAGTTAACTGTATGCGCATGGCCTTCTTGCCCTTGTTACCATCCAATGTTGCATTTGTTGCTGCATCTTTTGTCGTTGATTGCAACAGGAAGCACTCGTCATTTGGGGCTGCCTGCCATTCCTACGCATCTCATAGGGAGGGAGTCTTGGAAGCTAGCTGAAGACGGAAGGTAGGCGGTGGCAGCTTTTAATGATGGTGTTTTGAAGCCGATAAGGCATATCAGGCGACTGGTTCATTTGCAACAACGGTGAATTTTTTTGGGTTATTGGATAAATTCGTGGCAACTAGTGCTGAGATGAATGAAATTTACTCGTTTGCCCGATGCTTTGCTTGTCTTCATGAGGCTGATATTGAGATATCCCGTGTGTTGCCTCCAAAGTTGTTGTTCCTTGTTCTTTGAAAGACTTGGACTGGTACTCTACAGGTACAACAACAGTGCCGGGTAAGTGTGCCCGTGCGCACTTGTGTACAATTCCTCTCGATGTACATACATGTAGCGTGGCTTACGTGTGCCCTCTCTCTTTAGCTCTTTGAAGAGGCTCGGCAGTTTAATAACCGCCGAGTTGACAACTTGGAAGGTAGATTGTAAATTACAGGGTTGCCCAGGAGCTATTGAGCGCCCCGCCTGTCGCCGGAGTATACATAACCTTTTACCTTAATTACTAGCTTATATCGAATGCTGATTCGCGCGGCCAAACTGCCAACGCTGGTATTCTCCGCTTGACACACCCAGCGGCCCATTCAGCAACGACGATTCCCCATTGGGTAGGTCACAACTTGAATGCCCAGTTAGTCAGATCACGCAGTAAATTCGCCTCCTCCACCAAGGGCTGTTTGTTCCTTGTTCATACCAGCGGATGTCAGCTGCGAGTGTTTCATTTCGTACCTTTGCGTGATCTCTGCCATGCTCTCTCAAAGCGTTCGGGTTCGTGCCGATCATCTCCTTGTCAGCCTCAACAGGGCATTCAAGGTGCCTACCTACTAACAAAGGTTAGTAGATGGCAACTTGGAGTAATATCGGCCGGTAGATGCACAAGGTAGTTTAAAGAGAATGCCAGTTATAGATACCTTAGTAACTAGTAGTATATGTAGATGTGATGCTGAGTAGGTACTTCGTGCCTACCTATCGATGTACTGCCCCCCGCGTATCAGCGGCGTATGCATATGTGCCCTATCCCGCAAGAGAGAGAGCCGTAGCCGCCCTGCTAAGGTCCCCGTGGGGTTGCTCTGCAGAGAACGACATCTGGGCTGTTTCTCTCTTTGGTAACCCAATGTTACGCCCGCGCGACACATACCTGTCCTCGTAGTAGTATTGCAGTAACATGACGCGAAAGCTCAGCATTGTGTACCTACTAGTAGTAAGAAAGATGGGGATGCAGGGGAGCTACAGGTACTGGTATTCCTTGGCTTCGGAGCGCTTATCCAGGCCCGCAGGACCCCGTTAAATACCTTCCCAAAACGGCAAACTCCAACGACATGTACCTCCTCGGCGCGATATGGAAATCGTAGACTATGGCAGGATCACGCCCGCAGTCGCAAATTCCAGCAGAGAGCGGCAGATAGTCGAAATACCACGTTGTAGGGACTATCTCCAGCCAGTCGCCAATCACGATAAGCTCCAGACATGCATATGCGCCTTTAAGACATCGCAGCTGCTGCGAGGGGCATCACCAGATGCACGAGATGCACTTACATGTGGCCCCAACCAATCCAAGTAGGTCCGATCAATGGGATGCATCTTGGGCACATGGCGGCTTCCCGCAATCTGTGGCTCCATCAACCGGCGCTTCGTGCCTGGCAGCATGACCCCTGAGACATTCCCTTCCCCCGGGAAGCCGGATATCGCCCTGGAGCAATATCAAGGCAACCCTATTCTTGTCGCCATTAGCAACGTTGCTACACTTGGCGAGTCTATGAGATGCCTGTAATTGATATGGCGTTGAGGCTAATCATGGCCGCCACCTCGATTTGGCTCGCGCCGGGACATGCCTACCTGTATCCTTGCGATTCGACAAGCCGCTTGGCATTGAGCACGAGACAGGGGTGGCACGCCTCGAGGGCCATGAGTTCTGGAGCATAACGTTGCCATTGCTTGCAGCTTATAGTGCTATTAGCGAGGCATGGGTTACCTGTTAGTGCCAAGAATCTGAAGGGGAAGCTTCATAAGTGAGCCTCAAGCTTGGAGAGCATCTGGAGGCTCCACAGCCAGATATATAAACATCTTGGGTTCTCATTCGGCATCCCAGAAGAAAATTCAGCACAGAAGTGGCAAGCTTGAAAGATTCATTCACATCACAAGCAATTCACCATGTTGAGCTTCCTCGGCAAATCCGTGGCCTTGCTGGCTGCGCTGCAGGCTACCCTCAGCTCTGCAAGCCCTCTAGCTACAGAGGAGCACTCCGTTGAGAAGAGAGCCAATGGATACGCAAACTCTGTCTACTTCACCAACTGGTAAGTGAAACCAACAAGCTTTCATAGATTCACTGCTGACAACACGTCCTTGAAGGGGCATTTACGAGCGCAACTTCCAGCCTGCCGATTTGGTGGCTTCAGATGTCACTCATGTCATCTACTCATTCATGAACCTCCAGGCAGACGGCACTGTGTAAGTCAGAAACTCGGAGAGGGTATATTCTCTAAAAGTTACTTCCCGGGTCCTAACCGTCTTTCAGTGTCTCTGGCGATACCTACGCCGATTTCGAGAAGCACTATGCCGATGATTGTAGGGGTTCCTCATCTCTAGCTCCGCTATGTACACATGCTTACAATCACAATAGCTTGGAATGATGTCGGCACCAATGCCTATGGCTGCGTCAAGCAGTTGTTCAAGGTGAAGAAGGCCAACCGAGGCCTCAAGGTTTTGCTCTCCATTGGTGGCTGGACCTGGTCCACCAATTTCCCTTCTGCAGCAAGCACCGATGCCAACCGAAAGAACTTTGCACGAACTGCCATTACATTCATGAAGGATTGGGGTTTCGATGGTATTGATGTCGATTGGGAGTACCCCGCAGACAGCACCCAGGCCTCCAACATGATCCTTCTGCTCAAGGAAGTCCGATCTCAGCTAGATGCCTATGCCGCACAATACGCCCCTGGCTACCACTTCCTCCTCACCATTGCCGCCCCAGCTGGCAAGGACAACTACTCTAAGTTGCGCCTGGCTGATCTTGGCCAAGTCCTCGACTACATTAACCTCATGGCCTACGACTACGCTGGTTCCTTCAGCCCCCTTACTGGACATGACGCCAATCTGTTCGCCAACCCATCGAACCCCAATGCCACTCCCTTCAACACGGATTCTGCTGTCAAGGATTATATCAAGGGAGGCGTTCCCGCAAACAAGATTGTTCTTGGCATGCCCATTTATGGACGATCATTCCAGAACACCGCTGGTATTGGCCAGACTTACAACGGAGTTGGAGGTGGCGGTGGTGGCTCCACTGGAAGCTGGGAGGCCGGTATCTGGGATTACAAGGCCCTCCCCAGGGCCGGTGCTACCATCAAGTACGATGATGTGGCAAAGGGCTACTACAGCTACAACTCCAACACCAAGGAGCTTATCTCTTTCGATACCCCTGACATGATCAACACCAAGGTGGCCTACCTCAAGTCTCTTGGCTTGGGAGGTAGCATGTTCTGGGAGGCCTCAGCCGATAAGAAGGGAACTGACTCGCTGATTGGAACAAGTCACAGAGCTCTTGGAAGTCTGGACTCAACTCAGAACCTGCTGAGCTACCCCAACTCCAAGTATGACAACATCAGGAAGGGTCTCAACTAAGGTGGCTTCTTTTCAGGGGATACACAGCAGTTGAAAATGTTGTAAATAGTTGTTTATACACCTGTACATAGGCCAAATAAGTATATACAGATACATGAATAGTATCTAAAGTGTTTTATCATGCCAGTTTCTTGTTTGGTGAATTCGTGTGTGTACCAAGTAATAAGTGATATCCGACAATCTTTCCCATCTAGTAAATGCCTATTTAACGCTGTCATTCTATCAGATATCACATTAGGTTCTGTAACACTTTGGTGAAGAAACTGCATATCTACGTGTACTATATCGGCATTTTACGATGATGTTTCCAAGCGCTACTTGGTATAAGCTTTCTCTGCCTTCATATCGTATCTTTTTCTCAGGAGTTTCAATTTTCAAAATCAAGGCTTATAATGGTATATGGAATATCCTGTCTGGTGGATCTTCCGAAACTAAGATTTTATCCTTGGAAATGCCAATCCGTAGACCTAGAATCGATATTGTCGAAGGCAAGAGGGTACCATTTCCGCATGTGATTGATATGAGGTACTCAGTACTTGTGACACTATGGTGGTCTCACTCATACTATAGGTACTGGGCACTTAGGCAATCCTGCTCATGATCGGTTTCCCAACCCAACCTGATTGGCGCATGCACGTGACTAAGATGACCGCCCGTGTTCGCGACGCGGTTTCACTTTAACACCAACCTGAGCAAGTCGCAATCGCTTTGGCTCTTGTTTGCAAATCCAGGCCCCATTGCGACTTCCCACCAGGATGCAGCAACAATATCGCGCCTATGCCCAACAGGCACCGCAACGGTCGCCGCATCCCCCGAACCAGCGGCGAGGGGGGATTGGTATGCGCATCTCTCTCTCTCTCTCTCTCTCTCTCTCTGTCCATCAGCCAAAGCAGTCAGTCGCATTTCTTCTAACTTGCACAGGGCCCATGATGTCTTCTGGACCGCATCCCTCAGTCCCTCTTACACAGGCGCAGATTGCCCAGCAGCAGCAGGCGCAAGCACATGCTAGCGAATTAGCAAAGCGGAGAAGTCGCAAGCCAACCGACAAGAATATTCCTGATGGCGTGGAAGACTGCATTATCGATCCGGATGGCGTCAAGAGATATGCAGAATTGAGAGATATCGAGAGATTGATCGACGCCACGATTACACGAAAACGACTTGATGTGCTTGATGACGCAAAACGAAGTTCCAAGGTTGGCCTCCTCTTCATTCCTTGACGCAGCGTTTATGCAGCATAGCTTACGGTCTTTCTAGTTACGGAAAACACTGCGAGTCTGGATCAGCAATACCACCGAAGACCAGATCTGGCAAGGGAATAGTCTCAATGCCGATTCTTTTGACTTTACACCGGCCACGGAAGCATCTTACCGTGTGAAAATCGAGGGTTATCTCCTGGACGAAGACGATCAAGCCACGAACGAGGATGCGACATCCAAAGCCTCTCCTGCAGCAGACAAACAAGAAGAAGGCGGTTCGACCCAGAAGCCTGCTGGTACGGAGCCGAACCAAAAGAAGCACCGATTTTCACATTTCTTTCAATCCATTACCGTTGACTTTGATCGCTCTCGGTTCCGGAATGGCTCTGAACATAATGTAGAATGGAGACGACCAGAGAGTTCGCAGGGCCAACCAGGTGCTGCCGTGCCTCCTGAAGCTGACTTTGATGAATTTACTTTCAAGCGCAATGGGGATGAGAACATGAACATCACAATCAATTTACAGAGACATGAGTCACCCGAAAGATACCAGCTGACTCCCGAGCTCGCGCAAATCGTTGACATGAAGGAAGCGACGCAACATGAGGCTGTTATGGCACTGTGGGAATACATCAGGCTATCCGGATTGCAAGAGGATGAAGAAAGGCGTAACTTTCGTTGCGATGCATATCTGAAAAAGGTGAGCAGCATCTGAGCTACTTCTAGCAATTCGCCATTTCGTTTTTCCTCTTCACGATTACTAAATAATCTAGGTTATTGGTCGAGATTCTGGCGTTATACCAATGCTCAGCGAGTATGTAATGCCACATCTTCGTCCTCTGCCCCCCATTTCTCTCCCATATACGATTCGAGTGGACGAAGAATTCCACAGAAACCCTCAGCCTACGGTGTACGATATTCAGGTGCTGGTGGAGGATCCCATTAAGGCTAATTTGCGTCCTTTGTTGAACAACCCTCAATACGCTGCCACGTTGAAGCAGATTACCGGGTTAGATGAGCAGCTTGCTAGGCTTGTGCAGGCGATCTCAATGTCCAAAGCCAAGCACTCCTTCTTCTCATCGTTGAGTGAAGACCCTGCCAATTTCGTAAAGAGTTGGCTCAGTTCACAGAAACGCGACCTGGAGATCATTATGGGCGAGGCGGCAAGCGATGCCGAAAATGTTGCTGGCGATGAGTGGCGACGAGGCGGGAACAATAGCGTGTGGAACAGCCAAAATGCTCGAGAAAGCGTCAACGTGCTGCTCTCTAGACAACGATGAAATTGCTTGGCTTGAGTTTTTGCGAATTAATAGGAGATTCAAACAAAGTTTATTCAACAGGCGCGGGTGAATGAGTGGGAAGGAAATAGATGAAAAGCTACGGTAGCAAGTCATGATATGTTGCTCGGAGAGCTGGAGTGTGGTTCAAAAGTTGGGTGTGATAGATATCCAACTGAACTTTTTGCTTGCACACCAAATCAGTTTGTAATATTATCTTCTTTAATGGCATACCCCTTGACCTGCAGATGATTTGACGTAGCCCAAACTCCCCAATATTGCTAAACTCCAATACAAATGAGGATAGAGAGCAAAAAAAAAAAAAAAACCATCATTATGAATGAAAGGAGGGATAGCAAGACGCTCATTAATATCAGTTCTAAACTATGCCCCCTCCTCCTCTTCCCCCTCTCTAATAATCGAGATACATTATGATGCGCTAACAGATCGTTGAGAGACCACTGGAGTCGATGGCATATTACGGATTTGCTTAATCAAAAATTCTCGTTCATCAATGAATTGTTCGTCATCAGTCCGGTCCTCGAGAAAGTGTGCTAGAAAAACCAAGAGCTTCTCGCGATTCATAAGAAGAATTTTCTGGACGGCGATGGATTTATGCGGGTTCGCAACGAAAACCTTGAACACGTGGAACCCTTCATACTGGACCATTTTCCTATCGTCTCGAAGAAGGTTCATGCATATTTTCAAGTGCTCGCCACTATCGACATAGGCCGTCATGACACTATAATTGGAGCGGTCCAGGAGCAGTTCACCAAGGAGTTTGATGGACTGTCGTTTGGTGACATAACTGTTTGACTGGACCAGGGTGTTGTTGTACTTGTCAAAAAACAGTTCAAAGTTGGTTGATAGATATTTCGGGATCAGGTCTTTATGCCGTGTCAAGAGTTCCTGCTGACCGTTAGAAAACCTGTGCTCAAGAATTCGCGTTCGGGTGTAGCATTATGTCCCACCCGGAAGGTCGTAAACGCGTCCGCAGCAACCTCAAAGGAGCTCTTGTTGATCCAGTCGAAGAACTTCCAAAAGACTCCGCGACCGCTCTGGGGCCGGTTGCGATCAATAGCATTGAGGCCTTTACAACTAGATCCAGGTTCATCACCGTCGTCATAGAGGATTATGGCAGCGGCGGCTTCATTTTTGAGGAGCTCTCGAAGAACGGATCCCGCAGGAGTGGCACTTTCTTTGTGGTCATAGGCGCGACAGAGCTCAACTAGGACTTGTGGCCTGTTACACACCACATATGACAGGGCGATGGGGTCGCTCTTTGGAGCCGCTGCCGCGGGCCGGAAGCGGAATACATAAGAGAAGATCACTTGGGTATCCTTTCGCGACTCAAAAGGTAGGCGATAGAGGTTGGTAGCTAGCAGGTGGAGCAGGTCTTCGTCTATCAGAGCCGTGACGAGCTGATAGATCTGCTCGGGTGAGCTCTCAGTTTCTTAGGCTAGTGTTAATGCACCCAGATGGCTAGGCTGAGAACAGTGGGACGGAGGAGTAATAGAATAGTACTAGGAAGCGTGGGCGGCGTCTGTATATTGCATACCTTGAGTGCCTTGGAGAACGACCTTCATTTGATTGAGCACGCGAGCAAGCTCTTCAGCCTGGTCGTGTCAGAACAGAGGCAACGCCGCGACGCCGGGGGATTACGACACTCACCTTGGAGATCCCGTTAGGGCTTTCGAGCTTCATAATGTGATCACGAGCTTGCCTGGGTAGATCGGCAGCAGCCCGCGATCTGCCTCTCCCAAACAAGAACGACATGGTCAAGAGTTGGGTTCCGAGCTGGTGAGGGTCCGGTCGTCTCTCTCTCTATTTGCCAAACGATTGCCTCTAGGCATAACCTCGCGTCACATCAGCCGTCCAAAAGGCCATCCACGGGCGCTATCCGGTGTTGCTTGCTCTCTATCCAGAGCTCTTGGCCCAAGTTGACAGCCTGTTAATAGGGATGTCTATCGAGATGCGTCAGCGCGCCTGTTGAACGGATTATATCAGCTGTGCTCCGTACTCGGTACCTTGTACTAATACACATGATGCAGAATACTACTGCTTATGGCCTAGCAGAAATATCCCTTGCTGCTGCATTACTGCTGCGTTACTGCTGTATTCCTCATATTTTGCTGCCGTTATGGCCTTAGCGCCCAAAATATTCAGCAATTTCGGCGCCCCGTGCGTCCAAATGCGCGACTGCAACCCCACTTACCCTCTGCGGAATCACACTGCCCCTCCATTTGAACTTTTGAACTTTTGACTCACTCGAGGCCGATTATCCAGACCTGAGCAGCGGGAGCATAAAGGGCCATCCCTTCCCTTGGTTGTTTGTTTTTGGCCACCATACTTCTCCCTTCTATTCATACCCACTCCATTTGCTTGTGAGAGAGAGTGAATAGCACCATGTCCATCGATTTTCCCAAGGAGGAGGAGGCCATCCTCGCGCGATGGAAAGAGATCAACGCTTTCCACCGTCAGGTATGTCGACAAGGAATTATGAATCATTTTCTGCTGAGCGCATCCTGAAAAATTCTCCAGCTGGAATTGTCTGAAGGCCGACCGCCTTACACATTCTATGATGGCCCTCCATTCGCTACGGGTCTTCCCCATTACGGCCACTTGCTGGCGTCCACCATCAAGGACATCATCCCGAGATATTGGTCCATGAAGGGCTACCACGTCGAGCGAAGATTCGGATGGGATACTCACGGACTCCCCATCGAGCACGAGATTGACAAGAAGCTGGGTATCTCCGGAAAGGCCGCCGTGGAGAAGCTGGGAATTGCAAAGTATAACGAAGAATGCCGTTCTATCGTCATGCGATACGCTGCCGAATGGCGCACTACCATTGAACGTTTGGGACGATGGATTGACTTCGATAACGACTACAAGGTCAGAATATATTGTCAAAAAACCCCGTTCATCTCACAGAGGTCATTACTAATGTGCTGCCACAGACCATGGACCCAACCTTCATGGAATCCCTGTGGTGGGTGTTCAAGCAGCTGCACGACAAGGGCCAAGTGTACCAGGGCTACCGAGTTATGCCTTACTCGACGGTCCTGACTACTGCCCTTAGCAACTTTGAGGCCAACCAAAACTATCAAGACGTTACCGATCCCGCAGTTGTCGTGTCGTTCCCCTTGGTGGATGATCCCGAGACTCACCTTTTGGCATGGACGACCACGCCTTGGACTCTGCCATCACACACCGGTCTCGCCGCCCACCCAGACTTCGAATACCTTAAGATCAAGGATGGCAAGTCTGGAAAAACCTACATCATCCTGGAGAATCTGCTTACTACGCTTTATAAAGACCCCAAGAAGGCCGATTTCCAAAAGGTTGGCAAAGTCAAGGGATCAGAAATGCTTGGCTGGAAGTACAAACCTTTGTTTGACTACTTCTACGAAGATTTCAAGGACGTTGGATTCAAAGTCCTGAATGCCACCTATGTCACGGCGGATAGCGGTACCGGAATTGTCCACCAAGCACCTGCTTTCGGTGAGGACGATTACAACGTGGCCCTAGAGGCCGGCGTCATCAGTGAGAGCCGGCCACCTCCGGATCCCATCAATGATACTGGTCACTTCACCGACCGTATCCCTGAATTCGCTGGCTTGCATGTCAAGGAAGCCGACAAGCACATCATCAAGCACCTCAAGCAGGCTGGGCGACTGGTTGTTGAATCTCAGCTTCGCCACTCTTACCCCATGTGCCCACGCTCTGATACGCCCCTTATCTATAGGGCTGTGCCATCATGGTTCATCCGCATCCCAGAAATCATTCCCAGCATGCTTAAGAACATTGAAGATTCTCATTGGGTTCCATCATTCGTGAAGGAGCGTCGATTCGCCAGTTGGATCCAGAACGCTCGAGACTGGAATGTTGGAAGAAACCGTTACTGGGGTACACCCATCCCGCTCTGGGTGAGCGACGACATGGAAGAGCGCGTTTGTGTGGGAAGCGTTGAAGAACTCCGAGAACTCAGTGGCTACACTGGAGAGTTGACTGATATTCACCGAGACAAGGTCGATCACATCACTATCCCCAGTAAAATGGGTAAGGGCACCCTGAAGCGTGTGACAGAGGTTTTCGACTGCTGGTTCGAGTCCGGTAGCATGCCCTATGCTAGTCAACACTATCCGTTTGAGAATGTTGAAAAGTTCAAGGCCTCGTTTCCTGGAGATTTCATTGCCGAAGGCCTGGACCAAACTCGAGGATGGTTCTACACATTGCTCGTACTGGGCACACACTTGTTCGGCACTTCACCGTTCAAGAACTGTGTTGTGAATGGTATCGTTCTGGCTGAAGACGGAAAGAAGATGTCAAAACGATTGAAGAACTATCCTGACCCCAGCATCGTCATGACCAAATACGGATCTGATGCCCTGAGACTCTATCTCATTAACTCCCCCGTTGTGCGAGCCGAGCCGTTGCGATTCAAGGAGACTGGAGTGAGAGAAGTCGTTCAAAAGGTCCTCCTTCCGCTATGGAACAGTTACAAGTTCTTTGAGGGCCAGGTTGCGCTCCTGAAGAAGGTTGAAGGAGTGGATTACATGTGGAACACCGAACTGGAAACCACGAATACCAACGTCATGGACAAGTGGATCCTGGCCAGCTGCCAGAGTCTACTTGAATTTGTTAACGAGGAGATGAAAGGTACGTAATTGGAGGTCGAAATACTTTATGCACCAATAGATCTGGAACTAACATGTATTCAAGGCTACCGACTGTATACCGTGGTCCCTCGACTTCTCGAGCTCATTGACAACACCACCAACTGGTATATTCGATTTAACCGACGCCGTCTCAAGGGAGAAAACGGTCTCAATGATACCCTGCATGCTCTCAACTCTCTCTTTGAGGTCCTCTTCACCCTCTGCAGAGGATTGGCCCCCTTTACACCTTTCCTGTCCGATACCATCTATCAGAAGCTCCTGCGACACATTCCTAAGGAACTGCAAGCAGAAGACCCCCGGAGTGTTCACTTCCTCCCGTTCCCTGAAGTTAAGCAAGAGCTGTTCGATGCCGAGGTTGAACGCAGAGTGTCGAGAATGCAGCGAGTCATTGAGTTGGCACGTGTTTCCCGAGAGCGCAGAGCCATTGGCCTCAAGACACCTCTTCGAACCTTGGTTGTCATCCATCACGACAAGCAGTACCTTGAGGATATCAAGTCGCTCGAATCCTACATCACCGAGGAACTGAACGTTAGAGATCTGGTCCTGACTGGAGACGAAGAAAAATACAATGTCCAGTACAGCGTGACGGCTGATTGGCCGGTGCTTGGCAAAAAGCTCAAGAAGGATATGGCTCGGGTCAAGAAAGCCCTGCCTGGATTGACCAGCGAGCAAGCACAGAGCTATCTCACAGACAAGTTCATCATTGTTGATGGCATCCGTCTAGAGGAGGGAGATCTTGTTGTGCGCCGAAGCGTAAAGGAGGATGAGGCGTCTAAGATGTTAGAAATCAACACTGACAGCGATTTATTAACCATTTTGGATTCTGAGATCCACCCCGAATTGGCTCAGGAAGGATTGGCTAGAGAGATCATCAACCGAGTTCAGCGCTTGCGCAAGAAGGCCGGTCTGCAGCCCACCGACGACGTCAAGATGGAATACCAGGTCCTGTCGGATCCTGACAACATCGGACTGGAGGAGGCCATTGTTTCTCAAGCTTCCGCTTTTGAGAAGGTCCTTCGACGACCAGTTGAGAAACACCAAGAGGGTGCCACTAATGAACTCATTGCGGAGGAGGAACAAGAGGTCCAGCAGGCTACTCTGTTACTGCGACTTGTAAAGCTCTAAAAGTAGAACGCAATGTCCTTGAGAATAAGAATGAAAGACAAGTAAAATAGAAAATAGAAAAAAAATATATGGTTCATTAAAATTAAGTGTTTTTTAAAATCCTTATGATTGCTATTATTTACGCCTTTTTTACTGCTGTCTGTGGTGGTAAATTGAATGAGTATCTGTCTCTCTCTGCCCACAGCTATGTAGATGGAGGATATTTTGTGGACTCACCAGGTAGCAGTCTTTCAACCTCAGGAATTCTCGAGCGCACTTGTCTTTGTATACATCGTTATAATCCGCCATGATGCATTTACCGTATGCGGCGGCCTGAATTTTATCTGAATTTTAGTATCTGTTACATTTGGCAGCGATCTTCGCCGGGATTTTTGCCCACCTCTACCGCGCATTTGGCGACTGCCTTGGAAAGCTTCTGGACGGGGCGGGTGGACGTTTGGGGATTCATTTATTCGTTGGCAAAAAAGAGCTTCTGGATGAGATTGATGGAAGTGTGTGAGCTCGATCGGTATGCTTTTGGGTGAGATATGAAGGAATGGCTGGTGGATGATCAGATGCTGAAAGGCTCGGGAGTGGATTTTGGATGCCAGTGGGAGAGGCTCCGTTAGCGCTGTGGAGAAAATTGAGCTGCTGCTTGTTTGACGAAGGCGAGTCACATATTAAGTAGTTCCTCTCGCTCTGTGAAATAAATACCTTTATGATGTAATTTTTTTTTTTTTAAAAAAAAAAAAAAAAAAACTTTAATTGAATATTGAGACTTTCGGATTCTTTTTTGAATCGATAAAGACAATATACCTGATAGGCGTTCATTGTAAAATTGGGACATATGCTGACATCACGCACTGTGAATATGGTGCAGCTTTCAAGAGCGGACTTCATTACTATCCTACAATCGAAACACTACTTTGCTCTTTCATCGCTCTGGGCCAAGTTCCTCGAGCTGTTATTCCGATGCTCCCTGGCAAGGATGCCTGGGAACATCATGGGATCACTTCCAGACAAGTGATTATCCGCCTTGGCGCTGGCAGGCAGAAGGGGCTCCCCGGTGTGAGCGTCGACAAAGGTCACATGTCCCTCGGACTCTACGTCCTTGGGCTCAGTCGCTGTAGCAGCTGGGAGAGAAGCGCTCTTGTTTTCCAGAGGCTCTGCTGCTTGGGCGCTTGCAGGAGCACCGTTTGCCATAACGTCATTGCCAGAGCCATAATCAAGGTAGTTCCTCAAGCTAAACGGTAAAATAAGTATACATGCATGCGTGATGGGAGAGAGAAAAGAAAGGAGCGTTAATCACTTACATGTCTCTCTCCTGTAGGAGCGTATGGTACCGGAATTCCTCTCTGCGATCCGGCACATTTGTCTTTACCATCTTATTCCCGTCTTTCCCAGGCTTCTCAAAATCTTGGCCCAGCCACTGTTTCTTGATGGCCTTCTCATAGCCGCTCTGCTTTACTGAATTCTTTGCCAGCTCGCACATATCCACCGGGCTTAGCTTATAGATCTGCGCAGCCACTGCATACTCTTCGATTAAGGGCTCCTTGGTAAAAGCAAATTGCAACGGGTCGTCCGTGGATAGAGAGACGTTCAAACCACGCCTGAAATACTGATGGAATGGATTTCGCTCGTAAGCCAAGAACAAGGCGTTGTTACTCAGTGGCGACATGGCGATTCCGATCTGCTCTAAATAAAAGATGTATTGGAGCAGGGGAACTTTCCGCAGTAATAGCCCATGGCTAATACTGTGACAGCATAATGCTGCCACAGCCAAGTGCTCACTATCGCCTGCCTCTCCACAATGAGGTCGAAGAACGAACGTGTTGAAGCCGCGACTCCGTCGGAAGTGGTTCAACGAGGTCATGTTGGCAAACAGGTAATAGATCCAGTAGCTATAGGGAGGATTCTGCTTCGTATCCCAGGCTCTGGGCACTGGGAATTTTTTAAACAGCCGCCTCTCGATTTTGCTTTCGTCATCAACGCTATCAAAGCCAATGACACGCTGGAGAAAAACATGTAGCTTCGGATGGCTTGAAGGATCTTTGGTGACTTCGAATAGGGGTTGGAACACATTCTTCAGAACCTGCTCAAACGTGTCCATCAAGCCGCTAGCTTTGTAGATGTCGTAGAGGCGAGGGATTTGGACTAGCCAGCGAACATTGTGAGAAAAGAGCTTGTTGTCCACAACCCAGGCTGCGAGCCTATCCCACTCATCCATGGACTTGCCATAGATGGATATGCGCCATTCTACCATCTGATATTTGCTAGATTCCAAGTCAGATATCACTTCCTTGGTAATCTCTGCCAGGTAGCGCCCATGGATGAAGTTGTCGGTTTTGAGAAATATCGTTCTCAGGCGCGACTCGCCAATGGGGTTGTACTTGAGATTGAATTTATCGAAACGGTGAAAGGAATCAGTGTGTGCCTGATCTGTTAGAATACAGCTGCAATGGGAAATCCGCCTAGGTTATAGAAATTGCGACTTACATGCATATCAAGTGTATCTATGCTCAAATCATACGCCGTCAGATTGATACTGGCAAACACCTCCGCCAGAGTGAGATGCTTGCCATCTCGGAAGAGCACGACTTCGTTCGGATACTTCTTCATCTTACTCTTGATAAATCGCAACAGATGCTTCTGATTCATACATGCAGAGTGGTGAACGTGCGTGTCCACTTTTCGAACGTTGTAAAAATCTCGATGCGGCACCTTTTTGCTGTCGGCAGTCTCCTGGTATTCATTAAGGAGAACATATAAATTGAATTTTGCTTCTAAATACTGAAGTCGACGAAAAGCAAAGCTCTTGCTTGGGCCATCAGATGAAACCGTAAGAATTTCTTCCAAGTCAATGTAGAATTCTCGAATATTTGGCACGCGCATAGCGGGAGTTTTACTCTCTGAAGTGTTGAATACTTGATAGACTCCTTCGCTGTCCATTTCAAAGGTCATCTCGCCGTTTCCAGGCAAGGGAAGTAAGTCATCAAGGAAGAAGTCATCTCCAATATCGTGGCCAGGCTTTCTTTTTCGGACAGGCCTCTTTCGTTCAGGGGCATTGGTCGAAGAGCCCACGCCTTGCTTGCCGGCTTCGTCGGTGCTATGACTATGGCCATGGATCCACGCTGGGTCGGGAGGAGGGGGGTATATTTCCCAGTCGGCATTATCTCTGGGGTTGTCATTCGGCCCCTGATTAGACAGAGAGATGTACTTGCGTCTCATGTCAAGTATTCTATGAATCTGCTTTGAAATCGCACTGAGCTCGGCCGTTATATGAGGCTCAGTATCAAAGAGTCCATTGCCTGCCAGTCCAGAAGCGGGGTCATTGGTGGCCTTTGCCTCGTTAGACATGAGACCAGCACTAAGACTCGGCTTCAGAGGATATGAGCCATTGGGGGGGATTGCCGGTTCATAGGGCCTGGCAAAGGTATCTACGGCTTCAGGCTTGTCTAGTACCTCAATCAGCAACCCGTTTTCTTGACATGTTTCGCGGACGGATTATCTAATCACCATCAGGATCAAGAATCAACGAATCGCCCCCCCACTCTGTGGCTGGGCGTGAGCCTGAGAGAATAAGAGGGCTTCCAAAAGGAGTTGACTGTGGCCATGGAGAATTCCCAGTCCGTGGATCAATCTTGCTCCGTTGATAGAACAACTTTGCATCCGTCTGCGTCATCTGAAGTTCTGCAACAGGGTCATAGAACGCCGTGCGCTCTTGGAGATCTCGTAGCAGCATGCCATCGTGGAGATGTTGTTCGTGGTCCTCGATGGAATCTGGATGAAGTTCAGAGTCGATTAAACCACTGGTGGCCTGCCCTTGCACAGCTTCGTCCTCCCCCTCGTCCCTGGTACGAACCGGGAGGGATAAGCCATTACTGCCATGCAACGCGTGGTCTAGACGAATGTGATTAGGAACCGTGGTTATGGCAATTCAAAGACGCAAACGCAAATAACCATCGTGAAAGCAAGAAAAAGAGTTAAGGCAGCCCCATTTATTAGGTTCAGAATACGGCCCAATGAAGCGCAACTGTGAAGCCACCAAATGCTTATCCGGTGTATGAACTCACCAGCCATAACTCTAATTCACTTAGGCTGTCGTCAAATATATGGATACCGGCAAAATGAGCGTGCCAATGACTGCGTAGTTGGAAATGGATAGACCGATTAGTCCGTGATGATGATTCAAGGTTACACAGCAAGAAGTAGTTGGCACAAAAACAAAGAGCCGCAGCAAGGCGATCTCGTACTGTTAGGTACGAAATACATGCAGGCAGTTGGATTAAAGCTAATCCGCACTTGTTGTTGGACCGTACAGATTAGGACTAGCGTTGTTATTGCTTAAACAGCCCTTGTCTCTTATTGCTTCTGGGCGGCATTCAGGCGACAAGTGCCGAGTATGAGACTACTGGGGGGTTTAAACGCAGAAAGGTGTTGTTACGGTCGTATAAAGGGCATTTGATATGTATATCTCGACCGCTTGCCGTATATATAAATCTAAAAAGCGATTTGTACTCTATGTAGACTGCTCTAATAAGTCGCTTCAAATCGTATGATGCTTTGAAGTCTGTCTCTTCTCGAGCTGGCTTCTTCTATCAAATGACAAGGCATTTGCTCCGGATAACAAGCGGATCTAGTTTTGCGGTAAGCAAATTCTAGTGACAACCTCAATCCTTCTTCTTTTCCTTGGCCGGGACAGGTTTCGGGGCAACACTGTAAAGACCGGCGGCTCCAAACACTACTACCGCGCTTAGAAGGGTACCGGCTTTGAGAGTGTTGCCAAATAACCAGATGCTTAGCAAGAGGCTCATGAGCTTTCGAATGCTAAGTATTATCGTAACGGTGAGTGCCGATGCGTTTGCCGCAAGAAGGTTCACGCCACGAATACAGGCATACTGGGTCAACACGTTGGCCGAAAGATACGCCAGTTGGGATGGAACTCGTATTGTCTGTAGTGAAGCAGCAAACGGTATGTTGAGTGCAAGGGGGGTGCTTTCGCTTAGCACGAGTAAGTTGCGCCACATAGAAGGCGCAAAGGGCAAGAACAATGGTAGTGACAAGATGTGGGAATAGAAAAGGTTCTCCCTCCACTGCGGCCCGTACTTTCGATACGTTGCTTCGGTATACAGGCCCATAATAGCCGAGAGTACTTGAGCAGTAAAGATGATCAAAAGCCCAGGGTTGAACACAGGGTCAGCAATGTCGTCAGTCGTTTTCTGCGGGATATGTTAGAGCGAGGAAGAAACATTGTTGGTGATGACGAGCTACCTTGTCTTTGGAATCCGACCAAGCAGCGAGGCTGACGCCGATACTCAGCAGAAATACTGCAAAGATTTGGGGTCGTGAATACGTCTTGCCGTACAGATAGCCGGCAGCCATGGTTGTTATGCTGCCTCCGGATCGTAGAATAATATGAACCGGCACTGATATGTCATAGCTGAAGGCATGGTTGTTCAATACGTTGATGGCAAAGAACAAGAGAATGTTGACAAGCCAGCGGCTGAGTGGGACGACGTTGGGAGCAATGAAGAATGGCGGGCGTGATCTATCGAACTGCGCTACATAGCCCGTTATGGAGACGAATAGAAATTGAACGAAAGTTACGAGGGTTCCTGCGTGGATAAGTGCAAGGTTGGAATCGGTCGTCTATGGAGGGTATGCAAGTACAAGTTTACCATTTGTCGGCTCGAAGCTATTAGAGATACATGTTAGACTCGGGTTGGCAACTGAAATCGGCATTGGTTGAAAGGCTTACTTGATGATTGCCTCTAAAGCATACACCTGCGGACACACTCTGTTCAGTCACGCGACCACAAGCAGCTGTCACCGGGATACAGCACGTACATTGGAGCAGCATCCACCAAAGATCAAGACTGTCATTACCGCCGTGGCAAGCAACGTCGAGCCGCTGTCCAGAGCGAAGTGGCGCACAACATTTGCCAAGGTGGGTGATGGAGGCCCCTTGTTGGATGTCGACTGAACACCCTTGCCCGGTGTCAGTTTGGTTGGAGGAGGCTCCATTGCGTCTCCAATTGTCGAGGCAAGATCATGCCTTGTCGAGGAGCAGACACATGTGGCAAGGAAACACTTTTATTAGTGAATCTGGATGGTAGATTGGCAGGGGTAGTTTGTCATCCGAGGTTACTAAGAGGAGTAAACATTGTAATCAAACCATTAAAATATGAAATTATTTATATTAGATATTAATAGGAATAGATCTTTCCAAAATATTAACAAATATTCCAAGTTTATTATTTTAAATAGAAATAACTATAATAATATTATTATATATAAACAAATTCTATGTAATATACATCAATATTTATAGCAGAGTATTTAAAATTAATAGTATTTCTGTAGAGCAATATTTTTTATTAAAAAAATATTTATGCTTTTTATTACTAATATCCCTTTAACGTGTTTTTTTTTAAAAAAAAAACTACTGCCGTAATTGGTGTAGCTTCGCCAGTTAGCTTAGTGGAGGGGTACTGCTAGTATGACGGAACGCAGCGACGTAAGTCGGATAGGTACCTAATTGCTTCTTTGGCGATTCCACCGTTAAGCAAATCACTGACCACGAGCCACGACCTTCAAACCAATCGGCGTGTTTTCCTGTGCTCTCGCCGTTTACAAACCGCTGCGACCAGCTCTCACTCCTCCCACTCCTCCCACTCTTCCCTGAGCATCGACTCCTCCGCTACACTGCTCAGAAAGGTCCCGTTCTCAGCCAGTTACAATGCCGACCACCACTGCGGAAACACTCTCGCTGGTTACGAGAAACGTCTCTGTCGCTCCGCTCGTCCTCCTCTCCGCAGTTGACCACTACAACCGAACAGTACACAACAAGACAAAGAGACGGGTGGTTGGAGTTCTCCTTGGCCAAAATGATGGAAAGAACGTGAGAGTGTCGAACAGCTTTGCAGGTACGTCTAGGAACTAGGCAGAGATTCTGCAGAGATTCTGCAGAGATTCTCCCACTCAACAAGGTTGTATCTTCTAACAAGCCATGCTTTTGTCCAGTCCCTTTTGAGGAGGATGAAAAGGACCCTTCAGTATGGTTCTTGGATCACAACTATGTCGAGTCTATGAACGACATGTTCAAGAAAGTAAATGCGCGCGAGAAGCTGGTGGGGTGGTACCATACCGGACCAAAGCTCCGTGCCTCTGATCTCGAGATCAACGAGCTGTTCAAGCGCTACACACCTAACCCTCTACTGGTCATTATTGATGTCCAGCCGAAGGAATCAGGCGTCCCTACTGACGCGTATTTTGCGGTCGAGGAAATCAAAGATGTAGGTTGCTCTCAGTGACACACTGGAGAGAAGACAAAACTGATCCCTTTTCTCTCTCTATAGGATGGAACGACGACTTCTCGAACGTTTGTCCACACACCATCGATCATCGAGGCTGAGGAGGCTGAGGAAATTGGTGTTGAGCACTTGCTAAGAGACATTCGTGACGTTGCTGTTGGCACTCTATCCACGCGCGTCACTAACCAGCTCCAGTCGCTTCAAGGACTGCACCTCCGGTTACGAGACATTGGTGCCTATCTTCAGAAGGTCCTTGATGGACAACTCCCCGTCAACCATGCGATTCTTGGCAACCTACAAGACGTCTTCAACCTTCTCCCCAACCTCTCTACACCAGACGATGACAGCAAAGTGGGAAGCCACGAACTGTCACATGCCATGAGCATCAAGACCAACGACCAGCTGATGGCCATCTACCTGAGCAGCTTGATACGCGCCATTACGGCATTCCACGATTTAATAGAGAACAAGATCCAAAACCGACAGCAGCAAGATGAGAAGGAGCCGAAGAAGGACGAGGCCACTAATAAGGATGAGAAGAAGGACGGCGCCGCCACCGCCGCAAACGGAGAGGCCAAGGAGAGCGGCGACAAAGAGAAGCCCAAAAAGAAATAATGAACGGGAAAGGTCAACCTGATGCTGCCTGAATCTGGAGGGGCGAGCAGTGCTTAGAGTAATAAGTGAACTAGTGCTTTCTATATGTTGATAGTAGCAAACCGCTAGGGAAAAATCAACTCAAATAGACGCTTTCCTTGATTCATCTGCGTCTGATCTAATTCTGTCTTGATTTTGTAGGAATGTATCAGGAACCCCCTATTATGGCAGCCAACTCTTCCTTGGTTGTGTACTTATCTTGGACGTGACTCCCAGCTGTCTTCCTCCATTTCTCTGCCAGTAAACATGCGAGGAGGTGCTTACAACACGGAAAATCCTCGAGTGATGCTAATCTATCCAGTCCCAGGGTGCCGAGCCATCCCGGTGGTGGAGAGTTCTGAAGCTTCTCGCCATTATTGGTCACACCGTAGTTGGAATACGCATCGAGGGCGAATCCACCGCAGGAACAGCTCCATGCGTCAAGGTGCACCGCATATACCTTTGTTGCTTGCGAGGTATGTCGTTTACGCCGGGATGTGGTAGAGGCAGCAGACTGGACGGTGTACATACATATCTGGTCCTTGCAGTCCGTCGCTTGCCAACTGTCAGGGATGTAGTCTTCAGGCTGTTCATCGGTATTCTCCTTCTTCCCGCCGTCAAGAGCTGATGGTTCTGCTGGCACTGCTCCCTCAGGTGCATCTTGCAACTTGTTTGCCACCAAGATACGGCTGACCAGTCCACGATCCAGTAGATCCAGGGCCGGTAGAAGAAGGCTTGGGAAGATGACATGAAGAGTCAACAATTGCCGCCGCCAGTTTGAATCTTCCGGATTGCCAGTGAAATCAGTTGTGGCACGGAGTCCTGGGAGGGGCGATGGCGGAATAAGGGCCGCGAACAACTGATGGTGAGATGGCAGATTGTGCTCCTCCATCTTGGGTGTATGCCGTCTAAGTGCAAATCCTGGCAAAAGCAGAATGAGGCCTCTCGAGTTTGAGTCTTGCTATGTGTAGCACTGGTGATGGCTTATCAATATCATTTTGCCGTGAGTGCCTAGTCGTGAAATCTTGACCAGAAAAGAGCAGAGAAAAGAAGTTGCGCACCACTTAGATGGAGGATGGCAGCGTATGAAATAATTGTACGTCAGGTCCGTGTAAAGAAGTTGTGACATACCTATTCTCCTCCAAACTACAGTCACCTAGTCTATTTTAGGCACTAATTTTCACCTTCAGCAGATATTATCATTTTCTGGTCTCACCACAGGAAAGTTATAGAGTACTTGTACTCAATGATGCTTTTTTTTATCTATGCCGCTACACTACAAAATATACTGTTTTATGCATTATTACACAGGAATATACCAAATCACACCCACTCCTTGGGCTCCTTCAGGACATCCACCAGTCTCTGCTCCCTGCTCTTGGGCTCTGGCTCATACATGTACTTCCAGCTTGCCGTCAATGGCAAGCTCATGAGAATACTCTCGACTCGGGATCCAGGAGTGTTCAACCCAAAGGCGGTGCCTCGGTCGTGGACCAGGTTGAACTCGACATACTTGCCTCTACGGATCTGCTGCCATTCCTTCTCCTTATCGTCATAGGGCATATCCTTGCGCTTCTCTAGAATGGGAACGTATGACGGCAGGAAAGACTTGAGGCAGTCCTGAATGAATGCAAAAGTGTTCTCCTGGTCTCGCTCTGTCTCGTCTAGATCGTCAAAGAAGATACCGCCCACGCCTCGGCACTCACCACGATGCTTGTTGTAAAAGTACTTGTCGCACCACTTCTTGAATCGAGGATAGTATGTCTTGTCGTGAGAATCGCAGGCCGCCTTGATTGTCTTGTGGAAGTGGATGGCGTCTTCGTCAAAGAGGTATGAGGGCGTAAGGTCGCAGCCGCCTCCGAACCACCAAGCCTGAGAGGTGCCGTCGGGATTGGCCGTTTCGAAGTATCGGTAATTCAGGTGCACGGTAGGAGCCATAGGGTTGTAAGGATGGAGCACCATGCTCAGACCAGCAGCGAAGAATTCCAACGACTCGACATCGGGGTCGAGGTTCTTGTGGTTCTCTCGCATCTTCAAGATGGCGGGCTTGGGCAGCGTTCCGTAGACGACGCTGACGCCGAGGCCGGCCTTTTCGAATACGTTACCCTCCTGCAGCACACAGGTTATGCCGCCGCCGCCATTGGGTCGTGTCCACTCGTCCTTGCGAAACTTCTTTCCGTCGATGCGCTCGAGCTCCTTGACAATTATTTGCTGCTGCTCCTTGATGAACTTCTCCATCCGCAGGCGCATGGGCGACTCTTCGGTGACAACCGCCTCTCTCTTCTTCTGCTCATCCTTCTCGGCAAGGGTTGTGACATCGAGCTTTGCAGGCTCCGCCGTCGTCTAGGAAAGAAAAACAAGGAGAGACATGTAAGCTGGAGGGGTCTCGGCGCGGATTATGTCTCCCTGGGCCTATAGTGTAAGACTTACCAAGCTGTAGGCCAAGGGAGCCGTGATGCCAATGGCGGCGGCTGCAAGCCAAACGGCTGCTGAGGATGACGTTCCGAAGCTGGCGGGAGCTCGACGACTACCTGAGGCGGACGATGCCCATCGATTGAAGGCCAATTGGCCTCGAGGAGCCCTTACGGAGCGCAGACGGACCTGTGAGGCCACGCGCTGGGCATAGCGAGAGGCAGCCATGGATGAAGCCATGGCGGGGTGCAATTGGTGATGAGATTGAAGCGGTTGAACCTGGGCAAGCCAAAAGCCGAGACAAGGCGGGCGACGCAGGATTTAATAAGACACGGCTACCAGAGTAAGCCGGAGAAAGATTTTCTGCTTCTCGTGCTTTTTGTTGAATTGGCCAATTAGCCCCTCCGCTGATCGAGCCACTGGCTACTTGGTGGCGTGTTCGGTGGTTGACATCTTCCCACACAAGTCAGGCTGGGTTAAAGTACTCACTCGTACGGAGCCCGGCTTGTCTGACGGCGATCGGCACAAGCTCGGATCGGAGGGGCAAGCAGACGCTGATTGAGTGAGCAGAGCATGTCACCGTTCGACGACTAAGTCTAGAACTAGGCTAAGGGAAATGGGAGAAGTGTAAATGGCATGGAAATGTGTGATTGCGTGAAAGTAGTGGAGGAGTTGCTGTTGGTTTCGATGGATCAAGGAAGAAGGGAATGAAACTGTTGGTGGGACATTAAGCGGCAGACGCACAGTAAGAGAGACGGCAAAATGATGCACGGTTTAGAGGTGACACTAACAAAGGACAACCATCGATGAAAAGGACAACCTAAATATCCAATAAAAAGAGAGCCTGCCTATATAAAACTTACACAGAACAGTCTTTCAAACAGTCTTTCATCATAATGGATAGACTTTTTATACAGCAGAGTTGGGACTATTGGCTGAGCAGTTTGAAGCCTCGTTCACTGTACTCCATTTACTAATCCACTACTACCTCCTCGGCGCCTACGGAGTACAATGAAAGTATACTTGCTCACATCAGGTACCTATTCCTGATAGGCCAGGGACATTGATTCTGATCCTTTTTTTGAGTTCCTGTGCAGAAGATGAGGAGAGATATTCCAGAAGCGTCACTTACTAAGCTGCTCAGGTGCGGACAGATGAACGAATGAGGATTCATATTCACGGTTTCCTTCTTTCCCTTTGTCTCCTAGACCTTTGTTAATTTCTTCATCTTCTTCATCATCCCTTTTCTTCTGCTAAGTATAGGGCGGGTATGAATAAGACGGAAAGAAATGGGGGAGGCGCACGGGGTGCTGATGATTACAAGGGAGTCTGATTTCCTTTATCCAGATGAGATGAGATGAAAGCGAATACGGCGCTCAGCTGAGGCAGACTGGGGAGTACCCGTACCGTACCCCGTACCGTACCCCGTACCTGCACCTTGGTACCTCGACCTCGTGCGGCTCTCAAAAGTACCTAGTAGAGTACCTTACCTCCCCGGGAAGCCGCCCCCTGGTGACTTCACTTGACTCTGAGTGCACAAGGATCTGGCAGCTGATCATGTGGTCTCGGTGCCAGGTACAGTCGTCGGTGGTGTCCGCGTTATGCAAGTACATAAATCGACCTGCCACAGCTAAGCTGGGCTTGTGCCGCGCAGCTGTGCACCCGCCCCTCCCTTGGTGAGCCAGGCTGCCAAAGAGTGTCAAAGGGTACCTGGACGCTGCCCGCCACGCTTGTACCCGCTCCGTACCCAGTAGAAGCGCCGGCTGGTACCCCCGACGCCTGGCCACCTAGTGAGTGATTCACCGCGTCCCGCATCCAACTTTAGCGCGCCACCCAACTCAGTTGCGTGCTGTAATGCGCTGCGCTGCATCCGTCCCAGCACAAAGGCGAGCGTCACTGCCTGCCTGCGCCTCTTGCCTTTGCCTGGCCACCGCCTTGTCATCGGGCCAGAGTCACTGGGTCACTCACCCCTCTCCTCCACTTCGTCACCACAGCTTGCCTGCTCTGCCTTAAACTTCTACATCATCTCTACATCCCTGGATCCCTTTTCTTCCCCTTTTCATCTCTCTAGATTCAGCTTCGAAACCCTTTCTCTCCATCTCCGCGCCATCGATATTTATCGTTTTCATCGCCCTGTGAATCGCCATCGATAGCCACAGTCGTCGCCTGCGTCATCGCACACTACAGCACTTCACTCGATACCCCTAACCTTTCGGTTCCCGTCAAGATGCGCAGCAAGTTCAAGGACGAGCACCCCTTCGAGAAGCGCAAGGCCGAGGCCGAGCGCATCCGCCAGAAGTATTCCGATCGCATTCCTGTAAGTTTCCCGGCTACCTCTCTCGTTTACTCGTCATCGTCTTCGTCCCAACCGGGTCCGGCACCCGCCATGCAGCATGCCGTGACTACCCCAGCTTTTACAGATGAATATTGATGGCTAACGTCACCTCCTCTCTACAGGTCATCTGCGAAAAGGTCGAGAAGAGTGATATCGCTACGATCGACAAGAAGAAGTACCTGGTCCCTGCGGACCTGACAGTAGGCCAGTTTGTCTACGTCATCCGCAAGAGGATTAAGCTTTCTCCAGAGAAGGCTATTTTCATCTTCGTGGATGAGGTCCTTCCCCCTACTGCTGCTCTCATGAGCAGCATCTACGAGGAGCACAAGGATGAGGACGGGTATGAGCGCTATCCATTCCCCCCCATCGCCGAGAACTGCAGGCTAACATTCCATCTCTAGCTTCCTATACATCACCTACTCCGGCGAGAACACCTTTGGTACCGCATAAACAACGAGGCGATACAGGGGAACTTTCCAAGCCGATGTGGCTGATGCAGGCGTTCTGGTCGTTGGGCTTATACTCTTTCCGATGGGGGTTTACTGGTGCTTTGTGATATTGCGATTTCACTGTTATCAAACAAGAAGAATCGAGATGAAGCAGATGCTAAGACATCTCTCGTTTCCATGTTATCTTTGTCACGAGCCTTACTTTTGGGGGAAATGATTTTGTGGTACGACAGAGGAGGGTTTGGTGACAATTCCATGTAGGCGGCCAGGCACCGTATAGATCGTTTCAGCCTCTCCTATGTGTGACTGTTACGTTCTCTTTTGCTCTGCGCACCTAATATGCCTGTTTTCTGTTTTATAGTTGACAGAACAACAGAGATTAATTTTAGCATATCCGCCAATAGATGTTAACTTTTGCCCCAAACTCTTGCTCCTGAGCAGTAAATCTTGTGCGAACCATTGCAGAGGGAGCCCCAAGTTGAGAATATTGAACAAGCATTATTATATATAAATGTTTAAACGAGCATGAACCTCGTGCAGACTTTGCATGGTATATACGTCCAATCAAAACTATCCTTCCATGATTGATACGTTCCCCTTCCTTTCATTAATAATCATAAAATTCATCCAAAATTAAACCTTCTCAATATGCGACTCAATAATGCCGTCATATTGGTTCATCACCTTCTCATCGATGGATTCGTGGAACACGTCCACCTTTGTAGAAGCAAACTTTCGCGCGCTGACCTTCTTCTCGAACAAAACGTCGAGTTCGGCAAAGGTGCGGCCACGGGGTTCGGGGAGGCGGAAGTAGGTGTAAATGATGCACAGGAAGCAAATTCCACCCTATGGAAAAGTATTAGTTTCGATGCTATTTTCTTTTGTCTGCGATCAGACAATATGGGGAGATTTGTCTTACCCAGAAGAATCCGGTATAGTTGCTCCAGTTCCAAGCTGTGGGGTTCAGCATGTATGGCGTCAGAACGTTGGTGATGATACCAACGATGTTGCTAGGGTTAAGAGGTTAGTAATCCGATCGCTCGGCACATGTATAGCCAAGAATAAACTTACTAGAGATTTCGTGCCAGCACAACCGTCTTGATTTGCAGTCTACGCGATGAAAGTTCACCGACAAGGGAGTAGCACACGGTGCCGACAGTGAGCTGGTAGAAGAGGGCCCAGACAACCATGATGCTTCCAGTGGCGAGAGAGCCCTGCCTCCTGTGAGACTCGGGGACCAGACCCAGGAAGCCCAGGATGAACAGCATGCTGCAGAGACCACAGAGACCATAGAGATACAGAGAGCGGCGGCCGATGCCCATCGTCATCAAGCCCCATGCGCCAAAGACACCGACCATGTTGATGGCGTACTGGCCCAGGGCGAACGAGTACGAGTCTTTGGTAGAGAGGCCAGCCTGCTGCAAAAAGTAGGTGGAGTAGTTGGAGAAGGCGTTGCCGCTCAGGTTCTGAATAGCCCAGGTCATGCAGACAATCTCGGTACGGCGCAGGTCAACGCCCTTGAAGCAATCCCAGTACGAGGCACCAGCAGTAATCTTCTCCTCGAGGGCAGTCGTGTGCACCATCATGGCCACAGTCTCGTCGGCGTCAAAGTCGGTCTCGCGGTTCAGGCTGGTCAAGCGGAGCAGCGCCTGCTTGGCCTCCTGAGCCTTGCCCCGGCGAACAAGCCACCAGGGGGATTCCGGAGCGAAGTAGATGGCGATGAAGAGCGGGAGAGGCCACATCCATTGCAGACCATAGGGAATGCGGTAGGCCCACTGGTCGTTGCGCTTCAACATGGCATAGATGACGCCGATTCCAATCTCTTGGCCAAGACCCCAGCAGAAGTTGACATAGGTGGTGAGGTATCCTCGCAGGGCAACGGGGCAGACTTCAGAAGCATATGTGACAGTGATGGTCTGGAAGATACCCCAGGGGATACCGCACAGGATCTCGGCAACCAGCAGCGTCTGGACATTGGGCGCAGTGAAGAAGATGGCAGTGAAGGCAGCGACCAAGACGAGACATCCCATGACCGTCTTCCTGTAGCCGAATCTCTCAGAGACGAAACCATTGATGAAGAGACCAATGATTTCACCGACGGTGGCACCCTGTTGTTTGGCCAGGCTGTTAGCGCTGATATTTCTTCCGACAAGATTGCGACTAGTCAAGAGGTCTCCATAAAGGTGATGAGTAGGGGTGGGACATACGTTACTCAACCCAGATTGCCACCTGGCGGGGACTTGATATTTGCCGTCTGGGAACAGCTCACCGTATTTCTCGTTGAATTGGGGGAAAGCATCTTGCAAATACGTTAGCTATCAATTAAGATGTTTTGCGCTGAGCTGTTGCTGGGGGGATGGGGTCTTACAGAAGTTGTTGACCAAACTAATGTCGTAGCCTTCCATGACAATGCAGGTGGAGATGATCATGCTCCATGCAATAGCCTTGGGATACAGCTTGATGCCTTGAAGCAGAGTCATTGACTGTTCCTTGGCAGCAGCCGCTCTGGCACTCTCAATGATCACACGGCGACCCTTGGAGAACTCTTCGTCTCCCTCGCCGTCGACGTCCACGACGCCGCCGGTGGTGGCATTTTTGGATGTCTGAATTTCGACACCATCCTGATGAGGAGAGATCTCCTTCTCAGTGGCAGGCGATGCCATGATGGGAGTGTAGAGTGTGAAAGTCTAGAACAAGAAGAAGAAGGAGAGGCGAGGAAAGATACCCTGGTGTACCAATGTTCTTCGCAACAGAGTGCGCTGAAGAAAGGAAGACGGACAAGGGCCGAGGAGAAGAGGGTGGAGGTGGGAAGAGAGGAAGGATATATAGGTGACGGCCAAGGAGCGGAGAAGAGACAAGAGAGAAAAAAGCTCCCCAAAGACGAGGTTGAGATGCAATGCGAGGCCGGGGTCAGTTCGATTGACGCGGGTCTAAATAAGCCGAGCCCTCTGGTGTCGATCCAATGGTGCTCGCCCGTTTCTCTGGAGCCTTGGCTGAAGTGGGCTTTGAGCAATCGGTGATGATAGCCAACGCACGAAAGAGGCAACGAACGAAATCTCGCCAGCCGCCAAGGAAACCACTGCAGCCAGGGTTTGTCCAGTTTTTTTTTTCTCCCTTTCCCCTCTTTCGACAGGCTCACCGTTGTCGGTTCTGGATGGCAGAAGAAGCCAGAGGATGGACGACGGAAAAATCTTTTGTTAGCTCATCATATCTTCGTTTGGCTACACTAGTTGCAAATGCAATGCCGGGAGTGGCTCGTGGCGGCGGAGGAGCCCGCACAAGCTGCTAAGGTTCCTAGGAACACGCGACTTGGCTAGCCTTAGTCCGGCAAAGCTGCAGCACAAAAGCGACGGGGGCAGAGCGATAATTGTCATGATGTGACTGGGTGGCGGCGAGTAGGTTTTGCTCTAGGCCGGCGAGAATTGGATTCCCCCTGGTCTTTAGGGGTTCGGTCACCGCTTGTGTGTGGGCTTCTGGAAAGTTGATTGTTGGTCGGCATCGCTCGTGGTAATGCGGCAGGTAATTTTTTTTTTTTTTTTTTCTTTGTCTGTTGAAGAAAAAGACAACGTGGGCCAACATGCTGACCAGTTTTGATTGAACCTTGATATCCAGGGCTGGCACAAAGACCCCCGCCCGCCAACAAAAGCATTTGCCGATGACAGGAGTTGATTGTCTGCCCAGTTGCCGAGGCGTTTGCGTTTATCAATAATAGGCAAATGCATTTTCAACTACTACTTCGTACGAGTCCGTAGTCTACAGTAGATGGTGAAACTACAAGGTTGGAGGAGCTGTAAGACACGTCCAAGGAAAGAGACGCCGGAGCCAAGTAGAATCCAGAGTCACAGCTGAATCCAGAATCCGGAATCTAGAATCTATAGTCCATCCAAGGTAGCCGCAGACGTCGTTCGCAGCAAGGCTGACGGGCCACGAGCCGCGACGGCAGGCCAATCGCAGGCGTCGTGATTCTGTCGTCCAGGCAAGCTGTCGTCATGCTCCCGCATCCCCATGGGGTAGAATCGCGATGCGGGGGAAGCGCTAGATGCGCCAGGCGACGCTCTGCCCCATCCGAGATGCCTTGTCGAATCTGGCATGCTGGGGAAGCCTCCCTGCGTCTTGAATTGCGCCTGTTTGGCGATTTCCCTGGCCATCATTCTTTGGTGTCGTGGGCCGCCGAAAAAGCATCGCGGCCCACTGCGTTTTCGGCGGCGCTAGCTGAAAGAGGCAGAAAATTGCAGACTCATGTCGCCGTGATCTTTCCTGTTTAGGTAATTTTTCTGTCCTTGATGTGGAGATGTCTAAAAAGGGTAATATTTTCCTGGTGATGCTCCTCGTCTGAGGTAAATCTTCTTCAATATTACTGCAGGGTACTATCACGAGCCTCAAAGGAGCATGTTGGTAGCGTTTACAATTTCCCACGTGGCTTAAGATTTGTCTTTATAGCCACGGGTATTTCGCAGATAACCGGCCAAGGAATCCTTCTCTCCAAACGCAGCCAGAGCCACGATGCAAACAAAACCCTCAAAAGCACCAATCCATACAAATCGAGGTGAATTAAACACATCTGGGGTTGTGAATTTTATTCCTTTATCTAACATGGCTCATATCACGCATTCCCTCTATTCATTACTCCAAGAGCATCATTAACGCTCACATACTCTACTCTACTCGCTCAAGTACGCTGACAACGCTTTCATATTCATTCTGTTATGCTGTGATAAATTGTCGTACTGAAACTGCGCCTGTTCTGCTCCTATCTGACATACATTCGACAAAATATTTTTTTTATTTGGAAAGGGCCATCCAACGCCCAAGCGACTGCATCATGTACCATAACAAAACACAGAGGAAATACCCACCCAGTATTATCTAATGCTACCATACTTCAGAAAATCCACGTATTTTTCTTTAACCCGCTACGATCTTTACCTATATGTACTTTCTGCTACTCTCTCCACTTCCTGCTACTGTCACTACTGTCACTACTCTCTACTCTCTGCTACTCTCTCTACTTTCTTCTGGTATCTGCTATCAACACTACTTGCCTAGGTAGATCGTTGACTTTATATTTAAAGACACTGGATGCTGGATAGCTAATTTGGGGGGCGGAAATGGCCACTCCCTTTATTCCAGTTAACGCAGACAATATGAATATGGGCCAATTTTCAGCCTGATGCTGAACACGACTTACATAATATACCTCTTTTTTACTGGCTTTGGATGTGCAATACGCCTGCGACACGTGGCATGCATATGGATGCATTGTACATGCAGCACAGCGCGGCTTTGATAGGGAGCGCAGGAAAAGATGCCTGACCTACAGAATGAAGTCTGAGAAGCATCCAACAAACAACATCTTCTCAATAGATCAAGTCCATACGACTTCCTAAAGCTCTAGAGACACAATGGGGAAAATTCGTGGTGAAGAAGCCAACCCAGGCTCTCGCGGTGGCCTCTTGAGCTGGCTGAAAGCAAAAGCCAGGCGTCGTCCTGTCTCCTCTTTGCACCGCCCAGATGACATGAACCCAGCCTCACCTGATCATTCCGCAGCTGGTTCTACTCAATCGATGTCAAATTCGATAGTACTGGCTGCGCCCGCCGATGATGAGACTCTGCAGTCCTCGGACACAGCAGTCACCTCCAGACCAAGCCCTGGTTCTAGTGATCCCGCTCCATTCAGCTCAACGGGGGTTGCTGCGGATACTGGCGACAAGCCTCCATCAGATTCATTGTTGGCTGCTATCTCAGAAGGGAACAAATTATGGATGGAAGCCTACAAAACTTCAAAACCGGAGACGAAGAAGTGGATTGCCGGATTTCCGAAACAAATCGACCTATTAAAGCAAGTCGACAATGTCCAAATGAATGAGCTCATTAGACTTGTTCAAGATATAGAAAAAAGACACCAAGACCGTGCTCTTCTGATTCGAGTGGGAGAGAAAGACATCTTTTGGAGAGACTATGCACCTCGGCTTATATCTTCAATCAAAGCAATTGGAGATATTGCAATTCAGTTTGCTCCTGCTCCATCAAGTATCGTTTGGTCGGCATTGAAGGCGGTTCTACAGGTACCCACTCACCTCATGATTTCTCCATCTGCGGGTTTACTTAGCGGCTCAACTGATCAATTGTAGATGTCCGTTGCACCTGGTGAAGAACTTGCCGCCATTCTGGGATGCTCCGAAAAAGTTTTGAGCATTGTGAGACGAGGAAAGGTGTATGAGACCATATATACCGAAACCAACACTCCGGTTGAGTTACTAAAAGATTTGACGGCCCGGCTTATTGCTGTTTATACCAAGTCACTAGACTTGCTTGCCCATGTAGGACAACGCCTGTCAGAAGGATATCGGCACATCCTTCTTGCAATTGCCAATCCTGGAGTGGCCAAAGGTATAATGGCTGATCTAATCCAGTGTGAGGACAATCTGTTTAAAACAGCTGAGGTCTGTGAAGCCGCGCGGAGCGCTGGTGCAGACGAACATTTTAGCACCCTATTGACCAACCTCAGCGAGCCATTGACGCAAATTAGTGACAGAGTACGCAACTTCCTTGAAGAGGCCCAGGCAAATGAAACCCTTGACGTCTTGGAATTCTTTAGCCGCATCGACTTTGGTGATCAGCATCGTATAAGGGCCGAATCGAGAACCTCAGGAACCGGAGAATGGCTATTACAACATAGAAAATTCAAGGAATGGGAGCAGGCCCCAATGTCGAGGATTTTGTGGCTCCAAGGCACTGGCAAGTAACCCCAGCGAAGGAAAGTGTATCCTTAGGTCTAGTTATCTGACGCGTTATGGTATAGTGGGTATGGGGAAATCTTTCCTTGCCTCCAAAGTTATCGATCGATTTCGTGTTAAGACAAGTGCGGGCGATGATCACGAAGCTGATAGCGACCACGGGCTTGCCTTTTTCTATTGTAATAGGGGCCAAATCGACCTTCAAGACCCCCTTTTGGCCCTCCAAAGCTTTGTTCGCCAGCTAGCTACATGTCCACGCTATTCGAAGATGGTGAGAAAAAGTCTTATCAAGCTATATCGTGAAAACAGAAAGAACGGTTTAAAACTGGGCTTTGATGCTTGCAATAAGCAGTTATTGGAATCAGTGAACCTCTACCCTCAAACTGTCATTATTTTAGATGGTTTAGATGAATGTGACGCAACATCAAGGGACAAACTTATCACCATTTTGGCTAATCTCATCAAGGATGCACAGCATCCTGTAAAGATTTTTATTTCCAGCCGACGAGAACAAGATATTGTGAAATTACTCCCGGCTGAGTCGGTCATCAGAATTGATGCTAGTGACAATCGGGATGACATTCAGAAATTCGTCGAAGAAAGGATGGAGGAGATGGAAAGGAGAGGGTTTTGGGGATCTATCCCAGAAACACTAAAGTCAGACATTAAGACCACTCTTTGCAAAGGCAGTGATGGCATGTAAGTCACTAAGAGTCCAGCCTTATTTCCAGCTTAGGACACACAGTTAATTCAAGCAGGTTCAGATGGGCATATTTCCAAATGGAACAACTATCAAAATGCCAGCTGGCCAAGGAAATTAGAGATCGGCTTGGAAAACTTCCAATGTCTCTAAACGCCTCTTACCATGAACTTTTCACTGGAATGAGCAGCTACGACCAAGAGACGTTACGGCGTGCAGTCATGTGGGTGATGTGTGCCTACAAGCCGTTATCAAGCAACCAGCTACTTGCTGCCGTTCGGCTCTCCATAAGTGGCGACGGGGCGACTCTTGAAGTAGAAGATGAACTGACCGAAGAGACTCTTCGCTCAATTTGCCGCCACTTAGTTGTTACAGATTCCCAGAAAGATGAATGGAAATTCCCTCATGCATCTGTCATTGAGTACTTTGAGGCAGAGCATAAGTGGACAATGGTAGAAGCGCATTCTTTTGTCGCTAAGCATTCTTTACTCTGCCTTATCGATGGTTATTCGAAGTGGGCTCCGTCCACTAACCTCAGAGATAGCGACAGCTATAAATTTGCCGACGAACAAGACGATTTAGACGATTTGGAAGTGGAGATCGATGAAGAATCAACAATCAACGAAGGGGACCCTCTACACCCAGTCGGCTTTCTTCAGGAGTACGTACGGAGATATTGGTCTCAACACATTAACGCCCTTGAAGGCCTGCAGCCTTTTGACATTCAGTTGTCACGGTTGGTAAAACTTTTCATGGGATTCAACAGCTCTCTTCAGCAGACCAGTCGGCAGTACCGCCGTTGGATTAAACACAAGATGGCTGAGATCCACTATAGAGGTGTTGAGGATTTCTTCCCCGTAGCAAACCCCATTTTTGGTATTTGCACTCTTGGTTTCTGCCATATTTTAGAAGACTGGTGGACACTTGATGTCGATATCTCACAAGTCAATGGAAGTGGACTTGACTTGCTCTCAATCTCCGCAAAGAATCACCATCAACACCTCTGCAAGAAGTTGATTAGCCTTGGGGCAGATGTAAACAGAGTGCTCGGCGATGGATATTCAAGTGTCTTGTATGACGCAACTCAAAGATTTGATACCGATATGGTAAAATTCCTTCTTGACAATAAGGCCGATCCGAATCTACGTTTGAAAAGGACTATCCTCTGTATGAGTACAGGTACACACCGGCGTTCCCTAACAATTACCAGAGCTCTTCTGGAGGCCGGCGCAGATCCGAACGCTGTGTGTGAAGAATGCAAGTTCGGCAGTCCTCTTGAGTGCGCTGCAAGCTGTAATAAATACAACACAGCAGAGCTCTTAATACAGTACAAGGCGAATATTAATCTTTATACTACATGCGGGTACTGTGGGAGTCCCTTAGCAGCAGCCGCACTTGGAGGGTCAATTGAGCTTGTTCGTCTGCTGATTGAGCATGGGGCTGAGATGAATGCTCCTCTAGAGTGTGGTAGCTTCGGAAATGCTCTAGCAGCAGCCGCATTCAGAGGATCAATCGAGGTTCCTCGCCTACTGATTGATCACGGCGCCGACGTAAACGCTCTTCTTCAACGTGGTGACTACGGCAGTGCTCTTGCAGTAGCCGCAAGTAGAGGATCAATCGAGGTTTCCCGCCTACTGATTGAGCATGGAGCCGATGTGAATGCTCTTCTAGAGTGTGGTAAATACGGAAGTGCTCTTGAAGCAGCCGCACTCGGAGGATCAATCGAGATTGGTCGCCTACTGATTGAGCATGGAGCCGATGCGAATGCTCTTCTAGAGTGTGGTATATACGGAAGCGCTCTAGCAGCAGCCGCATATAGAGGATTAATCGAGTTTACTCGCCTGCTGATTGAGCATGGCGCCAATGTAAACGCTACTCTAAATTACGGTCAATATGGAAGTGCTCTAGCAGCAGCTGCACATGGACAGGGCGTGATGATGGTGAGGTATCTAATCGAAGAGGCTAGTGCAGATCCAAGTATTCTATCCAAGAACCCGCCGTCAGTTCCTCCTCCTGAGGCTGATCCCGGTTGTTATAAAAGGTACAGGTGTGGGAGATATCTGAAACAGAAGGGTTATGTTGTGGATGAAGATGTTCTCAGAAAGGTTGGCATGTGGCCGATGGAATAATGTGCCGAATAGGTACATGTAAGTAGCACCTGTAGATGAGTACCTGGTCGGTATGCGTGGGTACTGGTTATATGCTACATTTAACATTTTCTAAAATACAGCTATAGGTACCTACCTATGTTATGGAAGTGTCTACCTACCTATTCAGCATTCCAAGGTACACAACTATCCAGCATCCTGTGTCTTACATTTACAACTACCTACCTTAGGTAGGAAAAATAGCAGATACTAGATGAGTATATCGATGGTAGCAGAAACTAGCGATAGGTGTGATGGTGGCAGATGCTCAAGGAACCTTGCATCTATCTAAGGTAGTGATAAACAACAATTTAATCTTTCATCTGCGTCTTGCTACGACACTTGAAGTCCACGTAGTCGCTGAGGTGCGCTGGATAGTCCCTTCGTTAAAAGAACATGGGCTATCGTCTCTGAAATCCCATCTCTTTCATCTGTGGAAGCTATTTCATTGTAGTCACTCGTCCGTCTTGGTTCAGCAGTCCACTTTCGGAGCTGTTTCGGAGCTGGGATACTAAGCTGAAGCTCTCCGAGTCTCCCCGCAAATTTGCTGGGGGCTTGTTTATTACCTACAAGTATACGTAAGGTGCAAGCCCTTGAGCTTAGCTACCAAGTAGGCAGGTACTTACGATGTATCATTTATATGCTGCTGTAATACAAGAGCGACATGGCCCTAATGAATATGACGGGGGTGCAGCTTCCGTAATACTCTAGAAAAATCCTCACGTCAAATGAAGCATTTCATCATTCGCAATTCGAATTTTTTTTCACTCCTCTTCCCCGTTTCCACTTAGCGGTGCCTGTGGTTCCGAGGTCACTAAGCCAACCGCAGAAGGCGCCCCACCAGAATTTTCCCCAGAAGCCCAGCGACATCGAACCACCTCCGAAGTTCTGACTGTACCTTTTTCCGGTCTGACTACAACCACCTCTTGGCCTCTCCTTGACTGAGCAGCTTGACCTGAGCCTTGGACCTTGCGGGATACCCAATTGCCCTCTATTTTATACTGCTCCTGTCGCAGTCTCTTTTGCTCTCTCTTCTCCCCTCTGTCCACCCCCGCCTCAGACTCCTCCCCCCCGCGGAAATCATGCTGTCCACTCTCCGAGTTGCGAGCAGGCGAGCTGCTCTGCGCCCTACCACCTTGAGCTTCGCCAGCCGCGCTGCTCTGTCTACCTGGATCAACGTGCCCCAGGGCCCTCCTGTAAGCTTGAAGCAATTCTGGTGCTGTTTGCGGTGACTCTAGCTGACCATTGGGTGCAGGATGTAAGTTAATCACGGACGGGATCATTGGGTCTCGACACCACCAGAGACCAATATGTATACCCTCATTTACACCACCTACGCCTACATATATCACAGTTGAATTCTATAAGCTAACAGACACCCCCCTTCACCTGTATATAGGCTATTCTTGGTACGCTCACTCTTCCCTGACGTCTACTACCTCTATGGTAGACTCAAAACACCCAAATTAGGGTTCAGCCCAACTAACTCGACTTCTTTTCAGGCATTACCGAAGCTTTCAAGGCCGACAAGTTCGAGAAGAAGATCAACCTCGGTACGACGACCCTTTCGCACTCTCGAGCGGATTGCTAGAAACCCCACCAATTCAAATGCGCTCCCCTGGGTTGAGCTTCTCTGATATACGGTAACGCCGGCTAACCACAATCATTGCATGATTTTAGGTGTTGGCGCATACCGTGATGATGCTGGCAAGCCCTACGTCCTCCCCTCCGTCCGTGAGGCTGAGAAGAAGATCATCGACGACAAGCTGAACAAGGAGTACGCCGGCATCACTGGTGTCCCCGAGTTCCCTCCCCTGGCTGCTAAGCTCGCCTACGGCCCCAACCAGGACGTCCTCGACCGTGTTGCCATTTCTCAGACCATCTCCGGTACCGGTGCCCTGCGTCTTGGTGCTGCTTTCCTCCAGCGCTGGTACTCTGGCGACAAGAAGATCTTCATCCCCAACCCCTCGTGGGCCAACCACAAGGCTGTCTTCAGCGATGCCGGCCTCAAGGTCGAGACCTACCGCTACTACAACAAGGACACCATTGGCCTTGACTTTGACGGCCTGGTCGCCGATCTCAAGGCTGCTCCCCTGGGCAGTGTCTTCCTGTTCCACGCTTGCGCCCACAACCCTACCGGTGTCGACCCCACCCCTGAGCAGTGGAAGGAGATCTCCAAGGTCGTCAAGGAGCAGAACCACTTTGCCTTCTTCGACATGGCCTACCAGGGATTTGCCAGCGGTGACACTGACCGTGATGCCTTTGCTGTTCGATACTTTGTCGAGCAGGGCCACGACATTGCTCTCTGCCAGTCATTCGCCAAGAACATGGTAAGCATCATACAGGCCACCTTTTATATCCTTCCATCGCACGGTGTCTAGCATGTAACCCTATACTAATTTGTTACTGTGTTGTTTTAGGGTCTCTACGGAGAGCGTGTTGGTGCCTTCTCCCTGACTACCGCCGATGCTGCTGAGAAGAAGCGTGTTGATTCCCAGCTCAAGATCCTCATCCGACCTCTGTACTCCAACCCTCCCATCCACGGTGCTCGCATCGCCTCCGAGGTTCTGAGCAACCCCAAGTTGTACAGCCAGTGGCTCGGTGAGGTCAAGGAGATGGCCGACCGAATCATCACCATGCGCGCCCTGCTCAAGGAGAACCTCGAGAAGCTCGGCTCCAAGCATGACTGGTCCCACATCACCAGCCAGATCGGCATGTTCGCCTACACTGGCTTGAACGCCGAGGAGATGGAGAAGCTGGCCAAGGAGTACTCCGTCTACGCCACCAAGGACGGCCGTATCTCCGTTGCCGGCATCACCACTGCCAACGTTGGCCGTCTGGCCGAGGCCATCTTCAAGGTCAAGGGTTAAGGAAGTGAAGGGGAAAAATTACATTAGAAAGGTTGGAATAAAGAGGAGAGCCATCGAATTGTTTTAGGACTGCTAGAGGGCCTTATTCAATCAGGAAAAACAAAATTGGCGTTGATTTAGCTGCCAGTTCACTGTGTTGTATAGTTGATGTAACAATATGATGAAGGAATGTCTCTGATGAACACATTCTACCCTTGCCTCTTCTATGCCTTTTTCAAGGCCTTGAATCTAAAAACAGAAAACACTATGCACGCTAAGTAAGTCTAATAAAGATGAACAAGTTTCTCATCATAAATCATGAAGTCGTAATCGGTCCATATCTCTCTTGGCCTCTTCCACGCGCTTCCCAACATCTTTGTACAATGGGGGCACGCCTCTGGATGACCTATCATCATCGTCGTCTTCCGTCGTCTCACTACGAGAATGCTCATCATGAGCTTCTAAATCGGCCTGCAGCTTCCGGGCCCTTTCCGTGATGCGTGCGTTTGCATCTTTCAAATGAGTGACATAATGCTGCAGTGCGGATATGCTCTCCGGCGTGTATACCTCTTTTCGAAGCTTCCACATGGTCTGCTCGGCCTGCTTCTCCGCGCGCTGCGCCTCAAGCGAAATATCCGATGCGCGAAGCTCCAGGCTACGAGCAATGACACCGTGCTTTGCCTCGAGAGACCGCACAAGGCAAGTCAGACATTCCGAGAAAGTTTGAAGGAGACTAGTGAGAGATGTAACGGTGCGTATGCGGGCTGCTTTTAGGGCTTCTTCAGCGGCAGACAGGCTAGCGTTGAGAGCGGCAAAGTCCTTTGGGAGAGAGGCGATGTGACGATGGAGGTAAGTAGGGTTCGTAGCGGGATGGGCGAAGCGAGCGAGACCCAGGGCGGAGGCATGAAGATTCGAAGATATCAAGTCTGCAAGGTCGGGCAGCAGAGTTTCAAAGTCGGAGAGCGGAGGGCTGGAAAGCAGCAAGTTGATTGATTCGTGGGGGAGCGTGTCGACGGCATCGAGGAACGAGGGGAGGATGAGAAGGAGATCGAGGAGCGCTTCGGGGGTGGATTCGGCTGAAGATTGAGATTGTCGCTGCTGGAGACGCTCGCTGGCTCTGGAGAGTCTTGTAGATGCTGATGAGGAGGACTTTGGCTCGGGAGGCGTGGCGGTTGCGATGGCGCGTTCTAGGAGGTAGTGCTTTGCAGCTTTCTGGCGGTGTTTGTCTAGGTTCTGCAAAGATAAAGGGATTGTGTCAATATTGGATATATTGAAGAATTAGAGCAATTAATACGGGGGAGGGCTGCTTACCTTTTGTACCGTGGCTCGATCTTTGGCCTCGTCATCCTCTTTAGTCGAGCCATCCGGGTTCAAGATGGCTGTGGTGATGACTCGATAGAGCTTTGCAAACTCCGGGTTGCTCTGCAGGATCTTTTGCTCAACGGGAGGGAACATACTCTGCACCAGCTGAACAACCAATTTAAATCACAATTGAATTGATTCTCTGATTATTAATATTAAAGCAGAAAAAGAAGAAAAAAGACACAGAAATCAAATCTCTAAACACCCCGCGAAAAGAAGCCCAACTCAATTCAACGTGGGGTAGCCACAAAGGAGCTGCACTGCCCAAAACAATTTAGCACCAACCAACCTTGACAGCTCTCTCAGCCTTAGAACAATTTTTAGCGCGCGAACGGCCCACGGGATCTCGTGACTTTGTACTCTTGTACCCAGGCCGCATCGGAAGCGGATCATTTAGATGTTGCGCGTCTTTGGCTCACATTGTGCGACTCCAAACAGGCCATACCAAAATTCTCCAGAAAAAGTGGTGGAGGGGTCCTCAGGTGGTTTTTTTATATTGCTATACAGCCCCCAATTGAGCTCGCCATTGTTGCTGTTAACCCCTCCAATGGTCTTGGTATAAGATCACTGAGCAACTTCTTCTTTCACAGTTCCTACAGGCAGTGAGCAGGGGCCGTTTCACAGTAGCCATCATGGCGTCAACTATGCCCTCATTTAAGGCCCTTGCGGCTTCGGCTTCGAGATCAACCTCGCGGATCACCTCCTCATACTCCTCTCTCCGCCCTCTCTCCCAGATCCAGCCTTCATCAACAACATGCTCAACCGCCCGCGCCTTCTCAGCCACCGCCCTCCGGCCCACAAAGACGGTAAAGCCGTACCGTCTCCCCAGCGACCTCATCCCGCCATACCCCTACGGCGAGCGCCGCGTCTACAAGCAGTCCAACAACGGCCTCTACGGCAGCGCCCGCATCCGCTTCGGCAACAACGTCGCCGAGAAGCACAACAACAAGTCCCGCCGCTTCTGGCGCCCCAACGTCCACGTCAAGACCTTCCTCATGCCCTCCCTCGGCGCCCGCATCAAGACCCGCCTCACCCTGCGCGTCCTCAAGACCATCCGCCGCGAGGGCGGCATCGAAAACTACCTGCTCAAGAGCAAGCCCGCCCGCATCAAGGAGCTCGGCCCCGGAGGATGGAACCTGCGCTGGCTGCTCATGCAGAGCAGTGCCGTCCAGCAGCGCTTCAACGACGAGCGGGTTGCGCTGGGGCTGGAGCCTAAGGAGCTGGAGGATAGGGACGATGTTATTCAGTATGCGCTGGATTACGCTACGCCGGGCCCTCTGAGCTTGCGCAGCCAAGCGACCTTGGCCGAGATGAGGGCTGCCCTGGACCAGACTTTCGTCTTGGGCGACGAAGACTTGGCCAATCTCGAGGGCATCCAGGAGCTGACCGACGAGGAGGAGGAGCTGCTGTTACGAGAGCTGGACAGAGCTGAGGAAGCTGCAAGGTCAAAAGACGTCAAAGCGGAAAAGCAAGGCATTGAAGTGTAACGACTCTTAAAATATTTTTGAACTTTTTTTGTATATCATTGTATGTATGTACTCATCATGTAGAATAAACCCCGCCATCCCGCAGCAAAGCAACCACGCGAAAGAAAATAAAAAGATTTTGAAACGCCTGATATCCTGAGCGCACAACTTTTACGCCACCAATCTCATGCTAAAGAAAACATCTCAAAACCCCCTGCCTGAATCATCTAAAAGCGAAGGTCCCAGCCAATCTTGGGACCAAGTCGGGGCAACTCCTCAGCCACGCTCTGCACATCCTTGTCTCCTCTGCCGGAAAGGCAGATGACCAGGTCCTCATCCTTCTTCATCGTCTTGGCCAGCTCAATGGCACCATAGATTCCGTGAGCCGACTCCAGCGCAGGGATAATACCCTCCAGTTGGCTGAGAAGCTTGAAGCCCATCAGAGCCTCAGCATCAGTTGCAGCAATAAACTTGGCACGCTCAGCATCCTTCCAGGAGCTCAGCTCAGGACCGACACCGGGGTAGTCGAGACCAGCAGAGACAGAGTGCGTCTCGATGATCTGGCCGTTCTTGTCCTGGAGAACGTATGTTCGGACTCCGTGAAGAACGCCCTTTGATCCACCGGTAAGGGTGGCGCTATGTCTGGCCGTGTCGACACCATCACCACCGGCCTCAACACCCAGAAGCTTGACTGTGGGATCATTGGCAAAGGGGTAGAACATGCCAACGGCGTTGCTGCCTCCACCAACACAGGCAACAACGGCATCGGGGAGCTTGCCTCGCAGCTCCTGCATCTGCTTCTTGGTCTCGTCACCGATCACGGACTGGAAGGTCCTCACAATGGTAGGGTAGGGGTGAGGTCCAATGGCAGATCCGATGATGTAGTGAGTGGTCTCGAGATCAGTCACCCAGGCACGGAGAGCCTCGTTGACGGCATCTCGAAGAGTCTTGCTTCCAGCCTCCACAGCCACAACCTTGGCGCCAAGCAGTCTCATTCTGAAGACGTTGAGAGCCTGTCGACGAACATCCTCCTGTTAAATAGTGTCAGTGGGATATTTTTCTTAAGTGTTAACTAGGGGGGTTGAATCTTACAGCTCCCATGTAAACTGTGCACTCCATGCCAAATTTGGCACACACGGTAGCAGTGGCAACACCGTGCTGGCCGGCTCCAGTCTCAGCAATAATCTTGGTCTTTCCCAGACGTCTAGCCAGAAGCAGCTGTCCGAGGGCGTTGTTGATCTTGTGGCTACCGGTGTGGTTCAGATCCTCTCGCTTGAGCCAGATGTTGGCACCGCCACAGTGCTCGGTAAGACGGTCTGCCAGGTGAAGACGAGAAGGTCGTCCCATGTAGTCATAGTATGATCGGTACTCCTCCCAGAACGATGGATCGTCCTTGATCTTGTTGAAACCCTCCTCAAGCTCGGACAAGCAGTCCATCAAACTCTCAGGGACATACTGGCCACCAAACTCTCCAAATCGCTCAGGAATTTTGCCATGGAGAGCAGCCAACTGGGCCACCAAGGCGCTGTCTTGCTCTGCCGTGATTTGGACATCAGTAACAACTGCATTAACGGAGACGGAATCTGAGCTGGCGCCCTGATTGCCAGGGGCATCCTGAACCAGAGCAACTTCATCCTTGAAAACAGGTCGAGCATCGCGGCCGCAGAGGTAGGCGCAGTAGTTCTCAACGTCGGCTTCGTGCTGGCCAGAGGCGGCCTTCTGGATCGTGGTAATGATCTGACTGCCGACAACAACACCGTCGGCGATGGCGGCGACGCTCTGGAAGTGCTCGTGGGTGCTGACACCGAAGCCGACGGCTGCCGGCTTGTTGCCGCTGTACTTCTTAACTCGGCCGAGGAGCTCAGGGAGATGGGAACTGAGAGATCCGGTAGCGCCGGTAACACCTTGTCTTGAGACAACGTAGATGAAAGAGTCCGCCAGCTGGCAAAGAATCTTCATACGAGTATCTGAGGTCGCAGGAGCGATCAAGGGGACATATGAGAGACTGATATTATCATGTTTGATTAGCAATTGTTTCAATGAAACGAGGAAACGGAAATCACAGAGAGAGGTCAACTTACTGTCCCTTGGTGCAGAGCTTGCGGAAGGAGACTGCCTCCTCGGGGGGCAAATCGACGACAATGAAGCCATTGACACCGGATTCCTTGCAGTCCTGCAGCAGACGCTCCTCGCCGTAGCTGAGAAGGGGGTTGTAGTAGCCCATGAGCATGACGGGAGCCTTGAGGCCGCGAGACCTGGCCTCCTTGACCATGCCCAGAGTCGACTCGATGCTCACGCCATTTTGCAGAGCAATCTGCATCGTGCATTGTTAGAAAAGAGCTGTAATATGTTTTTCTGGGGCTGCGTCAAGGTCTTCGTACCGTGTTTGCCGTTTGAATGGTCGGTCCGTCAGCAATGGGATCCGTGAAGGGAGCACCGAGTTCGAGGACATCTGAAGCGAATCAAATTAGCACAGCTCTGACTCAATCCATCACCCTGCGTCCATCCAAACTCACCGGCTCCTCCCCTCTCCATAGCCAGCAAGATTCCAGGCGTGTCTTCCGGTCGAGGGTATCCCGCAGTCACATACGTGACCAGCGCCGGCTACAGTGTGCGAAGCCCAATGTCAGCAATGCCATCATCTTCCAATTCTCAGCTCCCACCATCTGCTACCCCGCGGTGGGCTGAAGCGAATGCCAGAATCAAGTACGAACCCGGCCCTGCGCCTTGCAGCGTTGAAAAGTCTGCTTGATAGCCTCCATGATGTCTCTGTGTCGCTCCGAGCGTCCAATTCACACAAGTCTGCGTCGATATCGAATGGTCAGTGGCGAAAGAAACCGACGGGCCTCTGGCGTTTTTAAGAAACAATTCTGAGGCCGCAGCCCGATTCCGGAAGAATGCGGTCCGCCCCTCCAATTGCCTCTGCGCAGGCACTAAGAAAATAGCACCTGCATGAGCCCCGCCTCCCGCAGCTGCAGCCCAGCCGGACTTGCCCAATGCGGTAATGCCCTGCAACAAATGCGAGATGCCATTCCGATGGTCCATGACATGCGATGCAATGCAATGTACTAAAGTCCGGAGTACATACATGCCGGTATATGCACATAATACCTGCAACGCGGAGTACGAATAAGGGAGTTGGCATTTGTTACCATGACATTGCTACTTACAGTACGACATGGAATGATTCCCATCTGACACAGAGTCGCCACCATCAACGCCTCTTGACATCCATCCGCATTGTCCCTTGATCCCCTAATACATCCGGAGTCGAGTGTGACTCAAAAAGCTTGATGAGACGGCTATTCAATCATATTCAGGCGGCAATTCGGTCCAAGTTCAATAGGGAGATTCTTGTTTGGGTTTTGCAACTTTGCCAGTCTCTAAAGATGAAAAAAAAAATAACGTGAAGCCAAAAAGCCAAACCAAAGATGCGTGAGATACCCTGACGCCGCCCCCTTTGGCCCCTAAACCACTTTGCCATGTACCAGTAATCTTTTCCTCTTTTCTCCTCCCTTTTCTTTTCACTCTGCTGAGCCAGCTCGAGCGTGAGCTATTACTACAATTCCAAGAAATAATTAGACATAAGCTCTCCCCTTTCCCAATCGTACTCCAAACCCCCCTCCACAACCCCTAGTACCCCTGAGCCAACATACATTAAAACCCAGACTTTTCATTGAAGCCATCATAAGGATTGTTGCTACTCATACCAGGCTTTGTTGGGCTCGCACCATAGATAAACTTCTCGTTATTCGCATCTCTCGATGAGCTGCTTCCTCCAACAGCAGCCGAAGAAGTCGTTGGTTCCCACGGGGGAGGCGGGTCTTGAGACCAGGAGGACCGCACAGAAGGTGCATTAGAGTGTGCGTCACCTTGCGTTGGGTAGCGTATGCCTCCCTCAGCACGGCCGCGCTCGTGCGTCGTCATGCCCACAAGGGTCTGAATCACGCCAATCAGGACAATAATCACATAGACGAGGAAGATGCCGGTCGAAATGAGGGCTTCCTGTACTAGGTTGCTATGGAGCCAGTTTGTGACGTGTTCGACGGCTCCGCTGACCTCGTCGGCTGAGGCGGATGAAGGTGACGATAGGAAGCTGTGTATACCCGAGTCGCCAGACAGAGAACTGCTTGCTCCTGCGCTGAAGGTATCGTTGGGAAATAGAGGCAAGTCAACGTGAGCGTGGTCGTGGACCCATGTCAACCCCTTTTGAACACTCTCGATCTTAAGTCCAATGACGCAGTGAAGAATCGTCTTGATGGGACCCAAAAGAATGGTGCCACCAAGCGCAGAATCCAAGCCTTCCTGCATCTTGTCCACAAACGTGTTAATAGTATCGTTCACCGCTCCTGTCGCGTTGCTAACATAGCCCAAAAGGTCATTGTTAATCTCGTCGTTAAGGTCCGTAATGACTCCGTTGGCGCTCGCGGCCCAGGAATCAGAAACATTCCGCAGACTGTCGACAACGTGTTCCGCAAATGCCCCGACTTCTTGAGTTAGCGCCGGCGTCTTCTTCTGCACAGACTTGAGAAGAATGTATTGGCAAATGCATGCAAAGAAGCCAGAAAGGGCAAGTGAGAGGACGAATAAAGCGGCCGGTGAAGTGGCATACGCAATGCACCAACGAACGAGGATTTGCTTCTTCTGACTCATCTTGCTGGTGAATCGAATGCCGTATGAGGCAGAAAAAGGCCGAGAAGCAATATAGATGACATCCATGGGATCTTTCTCGGCCTGGTTGATGAGCTTAGCATGCTCCTTCTGCTGCCGCCAGCGACGAATCTCCATCCAGGCCATCGGAAGCATAACGGCCACCGCCACCAAGGAGAAGACAACAATGAACACCACACGAGCCTTGGACACTAGTTCCTGCAAGTTATTGAAGAACCGATTCAGCGAGTCGTTATCAGAGCAGAATGTCAGTTCTTTCAATTCAGCAAGAGGAAAAGAGCTCTTGTTAAACTCGTATTTGGAGTAAGTCTCGTTCAAAGCGTCGCGCAGCTTATTAAACGGGTATGAGATGGCGGTTTCAGTCATGTTTTGGACATCCTCAAACGTGGGGAGATCTTTGTTCAGCTGCTGAACATCGCCGACGAAATCTGTAGAGTTCAGCTCGAAGCGTCTAAGCTCCTCGATAGGCTTCGTAAAGTTGACTTTCGGGATCGCCGAAAGCAAGCCGCCAAAGACTGAGTCTTCAATGCTGGACGTCAGATTTGTGATGCCCTTCTGTAAGGCATTCGCGATCTTCGAAATGTCGGTGATGGTGCCGTTAATCAGACTATTGTATGCCTCTGTCGCGTCCGCAGTGACATTGGCGACCACATCAAGAGTCCCATGTATCATAGCAGTGATGAGACATGTATATGTGGCCGTCAAAAAATTGATATAGAAGATAATGATGCCCTCAACGCCGCTAATCACAAGATCGAGCACATCCACCATGGCGTGGACACTCTTTTCCACACCCAAGGCAACAAGGTCGTTAACTCCTTGAGAGAGATAATGGGGCATCGAAGCCATCGCACTGCCCACACCTTCGACCTTGGTACAGGCAGAAAGAGCCTGTACCTCGGCATCCGCGATATTTTCTCGTAGCTGGGCTATTAGAATGATTGTGCGAGCAAGCACGATGAGAATGAGGACAGTCCATCGGTTGATCCATATCTGCGAGAGACGAGACTGAAGACTGAGGTAGGGGGTGATGTATGGCGCCGTATCTGCGCGCGGCTCTATGGATCTTTGGGAACTTGATGGGTCCAACGAATCGAGTCGAAGAGTCTCTGGAACATGAGGAAATTGCGGCGGATTCCCGACTGTTCGAGAAGAAGACATCTTGGGGTGATGGATGCTGAAGAGCAGATTGCGTGATGTAGCGAAAGATACGAGAAATAATATTCAAAGTGTTAATGAAAGTTGTGATGCTCGATACGGCCGGCCGCTGAAGATAAACCGAAGGAAAGTAGTAGAAGAGGAAACAAGAATATGGAGAAGAGAAGAAATGTAAAAGGAGCGCGCCCAAGGAAATGAAAAGATTGTACCAAAGGAAAAGACAAAAGAGACTGAACGTAAGGAAATAAAGCTATTGACCCATCATGATTCAATGCCGCGAGCCGTGAGGACAAAGCCTTTAAGAACAATAAGACGCACGCACGACAATAAGAATTCACTGCAAAGAGGGGCAGAGAGGTGAATGGCAACTGACACACGACTCGGCAAACAAGGGTCAAGGGTCAAGGGTCAAGGTCAAGCCGAGCGCATATTCGCACCCAGTCCTGCAAACATGGCTTTTCCCATCAAAGAGATTCAAAATAGCAGCCCGGAGGCCGTCGATTCGACACGAGAGGCTGTAGCTGCCATGCTGCATGTGGACCTGTCTAAGCGCCAGTCAGTCTCCATCAGCCAGTCAGAGCTCGCGATGCCGCCGCAACAGGCACAACTCCAGACCCTGCGAGAGCCCCAGTCCAATTCAGATCTGCCAGAGTCGTCATTCCCGATCCGCAGCAGGGTCCTTTCTCGCTTGGACTGCCGTTTGTTTGGCGCGCCGCCCATGAAAGCCTGGCGTGGAGGCTTGCCAGGGTCTGGTCGGCAGCGGACACCGAGAAATGCAGAGGAGGAAGCGCCGCCAACCAACGGCCAGATGAAACACCGACTCTATCGCGGCAACATGACGTACAAGTGCCAAACCCACGGCGGTGACATTTCAAAGAGAAACAAATCGACTGGCCACGCGTGAGCCTTGGCAAACCGACAACGCTTCCCGCTCACTAAATGCCCGACATAGCCTCACGAGATGGCGTCGAGTTGCCTCCCAAGCAGCACGTCACGGGACCGCTTCGTGTTCTTTGAGCATCACGGACATTTCCCACTTGCCGTCACACGGTATCTTGATCACTCCACAAAGGGAGCTTGTAGCACGTAAAACAGTAATGAGGTAGCTTGATCGTCAGGTTACCAGGCAGCACAAGACTTGCAACAGCAGTTGAGAGCTCTGGTCCAATCAATAGCCGCGCAGCAGCCAAGCAGGGCTTATGTAATATTCACAGGCGCTATCTGAGCACTCTATGATGAGCGGAGGGGGATTGTAGGACTTCCTTTCGTCGCACTGACTTGGTTTCAAGTGCAATATTTCCATCAATTTGCGGATGCTCTTTCTTTGTCATGTTCACTGTCGCTGTTGTACTGTGAAAGAAAACTAGATACCTATGCTGGTTAATGCAACTCCAAAGGCAGCCGGCCCTACTATAACCGCCCAACACGCGCCGGCGAAGCTCCTGGTCTGTCTACCACCATGTGCTCTTCCGCAAATTATCCTACTTATTCATTCATGACATCCACCATGCCTTTCCTCTTCTTCTTAACCCACTATCCAATTTATAATAGGCTGTGGCAGTAGATCACGGCCTCCACGGCGATAGCGACTCAAGACGATCAATCATCACCACACAATCACACAAGGAGATTTTGCAAAAACTATTTAAAAGGTACTACACAATTATACCGTGCCATTCGTATTGAATATAATATATGGGAATAGGAGGCTTGTATGAAGCCTTGCATTAAATCATTTAAATCAGGAGCATAACGTTCGAGAACGCTTCACAATCATTCAATACCCCACCCAACCCCTAGAGTCATTAACCACCCTATGTAAATTTAAACATCAACATCAACAGTCTTGTTGGCGCCAACAACGACATCCTCAATGGTCCCGTCACTGAACTTGAGATCCTCCTCAATGGAGACGTGATCCTTGATCTTGAAGAAGACCACGGGAGCAGCCAGAAGCAGGGATCCGGCAAGAACACCCCAGGTGGCAGCGAACATGGTCATGTAAGGGGTGGCCAGACCGTCAAGGCGCCAGAAAATGGCGGCACCGGCGGACTGGAAAGACTTGTAGAAACCTATTATAACCAGTCAGCGAGCGTATCCTTTTTTTAAGATCTTGTAGATTGGAGGGACGAAAGAGGAAGGAAAAAAAAACTTACCAGCCATGTTGGCAGCCTTGCGACCAGAGTTGGACAATGAACCCATCCACCAGTAGATGTTGGTCTGCCAGATAGCATCGTAGAAGCCATAGAAGAAGTACAGGAACATGGGGCCAATGAAAAGCTTGCCACCATCCTCCCAGTCAACCTTGTTGGGCTCGTAGTTGGGCTGGGAAACGACGGCACGAGTGGGCTGCTGCTTCTGCCAGGCATAACCACCACCCCAGATGGCAAAGGTGAGGACGAACAGGAAGATGAAAGAAGCCTTGGCACGGGTGCTACGGCTGACACCGGTGTAATCCAGGGCATAACCGTTGATGACGGCACCAATGATCTGGGCGAGCCAGTACAGCAGGTTGTTGAGGGATCGGGTGCGGATGTTGAAGGCGGCAGCGTTCATGTCGTTGTTCTGGTAGGTGTAGAAGATGTTGGAGGCGAAGAACATGGGGAAGAGGAGGAGGATCCAGGGAGCGTTGTACAGAGTCTCCCAAAGACCCTTGAACTCACTCGTCCATGAGGGGTTCTTCATCAGGACAATCTTGGTGCCATCTTCACGGATGACCTTGCTAGCATCCAGGAGGAAGAAGCAGAGGATCAAGCCAAGGAACATGAGAACGATGAAGGCAGCATAGGTGCCATCGCTGACAGTGCCACTGTGGCTGTTGATGTTCTGGGCCAGAGGAATCTGCAAACGCAAAAGTTAGCATCACAGTGATGATTCAAGTCAAGAAAATCAGATAAAGCACGTACCAGAGAGCCAATGACGGCACCCAGGTTGAAAATAATCCAGAAGGTGGAAATGTAGCGGCCCTTCTTGTCCTCAGGGGGGTAGGACATCATGACGGCACCCTGGGCGGTCCAGAGAAGACCAGCGCAAACACCGAGGAAGGCACCAGCGAAGATGACAAAGCCGATGTTCTTGTTGTGGTTGTAACTGAGGAAAGAGGCGCTGTAGATGCAGTATCCGAGACCACCAAAACCAAGAGTAAGACGAAGACCAAGACGGTTGGCAAAAGTACCAGAGAAGAAACCAACGACGGCGAAGGTGCTGTAAAGGGCGACACTGGAGTGATCCTGGGCCGTGGGGTCGACTTGGCCACCACCTCCCAGACCAGACAAGGAGTTGTACATGCCAGGGCAGAGGAAACACACGAGGGCGACCAGCACAAGCTGGACTCTGGGGGAGGCGTAGTAGACCTCCCGGCCGAAGATCTTGTAGCCCTTGTAAATCCACCCGGGAGGCCGGTCGTGAAACTCGGCGTTGTTCTGAGCGTCGGCATAGGAGTCGACGGGGGCGACCTCCGGAGCTGCCTCCGCAGCGTGCTTCTCATCAGACATGGTGAAGGATTTGCTCCGCTTTCCGAATTGATATCCCGGAATGATGGAAAGAAATTTTCTTTAGTTGTCGAAGCCTCGTACTGATGAATGCTCAGTAGAGGTAACGCTCAATGGGGAACAGAGCGTTCTGTCTGAGGGCGCGGGTTCCAACGGGAGAGTCCGAGGCCGTGGAACGAAGGCGACAATTGGGAGCGGATAGTGAAGAAGAAGGCTCAAACAGAAGATCCGGAAATGAATCCAGGGGACCTGATGATATATGAAGGTCGCGCAGATCTGACGGGCAACGCTTAGAGGGTAGTATCGGCAGGGCTACCCCATGGATCCCAATTGCTCCAGGGGATGGTACAAACAAAGTCAAGGTTGCTTAACTAGCCCTCCAGCAACCACTTTCTATTACAGTACCAGGTGCCAAGTGGATGGACGGATGGACGGCGAGCGCTAGGTTGGTGCGGAGACAGGCTGGGGATCAAGGGCCGCAGTCACACCACAATCACCAGCAGACTCGTCCAGGTAGTACTCTGTACTCGTACAAGTACAAGCAGAGGAGCAGGATTCCGGCACGCGGATCACGGTGTGTATACCCCGTACTGCGGTACCTGTACGAGATAGGAGTCGAAATGCACCACGACCAGTAGCGGCGGCAGCAAAAGCAACACGGTACCTACTTTGCTGCTCCGCAACCTTAGTAGCCTCGTACAAGCGCATACAACGTGGATCCCGGGGCGTTGGTAGCAGCCAAGAGAAGAGCGGCCCAATGCGCAAAAGCCTGCGCCGCCGAGCCTTGGTAAGTAACGAGGTGGATAAGAAGCTACGTGACAATCAGGAATGTGGGAAGGGCGCTGACTAGTGTTCGTACAGGCCGGTAGTACAGGTGGTACAGGTAGTACGACTTACGAGTACGGACGAAGACGAGGAGATAGCAAAGATGGCGCTGGGGAAACGGGAAGCCTAGCCAGAGCCAGAAGCGAAACGCTTGGCTAACGAAGGCGACCAGAAGAGAGGCATTGCCAACAAGCTTTCCTGCTAGAGCAACAGCCGTGCGGCTGTCGCTAGCCAGATACGAGACAAGGCACTAATTGATTGGCATGTGGTTTTGTGTTTTTGACCGACAAACACGACATTTGGCTAAGAATAGATGCTCTTTTCCCGACCTCGGAAGGAATACGTGCCAAATCACGAGGCGCTGATATCAAAGATAGGGCATCACCCACGCCTCTGACAGCAGACGGATGGCATGATACGAAGCGACGGTTAGGCAAGGCGAACAGGCGGCCTGCGTCTACTCCGTATCTCAGGCGGAAAAAAAAGTCGTCCGTCACAAGACAAAAAGGGAATGTATACGGAGCAGGGTCTGGTCCACGGCCACGCTACAAGTACATTTTGATGAGCGAGGATCCGTGAGGTGGAGCGGCGCCACTCGGCAATGCCGCCACAACAGCACGAGACTTGACAAAATGCCAGTGAGCCGATTCTCATGAGAGAGATAGGGATATTTCGTTTGTAGGAATAGGAATAAGGAACGTAACGATTGTCCGAGGGGAAGAGGGTTGTCGCAGAGGCACCAATACAGAGGCACCAATACGGAGCACCGATATGTGCTTACAGTACTCCGTAGGCAGGCAGGCAGACATAGGTGGCAGATACGAGTAGCAACCTTGGCAATTTCTGGAGATTGGACGCCGCTGTTGGATTCAACAGCACTATGGGCACCATACGAGTACATTGGCCCAGAAGCAATGCAACCCATGTCGCGTCTGATATTGCTTTTCCTGCAGTGAGGTTGTTGTGATTCCGCGAAAAGACGCCCTTGCGACCAATGCGTGCTAGCAGCAGATGCAGACCTGCACCCTTGGGGCACGACCCGAGTTGCCGAGCAAGGGAACGTCCTGAGGGGTCCTCCCTTTACTCCGTAATAGATTTGAAGGATTTTGGGTTTCTGGCGGAGGGTGTGGTGGCATGGCTAACGGCATTGCTGGTGGCGTCGCAGTTTCGGTTGAAGCGTTTTCTGCATCGCCAACCCCCGGATTCCACCCTATGCCCAGTTGAGGCAGTGTACAAATTACGAGCAGCCATTTCCGAATAAAGTATGAGTATTATTCTATCCCGCTTCTCGCCGGTTCTGGGCTGTGGCCTCCCAAAGAACGGTGTCGTTGGCGAGGTCCCCCGGCGTCTCTCAGGCACGCCACGCTACAGTATGAATCCCTTCCTCCCCGTATCGGCGGTTGCTCTTCGTATCTTGCCATCCGATGCACGGGTAAGCTGAAGGGGGCACCAGCCATCAGACAATGTTCCGGGGAAAATAATAACCTCTTGCACCCTTGCCTCACAGCCCAAGGCTCTTGTCAGCTCGCGGACGAAGGCCCGAATGGCCACAGCAGCTGGTTGGTCTACAGCGTCTTGACCCAGATCGAGGCGTCCGCCACCGCCCCCAAAAGAGCATTAGCGGCTGGGTGACTGACCTGTCCGCGATCCTTGGTTCTTTTTCCAGATGTGCCGTGCCCAAGCTCCAGAGAACTGCACCTGAGGAGGGAAAAAGGTCCGGGGCGGGGCGCGCTTCGGCAGAAAAAAAAAAGTAGAGAAGAGAGGCTACCCACATGATAGAGACTGCAGCCTGATTCAGGGCACAATTGGGGCTGTCGCTTCTTCTCCGGTTATCAGAACATCCACAGCGGGTGAGAAACCCACAAACTGCTCCCCATTGTTCTCGTGTCGGGGACATGCATGCACGCATACCGCGCCGTTACCTGTTGCCATACGGCACTACGACGGTGGGCTAGTCCAAGGCGTTGGAGTGTTCTGGCATCGCCCAAAGCAAAGCCTCCAAAATCCTTCCTCTGGCGCTTCTCGATCGCACCAACGCCGCCACAGGACGCTTGGCAAGCGTAACGGGTCACCCGCCTGCGAGAAGCCGAACGCCAATTGACATTCTGCGGCACAACGCAATGGAGATCGTTTTTAAAGTTCCGAGTTGGTTGGTTGGGTCTAGACCATCCATGTAACGTTTCCTCGTCCCGTCCTCCATCATCCATTTAGTCACAGGGGGAGCCCGTGCCGGCTCAGCTGACTAATTTTATGGCTTCCAAACCGAACTTCTGTGATCCGTAATTTCGAACGACATGAATCCGAGATCTTGCTCCACGATCAGAAACCCATCCTCAGCTCGGTCGCCAGAAAACGCTAGAGGTGTGCCTCCTGTCAGTGACAAGCCAATGTTACAAGGATATGCAGCGCATGCAAGCGAGGGAGATTTGCCCCCCTCCTGTTGGGCATCGCTGCACCAGAAGCTGGCTCGTGACAGTCATACTGTATCAACTAATCCAAAGCCTTGGGGCCATCAAAGGATTGCAGGACCTCCGCACTCAGTGCTATCGCGGGGCCCCAGCTATCCCCATACCAATGTACATACTGTACGTACGGAGAAAGTTGCAGTCGTACGAGTAGCCATAGTTGGATGTAGTAGTGAATTGGAGTACCAAGAATGAAGATGTACCTTGGTAGGCTGATGCATCGCCAACTCAGCAGACCGCAAATCATTACAGTAACACTCGATCCAAAACTTTGCATCCAATCTTTTCCTCTCTTCTTCCTTAGGCATCAATCTCCTCCTTCAAACCGCCTCTTCAACAACCTCCCAGAACTCGAACTAGTCGCGATTTGGTGTTGCAATACCCACCTCCCAGCGCCACCCACCTCCCATGTTCTAACGTGCAAGCTCTGCATCTCCGAGCCAGGGAAAGGGATCCTACACATGCACGCGCTACAGTACGGTTATCGTGTAGTGTGGCTCATGATTTACCTCTATACCTATACTGTACAGTAGCACCTAGTACACAAGGTATAGTAGTGCCCGTTGGAAGATGACATGTACAAGGCTGTTGGCGCTATCCGTGCTGGTCTGGACAAGTACAAGTACGTACCTGCTGTACATGGCCGCTCCGGTAGCCGTCAACTTTATCTAACATGGAATCTACTGACCTGGACACCCTCTCCGTACTCCGTTTGGTTTGCCGCATGGATCTAGCCCATAGCCTGCCTTGGCTCTAGAGAAATGTTACATCCGCCTTGAGCACCAACAGACACAAGGCCATAGTTGATACATTACGTAAACGCCACCTCAACTGAACGTGCCACCACCATTGATTACCTACATGTAAATCTCCAAGCACTATCCAGCTGATATTGGACAGGAGATAATAGCAAACCACTCGTAAACGCTGCGATAGTTGTCTCCATCGGCCCACAAGATAGAACAACCATAGGTACCTAGTAGATAGCGAATAAAGTATCAATGCATTGAACATCTCTACCTACTCTTCTCCTGATCCTCAGCTTATCTCGAGCACTCACTCCCCTTGCCAACTTACGAGTACTTACCAACTCCAAAAGCAACAATCCCAGGTTCCACTACCGTTCCAGCACGTTACTTAACTTCCTCCCAACGGTCTCGGCACCAGTCTCACACGTTTGATTCCTTTCTTCCGGCGTCTGTGCTCCCTCTTCACCGTCAGCTTTAGCTTCCGAGGCCCGGGTCTAAGCCGAAGACGATACCCCGGAGCGACGCAGATAAGGCTTACATGTGGCCAAGCTTTCGACACGTCTCCGTCTCCATCTCCGTCTCCATCTCCATCTCCACGTCATTTCTCCTTGACCAAAGCATGTTCCATCCCACCATCTTTACTTACATGGCCATGCGTTTTCCATGTTCGCCACGTGCATCAGGTTACATCTTTCATGTGCATCGCCATCTCAGCGCCGCCTCTTTCCCTCGTGACATATGCTTAAGCGGCCGAGATGATACTACCAAGGTCTTGGCTAGTACTGCAGTGGCTAGTAATCTTCAACGCGGGTTCTTTCATCTCTCCTCTTGTCTGTTTACTAACATGAATTCAAATTTCGTTTCTCTTCTCTACCTTTGGTTTAATTTGCCATCCGATACAGATTCTAACTCCATGTACGCAAAACCTTTCATGCCCACAGCCCGCCTCATCCTTTCGTGACGCCATCCCTTGACCGCTTTAGCATGTTCGCGTCCCGCACTTCTTCCCAATAATTCGCAAAAAAAGGACAGATCATGTATCATCTCAATCAATCGGAGTTGCTCCAAAAATTAGGCCCTTTTGTGTTCCAACGCCCGTGCCACCCGATATAAAACGAAAAGTAGTCACAAACTCCGTTACCACCACCCCGTCCCAACGACCGAATAGAAGAAAAACAAGAAATTATATCATATAACGAGGCATTAAGAGCGAAATAACATATCTCCGCAACTCTCTCGTATTCAATAAGCCCCGTTTGCGAGGTAAACGGAGACGGTCATATCCTCAGAGGACATTGTCTAAGGCGAAGCCCTTAATACCGTTATAAGGGCCCTTTTCGTTTGCTCGCTTTCGCCAAAACGGAAATATAGTCGCTCAGATAGATAGGAGTTGCAATGCTAAACAAAACCCAAAGGTCGAGTATTTGCATTTCAAGGATTAAACAGAACATAACCAAAAAAAAAAAAAAAAAAAAAAAAAAAAACGATAGGGTATCGAAATCAAATGTAAGTAGCGATATATAAGTGCGCGGGGGGTATGTAGAGCTTGGAAAATGTCATCCCCCGATAGTCAATCAGGATTCAGGGGAAGGGAGGGGAGTGAGGACAAGACAGAGTTATGATGGCGTCGAGCTCTGCCCGCTGCGCGTCATCCAACCAAAAAGATCCGTTCGAGCAGAAGGAGCTGCCGGTGTCGCGGCTGCAGCCGGTGGTTCGGAGTCTCGCTTCACTGATGATGATTCGCGAGGCTCCAGCAAAAGGCTTTTTCGATAATATGCTATTTGAACATTCCCTTGGTCTCCCTCGCGGATGAGCTGAAATTGCGCCGATAGCCATTCCTGCATATCAGGTAGGTCTGCCAAACGGTAAGGCATCTGAAACCGCTGAAGCTCGCCGATGATCTTGGCTGTCCGCGTGTGTTTGTCAAAGTTAACAACCGTCAGGCCCTCTGCACCGTCTTCCTCAGCTACTTGCTTCGTCGACGCGTTGCCAGCATCAACAAAAGTCAAGTCGGTCAGGTACATGCCTAGAAAAGGCAGGCAGGGAGGAACGTGATCATGCAGCTTGGTGCGGAGAATTTTGTTATTCTGCGACGGCTCTACAATGTCCTGTAAATGACGGAGGCTGTCTTTCCGCTTCTGTGATATCGTATCCCAAGTTTTGCGCAAGCGAGTAATGGTGCTGCCATTGAGGATGCAGATGATGGAAATCAGGCCATCGTAATTGTGGAGCTCTAGCAATTGCTGTGCAATTTTAATCCACTGCTTGATGACAGCCGCACGCTTCTTGAGTTCTGTATGTTGAAGGATTGTTTCAGAAACCATGTTTGATAGGTCGGTAGATAAGGATGACATGGCCTTGACGTTGGGAGCATTCACTCCGCCCTTCTTCATCCACTGAGAGGCCAGAAGCTCTTCGGGTAAGATGGAGCGGAAAATGTTCATCTGCATAATGGTCAATTGACGAGCGAGCTCTTGTGGATCAAAGTCCAATATTGTTGGCAAGGTGCCCCCAGCCTTGAAGGACTGCAGCAAGTTTTGCTGACTCTTGGAAATGATGGGGGAGGGAAGAGGAAGATCTGCGGGCACATATTGGCCGATGGCTGTGTTTGTCTTGCCCATAGAAGAGACAAGCCGGGGCACCAGCGCGCCTTCGCCCGACACACGATTCGCCAGTTCCAGGAGCCGGGAGCCAGCAGATGGCAAAACGGCATTGAGGCGATCCTCTGCGAAGGGAATAATGATTGCCAGTGCTTCGCGGTCAGCGTTATCACGCCAATGAGACTCAAGCCAGCCCTTGAAAGCATTATATACTCGCAGACGGACGGGGCCTGAGGTTTGCGGTGATTCCTCCGCGTATTCGAATCGATCGATAAGCGCCTCCGTCAGCTGGATAGGGCTGCAAAAGAGCCTGAAAGTCAGAAAGAAAGTTGAGACGAATGTAGCATCAGGGGTGGCCTCATGTGTGGTCAACCGTTCGACCAATGCCGGCAGCGTACCGCCTGTAACTTGGCCTTCTTTATTGAAAATTAGCTCATGTGCATACGTCTTCATTAATAGCTTTGATTCAACATCCTCAGTTTCCTCGGTGTGGATGGAGTGGGTGGAGCTTCCCGTAGTGCTCAGTTCAGATATAGATGGCTGGCTCCGGGGAACCATTGTATGATCGGGGGTAGTGGCGCGTGTTGAAGTCTGAGACACGAGACTAACTTCTGAGTCTCTGCTCATGTATGTTGTGCTGCTCCCAGCACTAGAACCAGCCATGCTATCAAAGGAGGAATGGGGGTCCTGCTCCCGGGCAGAGCTGCCGTCGATTGTGGTCTGATGATCCTTGGGCATAGGAGTAGTAGTAAGCTTTGGTAGATGCGGGAGTGTTCTCCCAACGGATGTGGCAGAAGAGGCCGGACTAGATACACCTTCTTCCGTTGCTGACGAGGGCCGAGACGTCTTGGGAGATTGATTCTGTGGGGTGGACTCTTCGTCGGGCTGGCTTTCAGGGACTCGAGGTAGCGGCTTGTCAAGTGCTGCTACACTTGGCCGCCTGGCGGAAGAGCTCATCGAGTCACTCGTGGTATGAGCGGACCCGGTAACGCTGGCTACCTCTGACTTCTCCGCCACTGATGGTGTCCTCGACCGTGTTGCCGTGGCATCGAGAACACTCAAGTCTAATTGCAGAGCATTACCATCAGACTCGAGTTCAAAGTCTCCTGTCCTCTCGATCACGCCCTTCGTCAAGGCAACGCATTCACCGGCTGCTCGCACGCAGCTTGTCGCCGACATTAGCATAATGTTGTTATCCTGTGGCATTATGATATCTGCTCCCTCTGTTTCCGCATTCGCCAGAGTATCTTGAGCAGCAAACACAAGCTCATGGATACGCTCAAGCAAGGATTCCCTTGACGATACCAATGCGCCAATCATGGAGCTGCTTTGCGTAGAAACCGCATCGACAACGGCCAGGAGTTCTCCTCCAGAGATGGCAGACAGCTTGATAGAAGTTGCAAGCTCAGGCCGCGACTGAGATTGCAAGTGCAGGCGTCCGATAAATGAGCCAAGGTGGGAGAGGAAAGTATCATGGCTTTTGCTGAGACGCTCAGACACTAAATGATGAGGGCGGGAAAGTGGTGATGGTCCAGCCAGCGATAGCCGATGGGCCATATTCGCGGACAAGCGGTTCATGCTAACTTGAGAGTGTCGACGGGAATTAGTGCCAACCTGGGCGCTTAGGGACGATAGCCGCTTGCTCCAGCGGCTACTTTGGGCCGGTCGAGAGAGGCTGCTTGTCTCTGTGGATGCAAGAGAGGCAGCATCTCCAACAGTTGCAGTGGCAGAAGCACGGTCATCCGTAGCCGTTTGTGTCCGCTCGCTAAACACGGCCCTTTCGGCGGGAGGCGTTGGTGGAACACACGTTTCCTCAATCACTGGAGCCAGAGTCGTCGTTAATAAAGCGTGAGCTCGCTTATCTTCGTCCATAACATCGAGAAATCGCACTCCCTTGGTGACGATTTTGAACGCCTTCAATATCATTTGATCTACGACATCGTTAATCTCTTCGGGGAAATCCAATGCCACCCGTTGAAGTTCTTGGAGTCGCTTCGCTGTTTTCACGAGCGAGGAAAGTTCTGAGAGAAGCGACTTGCGACATCTCCGTAGAGGTTCGCATCGCTCGACGAGAGTGGACTCTCGATTTAGGCACTGAGTACGTTCCTACACGGAAAATATTAATTGTACGCCATCGCCAAAGGGGGGGAACAGTAACAGTAAGACTACTTACCAGCAGATATCGTACTCCACCGATCAGACCCTTCATAAAATCTTGACTCTGGAACATGTGTCCCTCGTCAATGGTCGTAATCCGTAGTAGATCCCAAAAATTTAGCAACGCTTTTAAGAGATTCCGCATTTCCTCAGGCTCGTACGCTTCGCAGTAGTTGGTTGGAAGCCATCCTCTTGCGCCTGACGCCAGCAGTGTTCCATCTGCCCAGCCGTTGGTGTGGATTGAGTGTACCAGGACAACGTCTCCCTCGTCCAGTGGCAGGGTTACGCTAGAATCGGTCATTGCGATAGTTGGCTCAAAGGGATAAAACGCGCGGAGGAAGTTGTGGAAGACAGGCGGCATATGGGACTCTGGCCGAGAGGATAGATCCTCCTGAGAGCCATAGGGAGTAACAGGTGGAGTCATTTGCGAGCCAAGATGTGAAATGTCCAAGTTTGATTCGCCTTTGGGCGTCTGGTCGTGTGAAGAAGAGCCATCGCGGGTCTCTTCAGGCCGAGATTTGGTGAGCTCCAGGGGAGCGACCTGGAGGCTCGCTCGCATTCGATTGTCGCTCAGCATTAGGAAGGCCAAGGACACTAGTAGTTGTTCAGGTCATCGGATGGCAAGTCTTTTCAGTCCAGATCCAGCAAGCAATATCAGATGCGATTGGGCTGGCGTCGATTTCGGAATAATCACAATGAATATCCAATGGCTTAGGCGGTGGAAGTCGTCTCTGTCGCGTGACGGGGTGGTGCAGCGGCGGCAAACAGATGGTGTTCCCGGTCGTCCCCCACAAATCGTGCTCTGGCGTATTAAAAGGGGGGAAGATCTTGGTGTGGAAGACAAAGGGATGATGCTTGGTTGCTTGTTGGAGTAATCGGGATGTTGTCGTGGCGAAATCCAAAACTGCGATGGCCTGTACTGTATCTACCTAGTAGGTATGTCACGGGAGAATGGAGAAAGGAGAAGAGAGGTGAGCAAGTGCTTAGGGCTGCTCCTGCTGCTCCCCAAATCTAGAGTTCTGCTTGGTATCGTATCTGGTATCTGGTATCTGGTAGACTGCCCTGAGTCATCAGCAAAATCGCACCATGCCTCGGCGATCGTTGACTCTGTTGCGTAGGAAACAGTGCTGGGGCCGAGTCTGGAATGAAAGGAGGCCGTGAGAGGCGGGAAGCGGAGCCGAGGAATGAACAACAATTCGCCCGGCAGCTTCCGTGACAACACACGAAGGCGACGGGAATGGCGGAGGCGGGCAGCAGCTCAAGGGCCACTCTGCGATCTTGTCGCCCGCCTTACGCAGCAATTATCCCGTGCTGATGCTTGGAGGCGGGCTGGGGATGCAAAATAGCGGCAGGGCTGAGCTAGAGCTAGCGGACTTACAGGAGATTCAATGCGATTGACGCCGCAATGGGCATGCGTCAGCCGAGTCGAGCGGTTCGTTGCAGAGCAGAATTCGGTGCTGACGGCCAGATCAGTGGTGGTGGAATCGGAATGCGCTCGACATGCAAGGCGGCGATCCGAGTCGGGAGCGCGCGAACAGGGTGTCTTGGCTGGCTCAGGTGCTCCCTGGCCTTTTGCTTTTGGGGGGCTGGCAGCGTTCTTTGCTCCAGGCGAGAAGGGGGGGGATGGCCTGAGAGGGTGGAAAATGAGCCCAAGACGCTGCGGCGGGTTCAGCCCTTTTTTTTTTTTCTTCTTTCCACTCTAGATGCCTCGTGCTGGAGTCTCGAAATTATCGTGCACTTTGTCTGGCTGTCCGACTTCGCACTTCGTCAAGGTATCGCTGGCTGTTGATTGGCGCGTGTCTGTTGTCGAGGTGCCGGCGGCTAGCTGGCTGGTTCGATTGGCCGCTTTCTTCGTCGCCCACTACAGTATCACAGATATTCGTCCAATACTTGTGGGTGCTTTGCAACTGGGCAGCGTCGAGGATGTCCAAGGCCAGGCGCAGGCGCGAATCGAGAGAGAAAAGGGTCAGACAAGCGTCTCTTGTCTGGGGAGGCTGCTGTTATTGAATTGGACCGCATCTGGCGCCAACCGTCCTGGAAAAGCTGTTCGAGCAACCACTGGGACTTGTTCTACCCACCCAGGTGTTCTTGTTCCGCCTTGCCACCAATCACTCGCCCCTTGGTCAATCCCATCACCTTCAAAGGCGTGTGCTGTCAACTCGTATCCACGCCCCTAGATACCAGCACAGTACATGTCTGATACTGCCTTCATCACCAAATGCTCAAGTCCCTCGCCAGGGTGATAAAGTGACAGGAAGGCCTAGCTGGATGGCTCCGGGGCAAGGGGAACTGCCAAGCGCCTACGCTAAGAGGACAATCCGCAGGGGCTTCTAGTGGACTGCCAAGGACATGAGCAGGGATGGACGCAGGGGTTATGCAGACGTCTCCTCCGGCATCACAAAGTGGCCCCGGCTGCGGCCCATGCTCTCGAGTGCTCCGTAGCACCAGCAACTAGATGTCATTGTGTCCCGAGGCGACGGGTGCAACGGTCAGGCCAAACTGAGACCCAAATTGGCCAACTGATTGCCGTAATACGGCGCCTCCGCGTCATGGAAGGCAGTTCGCTCTGTTGCCTTGCTCTGCTCTCCGCAATTCGTCGATGCCAGATGAACGCTCAGATGATGTTGGAGTTGGAGTTGGTCTGACGTGTATCCTCCCTAAAAGTGCTCCGCGCGCCTCTAGGGCACCTTCATCGACCCTGATGACCACCAACAGAGAAGCTTACTTGTACAAGTAGTACTCCGTACTGCGCCACGACACACCCAAGACGACCCGGCCATTGCTATCACTTTGATGCTGCAGGGAGGTATTGGTCAAAAGTCTGAAAACCGGACGCCATTGAAAACCTCCTGGAATTGCTTGGACAGCTTTGGAAGCGGCCCCTTGACGACAATATTCCCTCCCTTTTACTGCGCCTCTGTCTCATTAGTTTTGCGCACAGTAACTGAAGAGGCCGCCATTCGAGAAGCCGTGGTTCCGGTACACTGTACTCTTCGCCTCGAAGAAACGAGTGCGGCTTCGTATCGTATTTCAAATCACTTACATACCCATCACCGCTAGTGGCATTTGATATATATCACTTTTTCCTGTCAAAAATATCCATCAATGATGATATTACGAGTTCGTAGTACTGCTAGTACAACATGGAGATGCATCCATCTCCTTCGTCCATGTCAGCCACCACCGTTCGGGCAAACGTCAATTGTGGTGGGGATATAATAGAACAAGCTGTGGGGAGTCCAGCAAGCTAATCAAGAGACGGGCTTCTCTCTTTTTGGATTTGGGAGAAGAAAAAAAGAAAGTGACATATTTATTCGGGTGGCTGTTTCAACTAACATGAACCAGCCTTGTGCATACAAGGACATCCCGTTCATGTGGTTCACCCCCAGCCACACACATGCTTTGGGACAACTGAGCCGCATACAATATGATTTGCTTGTCCTTATCTCTTCCGTGTGTGAGAAGGGGTACTACTATTACATTGGATATTGAAAGTCCAAAGGGCAAATCGAGCATCTGAAAGTACGAGTAAGCGGATTTCAAGGCACCTGATCATCATGTCAGCCCAAATGTCTGATTTATGATTCATCGCAGTGCTTTTTCTGACCAAGCTGTGCCATCCCCAGTATTCTAGGTTCATTCGCCAGCGTAGCGGCCTTTTGCTATGTCACGCATACCGTACTACACCAAACATGGAGATCTCTATTCACCAACAACGGGGAGAAGCTCATCCCGATATCCCGGGATGCTAGACGTCCACTAAGATTAACGACCCCTAATGCCACCCGGACTGGACTTTCCCCTCGAACAAGAGTCTAGATGTCGGTATTATCGGCATGCTTTGCAGAGGTCCTTTTGAAGGTACTACTATACTGCATACTACCGTACCAGGGCAAATCTGATATGACATTTGTCATGTATCATTCATCATTCCATGGCAGATCCTTCCTCTCCCTAGATGTGACGACATCGCCTCAGCTCTCCCACAAACGAGTACTCGTACATATGGGCTAGGCGAAAGCTCATGACACACGCCTCACTTGGTGGGCTAGTCCGACGGCCAAAACGCCGCCCCGCCCGCTTAGATTCTTCTCATTTCCTGTTCTGTTTTCCCCATCATACCTATTTCCGGCTTTGGGTTCACCTTAACCCATTGCGGCTGTCCAGAGCCATAGTCGGCCCTGCCTAAATTTCACATACCCTGCTTCTGGGCGGGGCAGGCCCATGGCTATTCAGAAGCGAACGGCTTCAGGGTCAAACCAGAGGCACTAACGTCTCATATCTTGGCTGTGGTGTCCCTGACCTAATCCACGTGCAGGACTCGTGGAAGCATTCAGTGTGGAGGTCGAATGCCTCTACAGTACCTGTACGATACGAAGAATGTTACAGTAATTACCAAGGTGTGTTGATTTCCTCTCTTCTCGTGCTGTCGGCAATGGTTTAGTGCCTGCTGTATTTTTCATCTCATTTCTCAGACCTTGGAATTCATTAAGTTGACGGCGTGACCGAGGCCAGGTAGGATATACCATTGCTTCTCCTCAAATCGCCAACATCAGATACCTGCACTTGACGCTCCGCATTGCCCGCAATGTGCGTTACGCGGTAGGGAAATCTGACTCCAGACCTTGGTAAATGCTGACTGGTGCACACAAACACCTACCTAGCTGCTCCCATGGACAATATCCTCGTGAAATACGGCACAGACCATCGGCACCTGCTCGTCGTAGTAGTAGCAGCAGTATGTGAATGTCAATTAACTCCCGTCCCAGATCTACGGAAAGCCAGGCCCGCTGCTGCAGCCGGCCCCCTTGATGCGGAGCATACCAGGTGAGAACGCTACTTCGTACAGACCCTGGTGTTACTATCGCCTCTCTGGTGTAGCGCGTGCGAGCGGCATCGGGTATAACGAACCCGCATCGCCGCACAGCTCTTGATTCAGCTTCACTCACGGCATTGAGGACAGAAACCCTTACCAGCACAATGTCAATGCCATGTTAATTATAGGTGGGTCATTGTTGATATCTTAGCAATATCGGGAAACTGTTGCGCCATGAGACCGGCGTTGAGAAGTGGTAGACTAAACTTCAATAATAGGCTGATTTACAACTCCCAAAAACCCCCACGAGATGTCAGAAGCTTTGATAATACTAATACCCTCAGACCACCAGATATCAACCATGGGACATTTCGAATCAAACAACAGATATAGTGGATTTTCAAGGCAAGTTTACAAACTCATCTAAACTTTAAGAACAGATTGCTTCCTCAGCTGGGGCGCAGTCAATCCAATCCAATCCAATCCAGTCCAATCCAAAACACACTCGTCGTACCGGGTAGTCAAGATCAAGAATTCAATACTATTTCATACGCTAGATCAGCACTGTCTTGCCTGAATGTGGACCTACTTAGCTCCCTCCAGACACACGTAATAAACGCAGCTGAGCAACTATGGCTTGTACTAACACCTACTAGATGATAACTACGAGAAGATATCGGGCGTCGCAGAGATAAAATGACTGAGCTGAACAGAAACCTGCAAAGGAGGATTGGGGGTTACTCGTAGTCGTTGGAGACAGCTCCACTACCTATGTCGATTTCGGGCGCGTATCCCAGACAAACTCAATATTGGGCCGTGGAAAGCGCACTACCCCTACGGCTGGATGATTTCAGTGACGCTTCAAATGAGGCGGACATTCCAAGTTGGGTATAATTCTCTCATTTTCTTTCCTTCTTTTTTGCACCCGTTATGAGAATGCTACACATACATGGGCAATGTTCTGATGTGTCATTTGCCCAACCTACCGGAACGACACTATTTCTGACATCGCGCTGCTAACTCCCACAGTACATGTGCGTAATCCCTGGATCTGGTCCGGGACAGGCGACTTCAATCTGCCCCCTGAAGCAACGCTGGCCACACACTATACAAGACGGCCCATACGGATTGCGTCCCGTCTTTAGGAACCCCATGCGACAAGCTTGGGCGTTTTCAGGTGGCGCTGTTTAGTGCTGTCGAAGTTTGGGGTCTGGGCGTTGTAGCCCTGTTCGTGTGCCGTACCGCAGCGCCGCACGAGACGAGTCTGAGTCAATTCGGGAATGAATTCTTCCCGGAGGAGGAATATTTACAGACATGACTGAGGGCTATCAAACGCACTCTGGACCCAGGCGGAAAATAGCGGGCAGATGTGCCGCAGGATGGGACATTTTGTGTTCGATGGTGGGGGGATGTCATCATATGAGATCGGATCCCTCATGAGATGCCCATGAGATGAGGCCTCTTGGCCCGCCAAATCTTTTTGGCTTGCAACCCAGCTTCTTCACAAGTCTTATCAGACAAGGGGGTATTGGACTAACATCCAAGCTAGGGCCGGGTTGACCTCGCCTATTGAAACTTAACTGCAAATTCTCAGTGTCTGTCGGACTGACATCTTGCCCAAATCTCATCAGCCGCATCGACGGCTTGTCAGAAGCTGAGAGATCAATAATACAGATAACCCATGCCGATGCTTGGATACGAGTTTGTGGCTTTCACCCTGCGCTTGACCAAGAATGAAGTGAATCCTACCACTAAATGCGGCTGCAAATTATTAACCTAGTCACCGTCTCTTCCACTTCCTCTTCTCCTGCGCGAAAGCCAATGGAAGTGTGTGTGTGGGTTGCGTCAACTCGTATATTGGCTACAACCAGCCGGCTCCTTTCCGATCGACGGAACTGGGGTCCAGACTTCCGGACAAGTTTTTTTTTCTCTCTTGACAGACAAGTGGGCGTTTTAGTGAAACCGGATACACACACACCGAGAACGATGACAGATGCACGTCGGAAGACACCTGTTAGCGCCAACAATGGTGAGAATTGCGGTGCTGTTGAGGTCGACCTCAGCTGATCGTCCCACTACATGTCGAGCTGTTGGACGGTTTCCCTGTTCGAGTCTTGGAAATTGACAAAGTTCCTACGAAAAGCAATTCTATGTCACAGTAGGCCTAAGCTATGGCCACCAACACGGCGAACTAATGGTGACATCCTCGTACGAGTTTATTACAAGTATGATGGGGACGGACGCAAGATGCTATTCCTCCGATGTACCAAGGGCATGTACTCCGTAGCTGTTACATCGTTGATGGCTACATACCTAGTCAAATGCGGCATCTGACGGATTCACATGTGAGCGGGTCATCTATTCTAACGGCACTTGTGTGGTGTCTGCATGATACTGACAGGGTAGTGTCATTTACCGGTTGAGTACAGTACGGCGTGGCTACACAACAAAGTCCTACCCTCGCCAAAAACATCTCTTCCTCGGTTTGTTGAGACGGTACTCTGCAGGCTGGGACATGTTGAGCGCATAACGCTTCCGCTGACTCACTCATGCCATTACTATAGGTCCCCATACGTGCTGCAATCGCCTCACCGGTTCTCAGCCACGGTCTGTGCGTCATGCTGTGAAATACAAGCCGAACTTTTTGTCCGAGACCGCAGTACTCCATGATCCGCAGGCTCGCACGGAGTTCGACTCAGCTGAGGGGAAACCTCTGTTTCAATCCCAGCCCTCTCTCTTCCCGGCAGTCAAACCTTGCTAATTCCCAAGCTGTCACATGTCATGTTGAAGATGAGCCCCTTGCCTATCTCTGTGAATACCAGTCAATGGACCCGGAGACTTTTTAGGTTGCTGTACGACATTGACCCGTCCTCTGTCCGTAACTCTGGGACGTGCTGGGCTCGTGATTTTTGTGCACTCTCTATATTATGCTTGCATTATGCTACTGCCAAGTACGTAGTGGATACTCATGAATCTGGTCCGAAGGGCGTGTAAGTGAGGGGGCACAGGATCTATCTCGTTGAGACAGACAGCTTAGCCTATGGAGTGGTCTTATTCACCATTGAAGTCCATGCTCTGAACGGCAAACGTCTCTGCTTGCTCCCTACCGACCCGGGGAGTCCCTTGTACAGGGAGAGCATTATTACGTGTCCAAGAGGCATTACGACAGCGACCGAGGTAATGGTTTCGTGTGGGCACTATATACTGTACCCATGTCTTGGACGATATCGGAGTCTCGTACAAAGGGAAAGAGGACCGGTTACCACCTCACGAAACATCTCTTAGTGTGACACTTTAGATATAACTGACTCAGGGAGTACCTTGTAATTGTGACAATAAACTTGAATCATGAAGTAGTGACATATCAATGGCGTGTGACGAGTCTTCACAAGCCTTGTTCGGCCTGTCACTTCACCATCAGAAGCTGAGATCCGCCAGTCTAGATTTGCGTCCCCCGCCCGGCTCCTGCGTATCAGAAATGCATTAGACTACTTATCGTCTCTTGTAAAAATGCAAGATCCAAGACCCTTGTTTTCATCGCCCGACGGGTTGATCCAACATTGGGTGATACTATTGTAAGATTTAATGCGAGGAGATGACGAATGCCATTTTTAATGCAACTTCACTCTTGCAAGCACGCTCTTCCAAGTCGCGCTTCTCCTCATATTCGCCGTAATTCCTGGTCCAGGGAATATTGCAACGCTTAATGAGGTTTCCCTCTGCATCAACCTCACCCTTACATGCAGGTGTGGGCGCAGCTATTAGGCTGTGAACGCGCGAGAGATCAAACGATGAGAGATGAGCTGAACTTCGTGTTGTAGTAGTGCAAAATCCGAAACGTAGCAATGGTTTGAAGAAAGGTATGACAGGTGTTTTGTTGGTTCAATTTGAGTCATCAGCTGCTCATGAATTTTATCAAAATCTCATTTTGGGCTTTGGATATTTCGGTCCTCATATCTGGCCAAAGGCAATGAGGATTAGTGTTCCTAAATTTGGAAGAAACTTTGAGTCCACATTTTTATTATTATTATTATTATTATTACATTACACTTCTGCAAGAAACAGAGAGGATCGTAAGGTGTCGCGCCTGGTCCTCTTCAGCATCGAATTGCATGAAGATATCTCATGGCAGCACTTAAACCAGCCCTCTTCGTTTAGACAGATGTAGGAATATCTATTTGCATATTCATTGGCTTGCCATATGGTGGCGTTCATCTTCCGGGTCCCTAACATAACTGCAGCGAAAATATAGATACATGCCGGCAGTGGTGCTTTCGCCTAGGGTTTCCAATTGGCAAACGGTGCACGGCGACATATCATTGGTTCATCTAGCTTCTGAGATAGTAGACTCGTCAACTGAGATTCGGATCTAGCTTTTGTGTTTACTTTTCCATAGCAAGCCTCTATCTCAGTAAGTCTACTGGCTTTAGTGGCTTCGCTTTGTCTTCAAAAGTGAAATCGCCAAAGACTTTTCTTTAAAGCGCCAATGTTAGGATCCAGTCAATCGCAACAGCGATCGGTTTCTTATAAACAGCTGGTTTCGTCACAGTTATCGTTACAATTGTGATTATTCGTCTAACCTTTGCCTTGTTTGACTTAACGGCATGACAGATCGTTACAGCCAAGCAGTAAGAAATTCCCCCATCTACCTTGAAGGAAGTTGATTATGCATCGTGAACTGCCCAGTTTTATATCCTCGTATGTCCCGCTCTAGTAAAATGGCCTCCATTATACAGACCAGTATATGGAGTTTATGAAAGCTTATCAACGCCCTAGGCGCTTTTATACATGTATCTACCCTCTCTCCAATACTGTGAGTAAAAACTATTTTTGCTACCTAGAACTCTATCTCACCGCATATTTTGCTTTTAATCCCATCTAATCGCTCCTTCGAGTATGAAAGTGTATTCAAACGACAAGCTGGAATATTAGAGAAGGTTTTCAGCTACGTATACAAGGAAATCTAGTGTTAAAACGCCTCATGGGCAAGCCAGCCCACACCAGATATTATAAATAGCATATGAGCCCCGATCAGATCCTGAGTTTTTCCACCCTGATTTTTCCACCCATAAATATTCACGCCTAAGAGTAAGAGAAATAAAGAAAGAAACGGAGATTTCGCCATGAATATTACTAACTTCTTTACCCGCCTCGTATGGCGCACATCCGAGACCCAACCTCATACTCACAGCCATATCCTTCAGCTGCCAGTCGAACTACTTCTGGAAATATTTAAGTTTCTTCCTCCTTACAGTCAACTACTCGTCTACCGGACCTGTCGGCCCCTACGCGCAATCGTTTATAAATATTTCCTTGCTGGGAGGGGAGAGATCCTGGACACACTAGAGTATAGGCTGCTCTATCTCACTCATCTCGCCAGGTCTCTGCCTGATCGATGGGTTTGTGCCAAATGCTGCAAACTTCATCAGGCTTACAGCTGGGATACGCCATCATCTCGGGCATTTTATTTACCAAAGTGTGGAGATGGAAAGCATTGGTTTTCTGAGCAACATAGCGAATCTAAAAGCTTGGCAAATCATGAATATTCTCCATCACATAGGCACGTCGAACTCACGCTTAAATACGCTCGGTTGCAGAGCCAAAAAAGGGCGCATCGAAAACACCTTCAAAGACTTCTTGCACCATATCACGCCGCAAGTCAAAGGCCTGGCACTATCAGCGTAGTTGAAGGCATCCTAGCTCAGCGCTCATTTTACCCTAAGGTTGTAGATGGAAGATATTTACTTCTTACCGTCCGGACTTATCTAGGGGTTAGGACTACTATATCACGACAGTCCATAAAATTCATAGAAATATGTCCTCACCTATATGCCTGGGGTAACTTCTCCTTATGGAATGATGCGACGATAGCTTTGGATACGATTTTATATTTGGCTTTCTTAGGACCACCAAACACTCGAGTTTCTGACTCCTGCCGTTCTTGTGGAACAGATTTCTCCGTACAAGCCTCACCAGAGCGAGCTATTGTATGCGCGTGGCAAGACTTGGGACCCGAAGGAACGGTATATGATCCGGATTGGGAGGCGATAGTGCGTGAGACTACAAATATCTCTCACCGGCCTGGAAGTATTCGAGAGCTATATGGCCGACAGGAACACAATGGTGAAATTTTATAGGCAGTTTGAAGGATAGTTGTTCTGTATCTATATAGGCCTTTATTTCGAAGAGTCCGAGCAAACGGAGCGAGGATACAGAAGGATAGTCTCATTATTCTAGTTCTTTATTTCTGAAAAGTTGGAGTAATAAAAATATCTGCCGAATTTGCAGTACGGGATGCTGTATGCAAATAATCCCTCCTTTGCCCCCTCCCCCCAAAAAATCCGCCAATAAAAAGAAAGAGAAAAGGCCGAAGAAGAAGACTGCAATTTATAAAAGAAGTCAAAGTAAGAGAGAAAAAAAATGAAATCATCGGTAATGACAGTGAGGAGAGCGGCAAAATGCTGACCCGTTCTTGATCTGAGACACCTTTTGAAATAAAGCGTCATAATAATATCACAGGATAAATGTACATGTAATGAGGAAATGTAAGTGACGAAAAAAAAAAACCCGACCCCCAAAGGGGAAGGGAAAAAAAACCAAGGAGTGTGTATTGCTACGCTACAAAAAAAAAAAAAAAAACGCTGCTAAAACGCTACAAAAAAAAAAAAAACGCTATCTACAAAAGAAAGAATGAAAAAAAAAGAATGAAATTATGGGAGGGGCCGTGAGAAGTTGGGAACGGGTGTACCCGATACCCCCGATCCACCACCACCACCAGCCCTTACCCGTGCCCGAAGCTGGGCATTCTCCCTCTCCAGCCGCGCCACCTCCCACCTCAACTCCTCCAACTCGTTCCCGTTCGTTGGCGGGGCGGCATCTGAGGCCCGTCGTCGGACCGGGCTCTCGAGGCCGAGGAACGTGAGGGTGGTGATGAGGGCGGAGATGGCGTCGGAGAAAGCAGATATCCACTCGGGAATGGACATATTGAAAATTATGATAGTAATTATAAGTAGTAATGATACACAATAACGAGCGTGATCCCTATACTAAGAGAGAGGGAAAAGAAATGAAAACAAATTGGCACATCGAGGAATATATAGACTACATCAACTTGGTTGGCCTTTCCCTCGCTTAACGTATTCATGACATTCTCCAAGGTAAACGAGCTGCAACGGAAAGCACCTGTCTTTTTTGCTAAAGGTGTATGGGTCGTTCTATTCTTTGATGCGTCTAACCCAGCAACGCAACAATGTAATGTACCTAGTAGTCATGGGAACCGACTCTACCTACACCTTGTGAAGCGTCCCTGTTGCAACCAGAATTTTGAGTCCCAGAAAAGAAGAAGAAGGAGAAAGAGACGGCGACGACGTAACGTAAATTTTCATGTATTGGAAGGTGCATTAGTTACCTCTGCTGCGGCAGTCGTCAGAGTCTCTTGATTCTGCGGAGGAACATGGTACATATATACTTGAGTGTCAAGGTAGAGAAGGTGTCTCTACGCATAAAATAGAGAAAGAGAAAAGAAACATAACGCCGAGTGAAATAAATTAGTTCCCATTTGAGTAAAAATCTGAAAGAAATAACGTGAAAATAAAACGCCCAAGTTGGTTGACAAATGGGGGGGGGGGGGGGTCCTCCCGTTTAGCTGGTGAGAAAGAACGGAGACACGGTAGCGATAGTATCAAATAGCAGAGCAATGCTTCAAGAACCGGGTACCAGATAGTTGTCGCTAGGATACTGGGTAGCCAATATAGGGTACTAGCTGGTGATCCCCGTTTATTAGTAAGTTACGAGTGCTAGTACATGCAATGGGACGTCTTTAGTCTAGGTACTGACCACCAACAGCCGGATCGTGATCTGATTGGCGTCATCCGGCTGGTCTCATGTCTATCGTAGCAACCTTTGGATGGTTTCCCATGCCCCCAGCAAAGAAGCTATCCCAGCCGTGGTCTATGGAGAAATAGCATCGAAAGTTATAATAGGGACTACTAGAGCGACCCGTGAGATCCTGTCATGGCATAGTGCCCCTGACAATGTGAGGAATTGTCAGTATTTGACACTTTGTAGAACGCATCCAAATCTAGTGGGTAGCGAGAGAAAAACATCGTAAGTGACACCTTTTGTTGTACTGCTTATAGTGAAGGTCATCCTATCCAATCTATGGCTACATAAAGAGCAGATGGCTCTACCCCGACATCATTTGAGGCAGGTCCAGTCAAAGCACACGCTGAAGCTGGCATTGAAATGTTAAGGGGAGCAATCTTGAACCAGAGACAAAATCTGATTAAAAAGGTTGCTAAGGCATGTATGAAACAATGGAGAGTGTTTATTGAAGCCAGCATGAGCTACGTAACTACCGAGATAGTCAAGAACAGATTGGCAGAGTGCCGGGAAGCTATCAGAGAGATAAGGTATGACGATGCGTTTGGGTTAGTAAGTTTTATTCTAGAGATTTTACGGGAGGCCATAGAACAGCAAATCAGTTCGGTGGTTGACGCACTTCTCCCTATGGTCAGAGAGACCTGGATATGGACGGATCGAAGATTAAAAGAGTCTGAGGTCCTCTTTTGCTGGCGAAAGTCGTTCGAATTCTCATCAGCCAACCTTGGAAGTGTTTTCGGTCGCACCTCGGCACAGCTTGGGACTACACCCAATTAGCCTGTTACAGCGGACCATTTTCGTTAGGCGATATCCATCTCATATTCCCGGGGCTGTGAGGGGGAGACTCTCTTCACCACGACCAGACCTTCGTAGTGTTATTGATAATACGTGTATGAATGCCCGATGCAGCTTTCTCTGCACGGCTTTATTTTTGTTATCGAACCAATCTATGGGATATCCTCCCTCTAATCCTATGACATCGTTAAAGCTTCACTTGTTGTATTTCTGCGCAGCTTAAAAAAGATGATGCCTATACGCTCTCGCGAGACAGCTTCCGACCCCAGTGTGGGAAATGGGATTGACAAGGCTGCAGATGACTTCAGACGAGCTCAGGACGCGTATCATGCCGCATTTGGGGCTTTGCCACAAGGAAAAGACGGCCTAGCAAAAACAAAACTCATGTCGGTTATTATAGGGGCAAGCGAACAGGATTTGAGCACAATACAGAAGCTCCTTGAGTCCTGTAAGTCTACATACCTCTGGCTCGGGAAGTAGCCGCCAACTAAGTTTTATCATAAGCGTACGATATCGAGAGCAGGACGGGAAAGATTATATCAGCATCTAGTGATCATTCACTACGGGTGTGGGACGCCATAAGTGGCAAGGAGGAGTATGTGCTCATCGGTCATTCCGACGCCGTTACTAGTGTTGCGGTCTCGCCTGACCGGAGGATAATTGCTTCCGGTTCAAGTGATCGAATCGTGCGGCTATGGGACGCGACAACAGGCCGGCAAATGCGCATGCTTACCGGCCATTCCAATACCATCAGAAGTGTTGCCTTCTCCTCCGATGGAACGAAGCTTGCTTCTGGGTCCGAGGATGGTACCGTCCTGGTGTGGGATCTGGCAACGGGCACCCAGGAGCGTGCACTCTCGCACTCTTCTGCCGGCGCTGCCGCTGGCTACTACGGCTATCAGGCCCGAACCATTCAACATGCAGTTACTAGCGTTGTCTTCTCTTTCGATGGTAAGACAATTATATCTGGAACTAGGAGCAACGGGATTTGGGTGTCGGATATAGCGTCCGGAACACAAGAACTCCTTTCCAGTCGCTCCAACAGCATCGCCAGCCTCGCCCTCTCCTTGGACGGTCGCCAAATGGCATCCGGAGCTGCTGATGGCGCCGTAGAAATATGGGATGCTACAACTGGTCAGTCGAAGCATATACTTTCGGGCCATTCTGGCGCCATCACCAGCGTTGCCTTTTCGCCAGACGGAAGCAAGATTGCAACCGGGTCCGATGATTGTACTGTGCGTGTGTGGGATGCGGAAAGCGCCATGGAAGAGCATGTGCTTGTTTGCAATCCTGACAGAATCAAGAGTGTAGCCTTCTCACCGGATGGCAGGAGTATTCTGGCCGGCTTGACTGATCACACATTGAAGCTGTACGATGTGGCGACTGGTCTCCAGGAGTCTATGTTGACTGGCCATTCTGGCGATGTTACCGGTATTGCGTTTTTGTAATGTTGTACTGCCGACAAATTGTGTTTTATAGCAGTTATACAAAGTATGAACATATCCGTTCGCTGTTGGTTACCATTGCTGCTATTATATCGCTTATCCTCTGTCCCAGTTTTATAATTTGTGTTTTACTTCTTCAAATTCGTCACTCCTTTCGCTCCGCAAGGACTGTTCCGGACAGCCACCAACATTCCCAATAATATCTTAGCTCACACGAGATATCTCCTGAACCTTGTACTGCTGAAAGAAAGTCAAGAGACATATAACAGCTAATATTCGGCAGTGATCACTTACCTAACTGATAATCTGCCTTTTATTACTTAACTCCCACGTCCACGATAAGAAACCCAGTATACAGCTGTGTTGCTCCTCCCTCCAGGCAGATTCTCGATTGAATTACTAGAGATACCAAGATAGTACCAAAAGAAGAAGCAGAAAAAAAAAAGGTAAACAACATACAACAGCCGGTGTTCGCTGATGGTCAGCCACTCAACTACTAATCTGCCGGTTAGTGGCTTGTCTACATGTATGGGGGAGCAGAGGGGACCCCGAATTCTCATCTAGCTATGGTCGTATGTGAAGGTTAACTAACTCCATTCAATTTATATTATTCTCGCTGCTGCAAACCCCTGGCATAGGTCTACTCTGCCGTGCTTCAGTAATTTAGGTTATGCCTAGGCATGTATATATGAATAACAGACTACAGGTACTATTCTAGTAATTGAGGATGTCTGACAGTCACTGGTATATCATACAAGGAACTATAAGAGGTAATGCTGTTACATATACGTAAAAATAATAATAATAATGTTGATCTACGCATTTATATATTTTATATACAATGCTATATTTGCACCTAGCTCAATAAGGCTGACGGGCAACCCTTGTAAAAATACTACGTACTATGTAACAGAGTGGGTTATATACAATACGTGTATACAATATACTTGATTCGGTAGGGCTGGGGGCAGCCCTTGTAAAAAATAGAAGGATGGGTTTTGTAATAAAAGTATTTATACACCATACCAGCACTCCTCCAAACTGTTAACTGTTGGCACTTGTAATATGGTAGCCCAGGATTAAGAAATTCGATTTATCTATCAAAGCAATTCCACTATCTATTAGATAAAGTAGTAAATAGAATGGCACTGGCCACTTCCCCTGAAAAACATCGTGTGCTTATCGTCCTTATAACCCGCATAGGCCCGGAACTGGTTACCACCATCGCTATATTATATTAGTCTAAAAACGTAACTGCACTAGAGAGCTTTGCAAGACTTACCCAACATGCGCAAAGTTTGCTTGCGACTGTGCGTTGCTGTCAATAAACCAAGAAAACTTGGCGCCAGTAGAGAATGTGCAGGCTTGAGCATGTCCCTCCCATGTAAACCAAAAGTTTACTCCCATAGTGCAGATATTATCACCAGAGGGCGAGAAGTTGCAGTTGCTATCGTTTGCGCAATACTAACACAAAAATATGATTAATTATTTCAAAGCCCTTAACAAAAGCTAGGCGATCATGGGTATAAACTTACAACAACATGGGAGCTTGGGGGCACAATGGTACCCTCGCCTCCAAAGCCGTCACAGTTCACAAGGTGTATGCCCGAGCCATCACCACGCTTAAGGAGCTCATTGCTGCTTCCCTCTGCCACATCCAAAGTAGGAGCAGCAGCTGCGAGCTGGAGGAGAGGTGCGAGAAGAGCGAGAAAAAGCATTATGCCTTTATTTGTGTAAACCGGGGACTCTTAGTGTTGGAAGATTGGTTGGGTTAATGAACTGAAGTCCTAGATCATCGTAGAACTAGAAGGGGCTTGACACTCTTTATAGAAATGATTATCGCTATACTAATACGTTTATTGATGGAAAAAAAAAATTATAGCTTTAGCATACCTCACATACCTCACGACGGAGTATTACATCTCAATTCGCTTAAAATTCCCAGTTCGAGAGCTTAACCCATTTGAAGCTATAACATTCGTATCTAGAACGGCACTCATTCATAAGCTGACTTTTTGGTAGCGCTTACGGCCCACTATAGGAGACAAGGGCCCTGTAGGTATGGCAGCATAGTGCAGTGCATGTAATTGGATACTACTATCTTTAAGGTACTCAGCCTATATAATATAAAGTTCTATAAGGGTTTCGCTATGCTTAATTTTATACTTAGTGCAATAGTCAACGCTGCTCCTATAACAAGAGAAGAATAAGAAGAGATAATTGATAATTCTGAGTAGCATATTGTGGCATCCACAAGAAGTAGTGTTGTTCTCAATAACTACCTCGGTAATTAACCTAGGGCGAACAGGTGCTGTTCGCACTCGTCTAGACTACATGTATGTAACGACCTTATTACTAAAGGAAGTTAGTCAAGAACAACAAGGCTTACGCTCTGCGAGGGTCAATGAACTATGACCTTCCTAGATTGTCTATGTGCCTGAACTGACTAAGAACAACGGTGCTGCATTTGGGCGGTTATAAAGAAGCAACTGTTTTTAGAACACCGAGAATGTGGATGGATTGGACAGGGGAGCTCCAGACACGGTACCCTGCAGCAGCCTTATGGGGTCTCAGCGTTTCATTGACTAACACTAGCATACAGCAGCTGACCAAGCAGCTAGTAAGACCCGGTCTAAGGCAACACGAGAGTGTCAGATTGATCCTTCGCAGGAAAAGAACAAGAAACGCGGAATGAAGTCGAAAATTGGCCGGCAGTCGGCTTGAAATATGAGATACCAAAATTTGCACATTCTTGGCGATGCGTGCGTAACTCCATGATCCTTAATAAAGGAGTACCTTCATATTTGCAACACACGCAATGTCAACCTGTTATGCTTCTCCCCAGATGGCAAGCTACTTGGTGCGGTGATGCATGATTCTACTGGTAACATTTTCTGGCAAGTGGAAATCTGCGCTTTGTCATCAGATAACCAGCCACTGGCGTTTTGCTCAAGGTCTCGAGGAATATCATACTTTTCTTTCGAGAATGTCCCGAGTATGATCACAATCTGGGACGTGGCTACAGGTGCCTGTCTGGTAACACTTGATGCTGCTCCGCCGATTGACAGCCTTTCCTTTGTCCTTTGACCCACTGAGCAACTCTCGTATTCACACTAACCTTGGAGTTATGGACTTGAGCCTTGGTAGTTCTCAACCACTTAGCAAGCTCCCATCACGAGAACCTATCTACCATGACTATGGTATAAGTCTTGATGGTATGTGGGTTGTCAACGGCGAGGAGCGTCTGCTTTTGTTACCTCCAGATTACCGAAATAGGGCAACGGCAGTGCAAGGGTCACAGATCACTATTGGTGTTGCCAGCCGCGAATCAGATCATCTGTGTCTGATGAAATTTACCAATGAATAGATCTACAGTGAGGTACAGATCTTTTTGTCAGAGTATGAAGCCGAGCCGACTGAGAAAATGACCAATTCTGGGCCGAGAGGGATCTATAAAGAGGTTAGGCTTCGTCCAACCTTTACGAGAGACGTTGTATTCCTTGGGGAATTGATCAATCTCTTTAGTACAAGTTAAATGAGAACAAAAGGAGGGCTGGATATGTAAGTTCGCTTCATTACACTCATTAAGGTAGTTCAGATAGCCACATAGTCATTAGCAACATGAGTATCAAGAGTGAATATAAGGTACACCTTCTATTCTACTTACGCCCTTGTGGCTACCACTGCTCAAAGATACTTCCTAGCCTCTCTGCCAACATAAACCTATTGAACTAAGCTTAAAATCTTTTTTTTTTTTTTTTTTTAAATCTCTCAGTGTATTATTGTATCAACAGTAGTTATGTGAAAGCAAAAAGAGAAGTGTAAACCAAAGTCTTGCGAGAATTGGTTATCCATAATGTTTTAGAAAATCTTTTTCGGTCATAGGATACATTCCTGTATATGGTGCCCCCGAATGTTGGCGCTGGACGGTCGATGTTCTTTTGTACTCCAATATTCGCGGACGTCGTTTCGTGTTCACTATTGCAAAACTGATAGGGCGGCCAGGTAACGTCGATGGCGGCACCACCTGGCCAGTGGTAACAATGATTCGACTTTGCGGGTGCATTTTAACTAGCAGGGAAAGCGCATTGGCAACATTGACCCGTGAGGCAGCTAGATCGGGAACACACTTGTCGAGGTGGTCGATGACAATAACCACCGATCCAACTAGAGCCATAATTGAATGTAGTAGTTTCAAAATAGCATCAAAGCTCTTCGCTTTGCAAAACTTCTTGGTATTAACAATATGTGGCGCAGAAATGGTTAAGCTTGGTCTAGAAATTAGAAGCTGCGAAATAAGCTGCTTCAAGACCTGCTGTGGCGTCCATTTCACGCCTTTTGGGCGGTCGCACATGGCAAATGTTATCAGCTGGCCCTGCGTGCGGCATATATCGATGAGATTGATAGAGAACTCGGTTATCCAGAATTGCCGTTCATTATTCTCAGTCGACACCCAAAGGATAGAATTCTCAGAGTTATCGCAGAGCTTACGCCATTCGGCGAGGCGCGGGAGAATCCCGTTATAACCCCAGTGGTCACGCATATCAGTAAAGAAACGCAATGATTGCCATTTACGAAATTCATCTTCGACGTCATCAACATCATAATCCCAGCAGTCAAGGATTTTTGAGATGTAATGACGAGATTGCGCTTAGCCAAGATGAATGTTACAATTCTCAGCCAAATTTAAGGTTCTGTGATGAATTTAGGAGCAGTAACTTACCGATGCTTATTTTTTGCATTTCCTGGCTCATCGAATAAATTTCTATACAAAAATTGTCAGTTAAGCTCTGCAGCATCTCGAGGGAGGAATACCTACCATTATGTAGAACGTCGATAGTCTTTTTGATATCTTTCTGCTCTGCCATATGCCCTACTTCACACAACGTCTTTATCCTAGCTGATGCTTTCGTAATATTCCCAATGTACGTAGGGAACTTATATTTTGTACGTGGCAGCATGGCGTCAGATAGCTGTACTGTGTCGATATTAGAACATGAAAATTTATATACGCTGCGTTCAGTATTTCCGTGGTCAGCTTACCGAAGAAGTTGTTACAATAGTACATTGAAAGCCTCCAAAGTAAATCCAAAGTGTGTATGTAGAACTCAGTAAGCGCTTGTTTCATGTTTCTCGTTGGGACCATATCCTTGTAAACTTCCAGAATTGGAATATCTTCAGATAGAGATGTAATAAGGTTATGTACTGAGTCAATTTTTTCTTTCCTATCCGAGATACCCTTTCATGTGTTAGTAATCGCTACTGTTCGCATTGCTGTTGTAATCACATACTTTGAAAATAATCCAGAGGCAGGCATATGGAATGGAATATTCAGGGCTCTGTGGAATAAATATATCAACGATTGGCTTAATCTGCTTTGCAACATCGATCAGTGCATAAGCTGAATCGGCAATTTTCGATAGCAGCTCCGGCTTGGATTTTTTCTTATGCAAGATCCGCTCACTCTCTTTTATGATGCGGCTCTGCACCCATGCCGCTTCATACAGTCTTGCCTTCTTCAGCTGTATCGGTGCACTCTCAACTATCTTTGTCGCTACCAATCCTGGCTGCCTGTCGCTGTCCCACCAAGGCTGTGCATTTAACTGCTCATTAATTTTCTTACACTTTTCCAGGGCAGTGTTGATAAAGCTGAGCGCAGAGATCAGTAGAGAGCTAACATGTCAATAGGATATATTACTCACTCATAGTCTCCTGACCCAGACTCATACCATTTACTCCAAGAAGTGGTCATTTAATACTGCTATGTAGCAAATGTCAGAAAATGGAATACTTGTAAAACTATTATCTTAGGGCCGAACAATGGAAAAGAAACAGATAAAAGAGAAGAAAAAAAAATAAGAGAGAGTGAGAGAAGAGGACAAGTACCTGGGCAAACAAGCTTATGATCGCGGGGCAGCTCTCGCTTCCTCCAACATGCATGTACAGGATTGACGGGATTGGCGCATATATCAGACACGGCCCCTCTTTAATGATGCCCAACCATAGGTTTATGGCCTCCTCTTCAGGCCCAAACTATAAAAGGCTGGCGCATGGCCTGTTATACCTAGGCGTAAAGCTACGGAATACGTCCCAGCTACTACCTCTGTACATGTCACGGAAGTCGCAAAATAACTAAGGCCAGGGCTTTACCAGAATAACCTATAATCGCTTAAATCGGCCCCATCTCGTGAAGATTGACTGTTAGGAAATGCCTTTTCCAGCGTTTGGACATAGTTCCATCGATAGGAACGTCAAGAGGATAGGTCCTATGACTCGCGAGGAACATGAGGGGCATATCATGAATGGACTCACAAACGAATTGGTGAGCTTTGATAAGATAGATTCTATTTTTCTGAAAGACGATCTTGTCCTACGAGAGGATGAAATAGGCCAACTGTGGCTTTTCAAATTGATAGCAGTTACCTACACCAGCAATTGGGTTCGTGGCGATGAATACGACAAGAAAGCAAACTTCGAAACCTGGTGCCTGAATTGGGATGCAGTTGAGGGCCATCTCTCTAAGACATACATGACGTTTACTTGCACCGAATTCTCTGGTTGGCGGCCTATTAAATCGCTCCCTGTTTATCCGATTGACCGCCAAGGCCAAATAGAAGGACAAGATAGCGAGCAATATCTTGCGGAGAGGGGCAAGAAGTGGTGGGAGTTCATCAATATACCACCAACCTGCCGACAACATTCTGGGCTCGCATTCAGTAAAGACCGTGGCAACTTCAACGGTGAAAAAGTTCGGGTATGTTATTGCGATCGATTTATCCAGAATAATACATGTAGATTCTGTGCAGGACATTGAAAGCTGACCAGAATCAGATGGAAGGCAGGGTAGTAATTGACAATAAGTCGAAAGCTTCAGAAGGAATCGGAGCTTTGCTTAGATCTAACAACCCTAATAACGCCGAGCCCGCAGTAGCATACAAACGGGACGGACTCCATCAATTCCCGGAATTAAATGATGAGGAGTTAATGCTTTGCCCAGCCGTTATAGGTTGCTATGACTTGAGAAATAAGAACAAATATCTTGTTAGTGTTAATAATCTACAAGAGGTCAATTGGAACAAGGATGTGATGAATCATCTCGTCATGGACAAAAGGAAAAAAAATATGCTTGAGGGCCTTGTTCGTCATCACTCCGATCGGGATCTTCGCCATAATACAGGAGACCTTATTGCTGGCAAGGGACAAGGCCTTGTTATTCTCCTTCATGGGCCACCAGGTGTTCGTTCTTCTTTCCCAAAATGCGGGCTGAGCAACACTGATGTTTTATGCTAGGTTGGCAAGACGTTGACCGCCGAGTCGATTGCCGAGGCTGTACAAAAACCTCTTGTTGCAATGAGCATTGGGGAGATGGTATGGGACGAGACGCAACTCCAAGAACGGCTAAAATCTGAGTTCCAACGAGCCATAGACTGGAACGCGGTTCTCCTCTTGGATGAAGCCGACGTGGTGCTCGAAGCTCGATCATTTGAAGATGTGCGAAGAAACGGCATTGTTTCTAGTTGAGTCATAACCCTCGCTTTATACGTATATAGCAACGCTGCCGTGGCTAACTTCTATCGCCTACTTACAGTCTTTCTCAGAGAGCTAGAGTATTACCAAGGAATATTGTTTCTCACTACGAATAGAGTTAGCACTATGGACACCGCGTTTCAGTCTCGCATTCAAATCGGCATCAGCTTTAGCAGCATGTCGTCCGACACTCGGGCAAAAGTCTGGACTCAATTACTTACACTGAATGGTAGAGACAAGCTTATTGGACTGGAAGGACTCAAGAAGGTCCAGGACGAATTGAGTAAATACGAATTGAATGGCCGGCAAATTAGAAATGTTCTGAATGTTGCAGAGGGTCTTGCATTCCAAGAACCAGGTGCAAAAAAAGATAAGCTGACATATGAACACATTGAGGAAGCCGTGAGAGCAGCGACAGAATTCCAGAAGCTGTTGGAAGAATCGAAGTCAATGATGAAGCTGGAGCAAACAGTGTGGGCGCCAGTCACGGGTGGCGATGACGATTCTGTATTCTAGATCTAGTGCGTATATAATAGAGCAACAAAGGAGACATCATTTTCGTTCACTTTTACTTGCGAAAGTATGGCGGACCAATCGATGTTGTTGAGTCAGCTATAGTTGCAGTAACAACGATGAGGATATGGCGATAGTGACGCCGCCAAACAAGACTCACCTCCGACGAGACCAGCTTTGTCTGACCATTGATTGATGATAAAGGTCAGAATCACCAGCGTCGTCACGCCTGTCATCCAGGCCACCGCACGGGCGATTATCTGGATGAGGGTATAGATACCTGGGCATGAGGCGAGGTTTAGCGTCGTATAGAATATCGAGAACAAAGGCAACAGCCTGGAATGTATGGAGAGTACAATAAACGTCGCAGCTCCCAACGTTTGAACCGGTGAGCCTACTACATTGGCACGCATATCTTTAATTACTATTCGAATACGAAAAAAATCCATTGGGATCTAGATGCGGCTGAACAACGCCCCTCTCGAGCTACGTTGCCTCCACGGAGGCGCCTCACCACTCGAGCTTGTGGAATGACAGCATCGGCCGAAGCTAAACTATTGGTTTACACCTTGTGTCCCGCTACGCTTGATTTTGTTACATGGTGCTCTAGCGTTTATAAATCTGCTTGCACCCGCTCATCATCACCATTCCTTTGATTCATATTGAATAATTGTCGCAAGAACAAAATGATCATGTGCACAATCAACTCACGAATACCTCAACCATGGCGAGTTTCGAAATGGAGCAAAGTGGAGTGCCAAACCGATCTTCGGAAGAACAGGAAACTGACAATGTAGAGCAATGTGAGAACCCAAAACACGCCACATGGAAGCGCTTCATAGGCAAGGTTGGGATAGACATACCTATCTTAATCGTTATGTTCAAGTAAGAACTCTAACTTGTTTTGCCTCTTGACGGACTTCCTGTACTCATTCACTCTGCCTATTATAGAGGTTCAATCCCTCCCATAATCGGCATAGCCATGTACCAATCAGCGGCGATATCTTCCTACTTCACAACACAGGGCTATTTAATCCCAATTATTTCTGTGCTTGCCGTTGCAATCTTACCGCGCGGCAGATTTATTCAGAATCTCATTCTCAGCCTCTTTCTTATATGCGTTGGTTCAGCCGTCTCTCTGCTCATCATTTGGTCCTCCATTCAAGCGCGCAATCATACCTCTACCACTTCTCCCCAGGATATTGCTATGAACCCACCACCTTATAACTCATCTCAGTCAGCAGTCTGCGCAATATGGCTGTTTGTGAATATCTGGCTCGCAAACTTCATGCGCGCAAAGTTACCTAGCTTCAACCTGCCTGTGGTCATCTATAGCATCTTGGTCAATACCAGCGCGACCGCCGGTCCTACAATAGTCACGACTGCGGAGGCAGAGGCCTTTGTCAAAGAGTTGCTTCTTGCAATGTTATTTGGCATGGGGCTAGCGACAGGGGTATCGCTCTTCGTATTCCCCATCACCAGTCGTATGGTAGTAATGGGAGAGCTCAAGGGCCTCATTGGACTACTGAGAAAAGATATTGAACTACAAGAGAAATATCTTGCAAGTCTAGCCAAGAATGGTATGTCTGCCTTTGAAACCATAAATGGCAAGGAGCGAGATGCGTCGCAGGAAAAATTGAGCCCAAAGGAAAAGAAGAGGGCAAAAGTGAGGAGAGGGAATGCAAAATGCATTACCAAAGAAGCAAAAGCGGCCAAAGAATTGGAAGAGACTCTAGGTGCGATAAAAGTTTCGACTGCCAAGATGCATGGAGACATGACTTTTGCGAAAAGAGACATAGCCTGGGGAAAACTCGATGCAAAGGATCTAAGCCAGGCATTTACATTGATCCAAAACGTCATGATACCAATGTTAGTCTCTTACTCTATATTTTTATATCAATAAATAGCTGACATGGGATAGAGTAGCGATAGGCTCTGTCATGGATATCCTCCGGCGAGTTGTCCATCATGGAGGGCTCAGTGGAAAAGGTGAAGCAGCAGCAGAAAACAATTGGGAGAAGCAAGTGTGGTACGACGCCATGGAGCAAATGCACTCACCATTCCAGATACTCGCCGAAATAGCTGATCAAGGACTTGAGCATGCCGCCATCTGCTTGGAGGTTTTCCCCAGAACTAGAGACTCCAAGCAGCCAGCGAAAAACAGGCCAGACGTTGTCGATGTGGAGGCCAATGGTGACCAGGTAAACCCCGGCGAGGAAGGGTTCGGTAGCCTATTGGATGAGAAAATCCGGAAATTTAGCTTGCAAAAAGGCAATATCGCTCAAGCTTGGGTCAGGGAGCGGCCGCTGATGCCGGATGAAGCAAAATCTAGCGAACTGCATTCCCTGAAGGCAGGACAGAGTAACCAGGCTCCTCTCTACGTGTTATTGTACATGGAGCAACTAATGCTTGCCGCCGGGGAGGCTATCCGAGATCTGGTCAACTTTGCTGACAAGAAAGTCGAAGATGGTACGATGAGCCATAAGTGCATAATCCTCCCTTCCGAATCCCAGTTGTGGAAGTGGCTGGTCAGTGTCTTCAAAAACCAAGACCCAAGCGTAAAGCAGAGTTCGGATATCATGGAGGCGGGCTATATCTACTACGCAGATGGCTATGACCCAAAGAAGGACCCGGAGCATCTTCCTCCAACTAGCGTCTGGCAATATCTAGGCAACGAACTTCGAAAGATGTCGGCTGGCTTAGGATCTAAGGAGTCGGTTTTTGGGTTTCGAGTCGCTTGTGCTGCTATGACCGTTGGTATCTTGGCATTCTTGGAGAAAACTCAGAAATTCTACCAAGATCAGAGACTGTCTTGGGCGATTTTCACCATTGCCCTAGGAATGACGATAAGTATGTCTCTAAATATTGACATCGATAGCTTGCTTACCGTTGGCAGCCACTGGTCAGTCAATATTTGGTTTCCTCTGTCGAATAGGCGGTACGTGTTTAGCAATGATTTTCTCAATCGCCATCTGGTATATCGTCGACCAGAAAACACCCGGCGTTATTGTCTTCTTGTGGTTGTTCATCTTCGTTGAATACTACTTTATCAAATTTCCACGATTCATTTCAGCTGTCATGATTACCATTATCACCCAAATCATTATCATTGGCTACGAGCTACAAGTCCGACAAATTGGAAAAGCTGTTGCTACTAGCACGGGACAGCCGTATTACCCGTAAGCCTTACCTGCTCCCTATTTTCACTTTAAGATCGCTTTTACTTAATTCAAATCTCATAGCATATACCTCCTCGCGCCATATCGGCTCGCTGTTGTTGCTGCAGGTTGTGTGATTGCATTTTTCTGGACGATTTTCCCTTGTCCATTAGCCGATCGAACCCAACTTCGACAGGACTTGTCCGCGACAATACATCTTCTTGCCAGCTACTTCAGCGTCATAACTTCCACTATAAGATCCCAGGCGGAGGATACGGGAGGAAACATCAACTCGAAGGCATCGCCAGCCTACTTCCTTTGGAATGCTCGGCGTAAGATATTCGGTAAAGCAGTGCATCTCATGTCCTCTATGAGATCACATATTGAGTGGCAGCGGTGGGAACTAAACATGGGTGGTCGTTTCCCTATTGAGACGTATAGAGAGATGATGATGCATTGCTCGCACATCTTGACATATCTGACACTTATGAGCTACGCCATAACACACCCGCCACGAATACTCGACAGAGGGGATGCTGGAGACGGAATAAGTGGTGCTTCCTACTCCGAAGCAAACACACAAGATATGCGCTGGAGGCGAGCTCTTGCAGAGGCGTTGCCGGGAGTAGAACCGGTTCATCATACCATCATGTCGACTTTGACTTTGTTGTCGGGCTCGATGTTTTCAGGGCGAAGTTTGCCACCCACACTGCCGCTTCCTAGGCCTTATGACATGATGCGACGATTGGTACTGGACACTGAATCTGATGACGATGATGTGCCGCATTTTCGGGATTCTTGGGGTGGACATGTGCACCCTGAACTGACTACCATCGACTTACGCCCAGGAACCTCAGAAGATGTGGGAGAGAAACGAGAGCCAGATACGACTGTTGCCAGTAAATTGAGGGTTTTGGACTCCCATAATCCGAAGCTCCACTCTTATGCAGAATTTGTCGTAATGCAAGTGTGCAGCACTCTCGTGTGCAATGATCTGGAGGGACTGGCGCGGGCAGTGAGCCGGCTAGTGGGAGTCGTAGACTTTGGTTTCCGCGTCGATGCTAGCGGTGTGGATAATAGAATAGGGGATAACTCGTCATCACGGGTAAGAAGACGGGGATAATGGGTTGTGTAATACCTTGTTGTCCGTGCCAGAGCTGCCCTTATCTGTGAAAGAGTCATTACAGGTTAATTATAGCACGAAGTATTTACATACATGTATATACACACTAACCACACTCCGGTATACTAAATCGTAAAGTCTTACATCATGTTTACCTACCTGTATCAATAGGCTGCCTTAATATTACAGATAGACCATACCATACGCTAAAAACCCATATATAGCTTCTTTACAGTATGTCAACAATTCCATCAGCCGCCTAATTCGACACCAAGGCCACTTCAACGCTCATCCTTGCCCACCTACACTAGAGTCACAGTTATCGTTGCTATCTGTCGTTCCCTCCGGCGATACGACTTCATCCGCCAGAAGAATCGCATTGTAAATTACAGCTAGGTAGACGCAGCGTATTAGATAGATATAATGTAGTTTTCTGGTAGGTTAAAGGCGCTTTTATATACTAGGATGCTGCCTCACCGGTGGGGTAGCCCCGAATCTGTTTAAAAGATGCGGCTATTCTTCCTTACCTACATGTAATAAGCGACGACGGTTCCTCCTCCCAACCTATTTTTCTATTACGAGATGGAGGTATTGCAAACAACAATTCAACAGCATGGATGACCATCGCTTAACTGTGATGAAGGCAAATCTCATTGGCAATGGTTTGGATGGATTTTAGAGGTGTTTCGCCTCTGTCTGTGAGGATGAGGATATTCCTAGCAACTCGAGGGCGGCAGAGAGGCTACCTAGATAAAGAGGGTAACGAACTGTATCTCCACAAATGTGTTATGGTCTACTAATATCGTGGAAGATCTACAAGAACCGACGCTTGAGCTTTTCCGCGCTTCAAAGGCTTCGCACATCCCGTGTCGTCGTTGTCGTCGCTATTGTCGCTGTCATCGCCGATCGTACTCCATCTCAACGAAAGATAGCCTCCTGTGTTGTTAACACGCCTATATGCCCCCCACCTGGCGTAACCACCGCTTCCGAGCATATAGAATTATCGACAAACTTGAGCAGTGGAACTATGGGCAGAACCCCGAAGAGCTAGCTAGAAATGAACTGGGTGTCATTGACAGTGATTCCTTTGATCGGACTTTGGAATTCTACTGCACCAAATACTACAAGTCGCTCATTCCATGTGTGCGCAATCTTTGGGAGATGATTTTCCCGGGTGGTAGGAGGTGGAAGAAGGAAGATTTGTGGTGGTATGAATCAGTTCAAGATTTTCTGCACGACACTCAGAAGGGGCTGGCACATGATTAGTACTTGTGGGTAGCACGACCACAATAAAATGCTAATAATACTGGATTAAAAAGTGAATAGACTGATGTCTTGAGGTTTTTGGACGCAAAGATGCTGCCGTCGAAATCGTTTGATGATGAAATCGGATGCTCACCTCCCATTCGCGAATCCCCAAATCCCGTGACCTTGCAGCCTTGCATTCGCTTGGGCACAGCTCATCATCTTCGAAATCCCATGCATATTGTCATCTACAGAGTCAATCTGGCCATATCGCTGTCTGAAACGCCATGGATAGACACGACAATACCCTCGGTTCTCATGAAGCCAACGTTCTGGGCGGTTGGATGCCTCCTAATGCTTCACTTACGCCCATGATCGAGCCCAATTCTCATCGGAGCCCTTCCCCACCAGGTGATCGAGACGATTTCAAAATCGCCATTATATGCGCCCTGCCCCTTGAGGCGAACATAGTCAGCGCGTTATTTGATAGGAAATGGGATGGCAGGTGGTATGGCAAGGCCGCTGGCGATTCAAATGTATATTTATTCGGTCTCATTGGGCACCACAATGTTGTTTTGGCTCATATGCCCAATATGGGAAAGGTCGCTGCCGCGTCAGCAGCAGTTGGATTACGAGCTAGTTTTCAGAAGATCAATCTGGCTCTGGTGGTTGGTATTTGCGGTGGTGCATCTCTGGGGGAGCATCATACCGAAATTTTTCTCGGAGATGTTGTTGTGAGCGAAGGGATTATTCAATACGACTTCGGAAGGCAATTTCCTAATAATAGATTCGTTCGAAAGCACAGCCCTCAAGACAATCTACCAAGGCCTAATCCAGAGATCCGGGCTACCATAGCCAAGCTACGGGCAGATCATTGGCTACAAGGCAAGGTGTCTGGACATCTTCACGATTTACAACAGAAATTCAGCGCCGAGGTGACGTATCCAGGGCCGAGCGAGGACATATTATTTAACCCGACCTACCAGCATAAGCACCAAAGTTCAGAGTGTACAATATGCTTCGGTAGCAATGGGAGAGGCGATGTATGCGATACGGCGTTGGGGCTCAGCTGCGAGCAACTCGAATGCGACCAACAGGGAGTAGTATTTCGCAGAAGGTCAACACAACCGCTAGCTGCGTCTGCAGAATGGAAACCAGCCGTTCACTTTGGGCTTTTTGCGTCCGGAGATACAGTGATGAAATCTGGCAAAGACCGAGATGATATTGCAGCTCGAGATGGGGTCATCGCATTCGAAATGGAGGGCGCTGGTGTCTTGGAAAACCTCCCTGGTACCTTGGTTATAAAGGGCATTTGCGACTATGCAGATAGTCACAAGAGCAAGAAGTGGCAGCCTTACGCAGCTGCAACTGCAACCGCTGTTACTAAGGCGTTCTTGGAAGAATGGCGCATAGGTACGGAACTCCGGCTTCTTTTAATTAAGTCGCTATTTGAAATATATACATGTACTTACATAACATCACAGCTTCTTCAGAAGAGCAAAGCCCTCACAGATCTGCCTTGTATCCTCAACATGGCCTTGGCAGAGAAGTGGAGGCCCATAGGGATCCGATTCGAAAGGCGAAAGAACTGGATATTTTGAGAAAGCTATACAAATCACAATACGAAGATCGAAAAGATCGAAATCCAATACGCACCGAAGGAACCTGCGAGTGGTTCGTCGCCCATAGGCTATTCAGAGAGTGGCAAGAGAACAAAGAGTCAACAACACTTTGGGTGTCTGCAGATCCCGGCTGCGGAAAATCCGTCCTAGCAAAGCACTTGATAGATTCTGTACTACCAAGTACGGCATCCAGAACGACATGTTACTTCTTCTTTAAAGACGACTTTGAAGACCAGAGGAGTGTCGTTAGTGCTCTTTGCTGTATTTTACATCAGCTTTTTAAGCAGAATCGTACTCTACTGACTGAGGCTATTCTTGAGCAATTTGAAATTTATATGGAAGATATCACGGGCTCGTTCAGCAAACTCTGGAGTACCCTTCTCAGCGCTGTCAAAGATAACAATGCTGGTGAAATCGTGTGCATACTAGATGCAGTTGACGAATGCGAAGAATCTGGAAGATCTCAGCTCGCCGAAGCCTTATACGCACTCTATCGCCACAAGAAAAACTCGAAAGACTCGAATCTAAAGTTTCTCTTAACAAGTCGGCCTTACATTTCCATTCGCCATGGTTTCAAGCGCCCAGATATCCCACAATTGGCTGTTATTCATCTGAGCGGAGAGAATGATATTGAGATGGCAAAGATTTCTCAAGAGATTGATATTTTTATTCAATCTAAAGTTCAATTAGTCAAAAAAAGGCTCAAACTTACCAATAGTGAGCGGGACCTTTTGCTTCGAGAGCTGATGCGCATCCCTAACCGAACCTATCTATGGGTACATCTCACTCTGGATTTAATTCAGGATGATCCCAATCTTGATGAAGTTGGAATATTTGGGGCGACTTCTCACCTCCCCAGATCAGTTGAAGAGGCTTACGAGAGGATACTATCTCGAAGTCGCGATCTGAAGGAAGCTAAGAAACTGCTGCACATCGTGGTGGCAGCATCGCGACCCTTAACTTTGAAGGAGATGAACTTCGCTTTAGCGCTGAGAAACAACCACCGTTCGTACAACAACTTTAAATTGAAATCAGAAGAGCGATTCCAGGAGAATGTGCGAGATCTTTGCGGCCTCTTCGTTGTGGTCGTCGATTCAAAGATCTACCTGCTCCATCAAACTGCGAAGGAATTTCTTGTACAGGATGATCAAACGAATGCTATTAAACGTACTAATTTAGATCTTGAATGGAAACACTCGCTGCGGCCGCAAGAATCTCATGGCATTCTCGCAGAGATTTGCATAAGGCATCTACTCTTTGTTGAATTCGAGGCTGAGTCTTTCTCCCCAAATGCCAAGCATACATTTCTCGACTACTCTGCCAAACATTGGACCACTCACCTCCGTGAGTCGCGGATTGATGTCAAAAATAGTCCATTCTCTATATCAATATTACGGCTCTGCGATACAACCTCAAGCAGCTGTCTATCTTGGCTTAGGATTTACTGGAGCGGCACAAACACCGACTTTCCAGGCGATTTCACTCCCCTTATGACTGCATCTTATTTTGGGCTTACGGAAGTGATGAAGTGCCTATATAAACTGGACAATGCCGAATTGAATTTACAAGACGACACATATGGGCGGTCAGCACTGTCTTGGGCCGCAGGAAATGGCTTTCACGGTGCTGTAAAGCTTTTAATTAGTCGCTGGAGAGGTTTCAGGCTGCTATCTAGGGTGGGGGCCCGAGTTGATTCAGTTGACAGAGATGGTCTAACACCACTATCTCATGCCATTCTTAATAGCCATGTTGCTGCCGCTAAGCTATTACTCAAGGCAGGGGCCCGCGTTGATACAAAGGATGGCATTGGTGGGACGCCGCTCTCTTACGCCATTTGCAATGGACACGAGCAAATAATTAAGCTTATGTTCAAGAAGAAAACCAACATAAACACTGAGGAGGACATAAGCACTCCATTACTTCTGTCCGCTGCAGAGAAGGGTCGTGAGGATATAGTGAAGCTCCTACTTGACAGGGGACTGGTAGACCCCAACACTGTCAATACGTACGGCCAGACGCCATTATCATTGGCCATCATGAATCATCATATTACTGTCGCTAAACTCCTCATCGAGGCGCCAGGGGTCAATATAGATATCACAGCAGACGAGGTCATCGCTCTGGCAGCAACACCTCATGACGGTCAAGAAGTGATGATATTACTCCTTGACCGATTTGCAGACTCTATGACTTTTACAGAGAATACCGTGTTGGAAATTATTACACGATTTAATAAGGAGGTAGTCATTTTACTCCTAGGCCGATGTGGAGACCAGATCAAATTTACAACAGAGATTGTGTTAGAAATCGTCACACGATTCGATAAAAGAGTAGTTATATTGCTCTTAAACAGATATGGGGGCTATATCAATATTACAGAGAAGATCGTGTTGGTATTTATTACACGATTCGATAAGGAGGTAGTTGTTTTGTTCCTCAACCGATGTGGACACCAGATCGATATTACAGAGAAGATAATGTTACAAATTATCATACGATTTGATAAAGAAGTGGCTCTTTTGCTTTTCCACCGGTATAGAGACCAAATCGCTATTACAGAGCAGATGGCATCAACAATATGTACACAATTCGATAAGGATACGATATTTTTGTTCCTCGACCGGTATAGAGGTCAAATACCAGAGGAGATGGTGTTAGAAATTATCACACGATTTGATAAGGAAGTGGCTCTTTTACTTTTCCACTGGTATGGAGACCAAATCGCTATTACAGAGCAGATTGCATCAATAATGATTACACAGTTCGATAAGGATATGGCAGTTTTGCTCCTCGATCGGTATGGAGGTCAAATACCAGAGGAGATGGTGTTAAGAATAATTCCACAATGCAATCAAGAGGTGGTGGTTTTACTTCTAGACCGATATGGAGACCACATAACTATTACAGGGGACATAATGTCCAAATTAGTTGACAAAGAAGTGATCACCACCGCACTCATTGAACGACATAAGGGGAAGATCACTGGTTGTGCTCTGTCAAAAATCGTTGTCCAATTCGATTCAGAAGTGGTTATGCTGCTCCTTAATCATTACCAAGGCCAGATAAATATGACAAAGAAAGCTATTCTACGAATTATTAGAAAGTTCAGCAAGGAAGGTTTTGGCAGGCAAGTAATTATTCAGGCTCTCAGCCAACCCAGAAATCGGCTCGCTATGACAGAGAAGGCTGGGCTATTACTCCTTGCGAAATACGATGAAGAAGTTATAGCCTTATTTCTTGGCCAACATGGAGAAAGTATGCCAATTAAAGAGGAGGCTTTCAAGGCTGCGGCACAGAATTGGACGAATGGCAAAGAAGTGATGACACTTCTCTGTAACAGCCAAAGAGGCCAGACCGTTATTACAAAGGAAATATTCAATGCAGCGGCACACAATCCAATAAGTGGTAAAGAAGCAATGGCAGTCCTCTGCAAATGGCGGGGAGAAAAAATGACCTCTGAGGAGAGAGCCTTCCAAGCAATGGCAGAACAGTGGAAGAGCATTGAAGACATACTGCCGTCTTTCCGGGATTTTTGAGGAATTTGGATGGCTTTGCAAAGTATATTGACGGCTATTCCGTCATATCATGGGAGATTCGCAACATCAAAGCGCTAGATATACCATGTCATATTTCATCGTTTCATTATCAGCTTAGCTATTTAAAGATTATCAAGGCAGTTCATAAAGGCTCTCACCACCTCCGGGATGGCTCTTCGATCTTTAGCATTATGACCACCTAGCAATTCGGCTCTATGACTGTTCTCTGGCAGCTCTGGTCTGTTGTGTGCCGGCAATTCCGCGGTATTGTTTTAAGAACTCGTGAGTTTCTATCATTTGTGAAAGGTTGTTGGGGAAGGCTCGGCTCTAGATCCCTTGCATCCGTGCTAAGAGTCATTGACCCCCTATCACTATAATAATCCCACCTATCGTCTCCCCGATAGCAAGGCCGTCTGTCAATTGGGCTATTGCAAGACGACTGTGGCTGTAAAGGTGAGACGGCATTGCTGCCCAAATGTAAAATACCATCATAGTACAAGCGGGAGGCCTACCTTCAATGTTGGGTATCGTGGCGGGATGCATATGAGGGGTAATAGCGGCAACGTGCAACAGAATGATTGGGTATGTAAACCTTCACGTTACATCATTTCTGTCTCCCCAGTGACTTTGCCAAGGTATGTACCGTCATCATAGGTACCTGCCTACTTTAAATCTTAGCATTGCTATTCCATGATGAATTTTTAGCATACCAACACGACTACATACCTACCCTCTCTTCCTAATACTAATCTTTGCAACAATGACTATTGATAATGATCCAAACCTCAGGGGTGATCTTGGGGCCGGTGGAACCCGTGTTGCAAACACTCTACAGGCGAGTAAATGACATGTATTTTTTAACTTGTGAAACTGCTAACTGACCGACGCAGGTGGCGAGACTGGAAGAAACTATTCGTGAGCTGAGATTGAATGTGCAAACACTCAATGCCCATGTATCAACTTTGCGAAATGACCATTCAGCATTGCAGCAGCGAGTAAACCAGTTGGGCGGTGGCCTAATTCCGCCAATATTGCCAGAATCACAATTACCGTTGCTACCTGTCATTCCCTCCGGAGATACGAGCTTATACGCCAGAAGAATCGGCTTTGCAAATTACAGCCAGGTAGATGCAGCCTATCAGAGAGATGTTGTACAGTTTTCCGGCAGGCTGAAGGCAATCTTATATGAGAGCTTAGTGCCTCACCGATGGGATGACCCCGAATCCGTTGGAAGGATGCGGCTATTCTTCACCACCTACGGCATCTCGGTTGATATGCTCCAAAAAGAAGGACACCAAGATGGAAATTTCGGTGGTGTGGCTCAGTCAGACTTGGTTGTTAGGGGTGATCTGATTGCAAGGCATCTGCGGTCGCACGTTTGGGTAAGAGAAGAGTTTATAATGTATTGGACATTGCTAGAGATATGTCGCCAGTATGGAATATATTGGTGATGACGATGTGAAAACGCTGGAGATGTGGAGAGGCGCGTTTAATAAGACAAATCACGTCATGGAAGGACAAGTACCGAATACATAGTTCTATTTAGACAGCGAACCTGGATCTTTGTGATACATGAACGTAAGATTTATTTTACAATATTACTTTTTTTTAGGAATGTGCCAGTTTGTTTGCATTAGATTCTCGTCTAGAGAATCGTTTAGGCTTGGGCGATTCATGATGAAGCGGTTTCCCCGCCCAAGGACAAATCAGGTACCCTCCTCGACAAAGCATATTCAACCAGAATGCGGAGGCACTCAACAACCCTCCATGACGATGCTACAACATAAATGAGTTATATTTAGAATCGAGGCTCATAGGTAGACCTAGTAGATATAAGTAGATCTAGTAAAGACAAATCGATAAAGATATACAAGACCGGAAGAAATATTATGTGAGAGAAAAGGGCGCTTGCAAGGACTGTGTAGGGTGCATCGTTGATATTTGACCAAATGTATTGAAAAGCTGCTCGGTAAGGAATAAACTCTGGTGATAAGTGGGACTTGCTTCAGCCCTAAACACTTACCTTATCGTCGTAGCTCAAATAACTGCCAATCATTTATTCTGGTGAATTGCGATACGTGTAACTCTAATCCTAGAAATAGTCATCTAGGGTTGGATGTTGTGATAGTTGGTTGGATGTCTTCTTATTCAGAACTAGTGCTACGATAAGGCAATCCTACCGAATGAATCTACTCTGCAACATATACCTACGCCTATCGGATCTACCACACCTACTAGATCTACCTACATCTACTAGATCTATCTAAATCTACTAGATCTATCTACACCTACTAGATCTACCTACATATACTAGATCTACCTACATATACTAGATCTACCTACATATACTGGATCTACCTACATATACTAGATCTACCTACATGTTCTACAGAGACTTTGAAGATCCATTGGCCAAACACATCTTGACCCAATACCCAAGCTCAAGCTCGTCCAACCAATTCTTGTCAACTCCCAATATTGGCCCTCTGCAGTTGAGGGACCTACAGTCCGATGTGGAAAAGATTTTAAATGACTATTCAAGTACTCCTACACGAGAAAAGGATGATACCCCCGAGGTGTTCCGAGCATTCATCAAATACCTGTGCCAAGAGGCCCGGACGATCTTGATGCAAGAAATCAGGCAGTTTAGCGGAAAGAGTGAGTTGCGGCAACTCCGCAATTTCCTCGTCGATTCGATATTAAAGACTAGTAAGTAAGGGCACAACGAAGCGCAAATGTATCGATTCCACTCTATACTGACATATAATATAGTGCTGATAGCCGGTGGCAAACAACCCAAGTCTCTTACACCATCTCCCATCGTGATCCCAGGTCTAATCGCGGAGGAAAACCAACTGACGTTGAGAAGCCACCAAACTGCTCTCAAAGGAGAATGTTTAAAAAGAGACGACCATGGCTGCGTTATCACTGGTCACATGGAATATGATTCTTATAAGAAGCTGCCACCAGAGCGTCGTAGAAATCGGTATACTTGCAATACGGAATGTGGGCATATAATTCCCTTTGCTCTTAGGATTTTCAATCCCAAGTCTGCACAGGAGGTAAGCTCAATTGTTTCTCGTGTGCCTATATGTTTTGTCATATTACTAATACATACAGGCCGAGACTAAAGCTCAGATTTGGCGGTCAATTTACCGATACTTCCCCTTTGTGGCAGAGAAAATCAGCGCTGAAAACATCAATGCGCCCGAAAATGCAATGACCTTATGGATGGATGCCCATGAACAATTTATTTCACACCGTCTTGCCCTCGAGCCTACGAATATCGTATTTGTTGCTATTATGTGCATTTTCTTGAGTACGCCACTAACTTTTGCTGGAACTCAGGAGCACGAATATCGTGTCCATGCTATCGAAGAGCTGAGTATCGTAACCCGAGATTTACCGAAATCCATCATCATGAAACAATGGGACCCGGAAGTCTTGATGCCGGACCCCGACTTTCTCAAGTTCCATTATCAAGTTTCGATGATCCTGCAGGAAAGTGGTATTCGAGAGAAATATGAAAGGACTGTGTGGGAGAATAACAACAACTTAATTGATAATATTCAACCCGATGGCTCGACAGACTTGGGAAATATATTTTCAAACAAAATGCTGACGAATATCTAGATAGATTTATTACATCTACTACATCTACTAGACCTATTAGATTCATTGATCTTAATCTCAATAACTTCAACGTTCTCTTCCAGGGTAGACATCTGTCTCAAAACATCTGTCCAATTGCAGGTTTACAATAACTACTAGGTACTAGGCAATTATCTCTTCCACAGTCTCGCCTCTTCAATCTACCGCTTACGCCAAACATACAAGCCAAACACTCGGCAACTTTCAGCGATAAGACAACTCCACACACGAGCAAGACGGCATTCAACTCAAATCCATCTCAAATCAAAATGGGCGATCAATACGCGGAATCCTTTCCTTTCGCCACCGCCCAGCGCGGAACCCAATCTCAAAACAGAGACTTGCCCCGATGGGAAGCGAAACGCCTTCAACCCCCCTCCTCGTAAACATGAAAGCCGTTGCGGCTGAAGCCACCCTCACGCAGATATTCCCTCAATAGGCAATCTCGCGAATTTAGAACATCACTTCCGGCTCTTCCAAGCGCAGCGCCATCCCCTAGACTCCGGGGTAAAAAAAAAGTCAAATAACGAGCTAGAAGGTTTGGAACAAAATCTCCTGGTTTTTAGTTGGTCTACAGTTTCCGTGAAAGTACAAGTAGGTAATCAACTTCGTTACGTTTTTTACAACCGCTAAACCTAGCGCAACTCTCCCAGCTGAAAACGTCCAGACCGTTTCGCATGGTGCCTGCGTTGGTGGCTATGACCAACTCAACGATTCATTCAACAACTTTTGGTCTCTCACCGGACATCTCGGGAGGCCGCATGCATCAAGTGAAATTACTCGTCGCATTCCACAAGCGGCCGCTCTTTCCCTATCCCCAGTCGTGGCTTGAAGCCACCGTAGCACGGGCAATGTCAGCGGCAAAAAATGGCTTGTTCTCTTCGAGTCAGTGGCGAGACGCCACGGCACCTGAACAAAAACAGGGGAAAAACGTCCAATCGAACACGCAACCGCTGCATCAATGGCTGGGGGTCGGAATAATGAACAAGCCTTACCGGTAATCCAATCAGAGGATACAACGTATTATACTCGTATGCAGAGACAAATGATGGCGCGACGGTAGCAGATTGCGCGTCTGCACGGATGCCCGTGCTAAGCAACAAGGTACATCATGTAGGTTGTTCTTCAGCCGCGAATTGCCGAGCCTAGAATGCGACCAGAAGTACATTCCCCAAATCTCCAAAGACCTGATGGCCTCTCGTTAATTGAGTTCAAGCCTTCTCCAAAGCACCCAAAAAAACAAGAATCCGGATGAGAAAACAAAGTTCACACCTTGGTGGTGATGATCCCGTTCCCAGTTTCCACATAGGCTCGGGGCCCACGATGGGCTCGCCACAGCTTCATCCACCGAAAACCTGGGGCCCCGGATTCTGTCGCCATCATCACGGACCTTTCATCTGCTTCTCATCTTGGAGTATCTAGTCGATGGGGCAAAAACTGGAGATGCCCAGATTCAAGGATCTCGCCTTCGTTGAAGGTTGAAGGGAGGCCGCATTTTGTACGTAATTGAAACTCCACCACGGGGGAGGGGTAGGAGGGTGAGCCCATAGAAGGCGAGTGATTCCATCACGAGTTTGCCAATCTTGACGAATTATCTCCGCATTCACTGGATCTCTCAATGCTGGGCTTCGAGGCTTAGTTCGAGGAGGGGAGAGGACGCTATCGAAAGATGTGTTCGAGACCGGGTTGGAGAGAGTTCAGCTGGGCGAAAGCAAAAGCTGCTGAGCCCTGGTAGTTGTAAACTCGCGCTGTCGAATGGTCAGCAAAAACGTTGTGAATTAAGCTTGAATCAAGGTGGTCCATTCGGTATGGATACGGTTTCATTATGCTCGTACTTGGCATTTGGGTTACAGAGAAGGGTAAGATTGTCGCCAACGGTCGTGCACATCCCGCCTCTTGGCGAAATCCCATTGTCAACCCCGATGCCCATTACGCAATTCACGATCAAAAGGCGGGTGTCAAGAGCCTGACAGCTCGAAACTCGCCGCTATCTACGGAGCAGAGGGGTTTGATCAGTCTTGAATCTCTTGAGGGGTTTTCTCCTCTCAAGCTGTCAAAGCGATGGATGCCGGTGGAGCTATTCGCAGTGAAGTGATCCATACGGAGTTGATAAGTCCACTTCCGGATGCACCAAACGCGCCATGTCCCTTCAGCCTTCCCACTCTAGACCCTTAGGGCCCTCAAAGCTTGAACGTGAAAGCGGAGCCGCAGCATGGGAAGATTAACGAACGTTATTTGACACTGACTCGCGCCATGGTTTATTCTTGGTAAAGAGATGACCAACAATCAACGTGTCATTGCTGCCCTTGCCCAATCTTCGGTCTCGTCGCGGCGATTCCCCCCAAAACGGAAGATCCACCACGACGAACCATGTCTGGAGATATGGAGTGACAAGTAGGTATTCGCATTTCTCAACACGGGAGCGATGTGATGAATCGCGGCCGGCGTCTGCCTTTCCCGGTTTCTTGCCTATTGGACGATAGCCATCATCTTGTTTTTAGACATGGCTTTGGCTTGGCCTAGCCTTATCGAGCTGAGACAAGGCGCGGCGGCTCCGCGTCAGATGCCAACATGAAATCGTTCCATGCTGTTTACTGCTGCTAGCTGAAGACACACAACAGGTGCTTATCAGCTCCGTCTTTTTTCGTCCTAGTTATCGGTATTCCATGCATGCCAAATCGCATCCTAGTGGGAGAAACGGCGTCGCCGATCCCTGGGGACAGCGTCATTCGCCCATCTACTGCACCAGCAGCGTGGCCTAGCCATATGTGGCTAACCATGGCCGGAGCAGCAGGTGAAGCAGGCATTACATTGGCACCCGACATCCCCCAATAGTGTGTAGGAGGTGGCATGAGATTGCAAGGGCCATTGCTGGGAGCTAGCTGGAGATTCGGATGCTGCTAAGGTGGCATTGGTCGTACAGGTACTCCATCGTACGTAACAGCAGAGTCGAGGTGGTATTCCGCGGTGCCGTCTCCAGAAAAACCACGCGAATAGTGTGAAGTAATAGGTAGTAAGAGTAAGATTGTATCCAGTAGTCGTCTCGTGTTGGTGATCCTTGCTGGTGCCATAGTATCAAACAGCTATCCAGAAGCTGTCTGTCTAAGTCTCGAGGAACCCTGTGTGCCATAGTCAATGGATGTGCCAATCTAGCGCTTCCAGCGATTCTAGAACAAAGAAGCCGTCTCACTCGCCGTTTACAAGTACATACGGGCCATTTTAAGATGCGCCCTCCGCGCCGCCTTGCCGTACCGGAGAATTTGGTGCTTTGCGGGGTGACAAGAGGCCTTGGGAGAGCGCGGCAGAGATGGGCTAGCCTGGTAGCAAGGCACTGCTGCAGCCACCTTGGCACCAAATAAGGGCTGTTCCTGCGGGCGGTTGCTGACTAGGCCAGTAGGTTAAGTCGGCACCGTACATGCGATCTGCGCCAACAGCCAGTAGCCAAATCGCGTGGTGTCTGGTGTTGCATCGGGGACGTTGGTTATGCATGGCGAGGCCGTTGAGTTGCGAGGCAAGATCGGGGAGCCGTGGGCGATGGACGAGTCGTGGCCATCGCAAATGGATAGAGTCCACGTGCGTCGAGGCTGCTGCGGTGCCGAGATTCTCTTCTCTCCACCTGGCATGTGCTTATCATCAAACTGTGACTCTTTTCCTTGGTGCTAACGATACCCCGTACTGCTGCTAGTGACTCTATGAGCTGTTCGTGGTCCGTGTGCAACGCCGGGTTTCGTGTCTGCTATCTAAATGGGCAAACGCACAGTTAGATTGACATCTGGTGAGGAGACAAAAAGCGGCGCTAATACTTGGTGGCAGCAAGGGCAAACTAGTTCATCCGCTCCAAATCCGGTACGGAGGGTTTGGAAGCCATCACGACGGGCAGCAAAAGCCCTCCGGCCAATCAGTGCCGCTGGGTTCGCAGCCACGTTCACAGTACAAAGTACGAGCTGACGAGTGGTGGCACTAGAAAAGTCATGCTTATAGCGCCATCGGGCTGGTAATCGTCTTCTAGAAAAAATGTCGCATTCTAGTCTTGACATCCGGGCTTGTGGCGGGCAGGTTTCTGGCCTCTAGGATGAGCAATTGCCCTCGGCTATCACCAAGGAGGGGGAGAGATTAGCCGAACGAGGCACAATCAAGCACAAGCATAGCGCCACGGGCTAGTCAGGGTGTACGCTAAAGCATTCAAGGTTCAGGCGTTGCCCATCTTAGATGCGCTTGTCAAGAGAAATAGCAATAGCAGACGAGTGTAATTCAGCTGGACGGGCTAAGAGACAACAAAGATGTTATCACAACCTACCTCACTAGTCAGATAGCCCAGTTGGCAAATACTTGGTGGGCTAGCCGGGCTCATCATGCCACTAGCGAGAGTTACTACGAGGAGGACGACTTGCGCTCTGTGCTGTATCTGGGATTCTGGAGACCTGGCAAGCCTGGATACAGCCCTGGGTGGCATTAGCGGTTGTGCTAGACTTTTCTCATCTTGTCACGGGGGGCGAAACGGTCACTGTATTCCCAATAGCCCTGTTGAGGCTGACGAGGTCCCCGATGGTAGCGTCGTGGCTGGCTTCGCGTCTCTGGCGCTTGGTGTTGATCATGCAACCAGCCGTTGGAGTGGCTCTACACCGTCTGTGCGGAATCGTGTGCCTGGAACGCAAGGGAACCTACGCGCGGTGACATTTTCAGAACCTTGAGCAGGGTATCAAGGTGTGTCCGATTGCTGCAGAGTTATGGAGTCCAACAAGCAGTATGGTAGCAGTAGCAGTAGCAGTACAATGGATGACAACGACCCCTAGAGACGCTTGGACCAGCGTATTCGGTTGCTTACAAGAAGCATTTTGTAATGCCTGGAGATCAGCTACTACTACATAGGCTGTTTCTTTTTGTGCTGTCTCTTTCTGATAGACAAAAGCGGCGCTTGCTGTGTTTGGGGTAGATGGACTGCGAGTTAAAATGTCCGCCTTTTCTTGTCCTCCCAGCAATGG